TGTCAGGCAGTATAGACAGAATGGACCGTCTAACTAAGGCATGGAATAAGTCGTATTTCAATTAAACAGGGAAATCGGCGGAGTGTAGTCTACAGTCAAGCTTATTCCTTCCACAAAATATCGCGATATAGCACCCAGCTGTGAGGCCCATAATTTCCGAAAGTGCTGCCCTACTGTGAGGCCAATGCAGAAAGTGCGGCCTCAACTGTCATGCGATCTTTTGACATGCAATGAATTAACATGATAATAGGCTATGGGGTAATATAAGGTGCAATACTCGCTTTAATTTTGTGGGTGAAATCGAACATGGCAAAAATAATATTATATTTGGCACAAACGATCATCTCCCCGTCTCTTTAGAAGACACATGTGTAGGTTTTTATTCCTGACATGGGCAAGGGGCCCAGTGACCCGCGAAATATTTAGGCTGCTGTTATGAATGGATGGATCTATGTAGGATCACTATGAATGGGTATATGTAGGAACGTCATGAATGGATGTGTACGATCTCTATAAATGGATATATGTAGGAGCTCTATGAATGGATATATGTAAGATCACTATAAATTGGTATATGTACGATCACTATAAATTGGTATATGTAGGATCACTATGAATGGATTTATGTAGGATCACTATGAATGGGTATTTGTAGGATCCTTGTGAAAGATATATGTAGGATCTCTGAATGGATATGTATGATCGCTATTAATGAATATATGTAGGATCGCTATGAATGGATCTGTGTAAGATCACTATAAACGGGTATATTTATGTAGGATCTCTATGAATGGGTGTGTGAAGGATGACGATGTATGCTGAAAACCTTCCGACGGTCAACTATTTCTTTGATCTGCCTCTACAGCTCACACTGATAGATACGAGGAAACCGTTAGAGCTGACTTTCAGCTTTATCACTGCGACACATTATGGTACTCTCAGCTCTCTGGCCATCCACGTTTACTTTCTACCACTGGATTCAGGCACCTGCTTAAGGTGAACTCAGCGATGTTCTACGCTTTCTAGACCACGAATCCAACTCTAGGCTTTCTGTTCAGCGTTAGGATGCTTGGTATGCGCTACAACTGTACCATGAGTTACCGTCTACACGTTACTTAGATAAGTAAAACTATAGAAAAATCAAAGGCATTAATATTTACAAGTGTTTTATTTGCTTTATACCACCACCTACCCTAATTCAATATATATAATCCCCGTTAGTATCCAAGACACACTGGACAGCTGGGGATAGTATGGTCAGCGCTATGCCCGGCTGCCTTACTTTACTAGCAAAAATAAGTCAGGTACCCATTAGAGCTGGTTGGACTCAGGGACGTCTGAAAACTTTCGAGTCAGCAGTCGTGAGCTTTACCATCCAACCCCTCCGTCCTACAAACACAATATAATACAAAAGGGTAAACCATCCCATCTTATTTCACGTTGTATACTTTGTGCACGGTCCTTTTACATGTCTGGAACATAGCTTGTTCTTGTATGACGGTCTGACTAAATAAATCCGCCGGTCTAACCAGATCTAGATTTAGTCTAGATTCATCTACCGAGTGTGCTCCAACAACAAAAGTTAGCGCTTCTCATCGCATGACAGGAGCTGGCGTACATCTGTGTGTATTCCTTCTGTGTTTACTTGCGTATCATGTCAGTGTTGACCTTTCATGCTAAACACGGAGGTCAAACACTCCTTAAGGCTCGCGCGCTGTACTTGACGTTTTGTTGTACACGACTTTAGTACTTTTAGTGGGCGGCTAAGGGGTCCGCGCTTTTAATAGGTTTTACTAAACCGTCTAGCCGTACACTATTCTTGTGGGCCGCGCTTCTTATAGGTTTTACTAAGCCGTCTAGTCGTACACGATTTTTGTGGGCCGCTGAGGCGTCCGCGCTTCAAATAGGTTTTATTAAACCTTCCAGTTGTACACAATTCTTGTTAGCGGCACTTCTGATAGGTCTAGATTTTACTAAGCCTAAGTTGTTTTTTTTTTTTTACTTGTAGCGGAAAGCGTGTAGAGTAGTTATGTACCCAAGTGGGGGAGGGGATGGTTGGCGTGCACATAGCGGGGTGTCGCCTGTCAAGTCAACACGCCGGCGGTACACCGTCTTCCAACTGTGAAGGAGTGTCTGGCTTGGTGGCTAGCGGACTGACGTCTCATTAGCATGTCTATAGCAGCACAGCTGGGTTGATATCCTTCAATGATATCCATGTTGTGACTTGACCCATCTCCTCATTCTCATGTCTCGTACAGCCAGCCGACAAAACGGGTCGTTCTTCACCAGTTTAAATCACGCCGTGTCTGTTAATTAATTAATTAAATCAACACATTTGTATCTTAATTAATAATTATTTTTTTGTACTATCATCCGAATGTTGTCAATGAGTAGGGCGGAAGGGAAGTAACTCTCGGAACGCGAATAAGAAAATTAAACCGCACATTAGGAAACTAAAAAATAAAATAAACGTTATGGATGTCTCGAGATTAAAGCATTAAATCTATCTGCAAATCTAGCTCACCTCCTTCCCCCCACTCTCTTATTTTAAAACTCATCTTGTTCTCTTGTAAAATAGCGTTTCATTGTTCAGGTTAATCTAGTTGTCACTCCCTCCCAGAGCCGGCGTTAGGAATACGCGGGGCCTAGGGCCAACCATCCGCGCGGGGCCTTTCCATTATATTTATATATATATATATATATATATATATATATATATTTATATATATACATATATATATATATATATATATATATATATATGTATAAAGGCCTATATAATGTGATGTACACATAATAACACAAATGTTTTGGAGTTTATAAGCTAATGTCAAACTTTCCACTATAATAACAGATTTTTATCTCTTCCATGTATTAACCCAATGTTCGTAGTTTTTTTTTTCCTTTGCTAAGATATTAAATCACTTTTAACAGTTATGTAATTCATACCAAATCACTTAAGAAAATTTAATCACGTGCCGAATAATTAGGAAAATAAAGTTTACAATACAGCGAACTCGGCCTGATGTATCAAAACAGTATAAACTTCAAAATTTGTTTAGAATTCATACAATATTTTAAAACCAAAATCATTATTGTCTTAATTATTGAAGGGGTGAATCCTTAAGGTGACAAAATATATACTTTTAACAGTGTCCGCACCCCCCCCCCCCCGAAGAAAGTCTACCCCCCCCCCCCCCCCGAATATTTCAAGTGCCCCTCCCCACCGGAGAAAAAAGTCTGGAAGAAACACTGTACATATACGACATTATACGACATCTACAACAAGACAGTCAGGACTAGAGTTCATCAGGTCACTAACTGTCTACTATAGACATCCCGTCTGCTCACTAAAAGGACATCTTCATCGGTCCGCATACAATAGGGTATCTCTTTACGTCGTGGGCTAATTCTCGACCGCCATCTCCAGTCAGCTCAGGTCAAATGCCAGGCGACCATACCCTACACAAAAGGAGGTGTGACACTATTTTTGTATCGAATTACGGCCTGTCCCAGTTCAGGTGGGACTCACCAACATCAACGGTGGCCTCAGTTATAACAATCAACAACGTCGGCATTCCACCATTTAGTTTTTCCCAACTGAATTCAGCAACAATTTTTTTTAAGTTTACGAACTAATTCAGATAACAATGACATTGCTGAAGCGCGGGGCCCCTTCAAGCGCGGGGCCTATGGCGACCGCCCCGTTCGCCACCCCCTAACGCCGGCTCTGCTCCCTCCTCAACCCCTTACCCATACATATACACTAGATATTTCTGCGTTGCTCTCCCCCCCCCCCCCCCTCCTTAGCGTCCCCTGTGTCGTCATCAAACTAAAGTTTATTAGATGTTTTGTTTTTTGTTGGTCATATCCAGGGGAAACGGGTGTAATGAGGCAGACATATATTAAAGATAGGGAATAGTTAATACGCCATGTCAAGTGGCCATCATGCTTTAGACCTAAGAAAGGAAGTTTACAGCAAGCTACACTTACTCAACACTTAACACGAAAGGTCAATTTTAAAAACATGGATCAATTTAAGGATTAATAAAAAGCTTTTTAAAGCATTATTTTTATGTTGTTTTTTTTTTTTTTTGTGAAAGTATAAGTGAAATTTTTAAATTAATTGTGTCACTAAATTTAACATTAAAGCTATCAACATACTTATGGATTAATGAAATCATCTAAATAATCATGCTCTGGTACTTCACCAGGGGGGGGGGGGGGGTTGATGTGCCTGAAAGAAACACTGAATGTATTCTAGTAACCCACTTAAATAAATGTGTTCTAGTACCCTGCCTTAAGAAATATGTTTATGATACCTTACCTAAACAAATATGTTTATGGTACCTCACCTAAACAAATATGTTCTAGTACCTCACCTAAAGAAATATATTCTAATACCCCACCTAAAGAAATATATTCTAGTACCTCACCTAAAGAAATGTTCTAGATCTAGTACCTGTCACATGTCTTACTAAATCTACTGTTAAACCTTTCAGATTGCTTGTGGGAGCACCTAAAGAAATGTTCTAGATCTAGTACCTGTCACATGTCTTACTAAATCTACTGTTAAACCTTTCAGATTGCTTGTGGGAGCACCTAAAGAAATGTTCTAGATCTAGTACCTGTCACATGTCTTACTAAATCTACTGTTAAACCTTTCAGATTGCTTGTGGGAGCACCTAAAGAAATGTTCTAGATCTAGTACCTGTCACATGTCTTACTAAATCTACTGTTAAACCTTTCAGATTGCTTGTGGGAGCACCTAAAGAAATGTTCTAGATCTAGTACCTGTCATATGTCTTACTAAATCTACTGTTAAACCTTTCAGATTGCTTGTGGGAGCACCTAAAGAAATGTTCTAGATCTAGTACCTGTCACGTGTCTTACTAAATCTACTGTTAAACCTTTCAGATTGCTTGTGGGAGCACCTAAAGAAATGTTCTAGATCTAGTACCTGTCACATGTCTTACTAAATCTACTGTTAAACCTTTCAGATTGCTTGTGGGAGCACCTAAAGAAATGCGCCCCATAAACAATAACATGTCCAATGTGATTGGTGGAGCTTTGTATCGATGCATCTCGATGGACAAATCAGAAAGCTGTACTATCATTACAGAAGGATTGTGTAAGCTTTTAAAAATAGTCTCATCAAACAAATGAAATAAAACTATAAAAAAATACTGATTAAAATGCTGCTTTTAAAAGATCAACACATCTTTAAAAAGTTAAAGTATACGCTTGAATAGATAACACTAACTATTGACTATCATATATAAAATCATATCCCTAAAACTCAGACTTACTGAGGGATAAATTAGTTGTTTTTATAAAGTTTAAAGTAAAAAGTATTTTTTTATTCATTAGCAAACGAACCTGTTCCTGGTGAACTAGTTAGTGACCAGTGGCTAGGTGTGTCTGTTGTATCAGCTGGCCCAGGCAAGAAAGCTGCGGTAAATATATCCTATCTTCTGTTCCATTTTTATATCAGTTTTAACATAGGCGCAGATGTTTCTTAGATGGGAGTCATCAGAGTCTTTACAGCTTATAAAATGATCCTCCTATTTCCGTGTTTAGAATATTTCAAATCAATTTTCTTTTGTTTCGTGGCAATGGATTATAAGTACTTCAGCTGTTTTACTTTTAATGTTGTTATAAAGTTAAAATAAATATATGTTTTATTTCCTTTTCAGTTTAATTATAGTTTTGTTTCGGAGTTTTACTTCACATTTTTTATTTTATTTTTTTATTTCTTTAGACATTGTCCCTGAAAAAAAGTTGTTTGGGCCTAAATGCATGCATTAATAATAAAATCAAATTTATTAGAGTACTTTGATAAGTAATGTTTATACTTAAATCTTCATTGATTACTGTTAGAGTAACTAAGAAACATCTGCTCTTTTCAATACCTAAAATCATTTAAAATCATATTACCCATCATCTTATACCTTAGTGTTAATCATCTGTAGATAGACATGTAGCCATAATATTTTGTATTCTATACTCACCATATTTATGTAGATCATCACTTCAAATCTACTTTATTATGCTTTAACTTACTAAGGCAAATAATAACTACCACTGTATTTTTATTAAAATACTATATTATTTAAGACTTAGTTGAATTAAAAAAAAAACATTAATGTATACAAATTAAAATTAGTTATTAGGCGTTACATTACAATTTCATGCACTTCAACCTGTTCTAATGAATGTGGAATTATAATTTGCAGTCTCAAATAAAAACAAAATACTCTTGAATAATAAATTACAAAAAATGTTATTAAATTAAATGTTCCCTACATCATTCCAAAAGAATAAAAATATTATTTATGGTAGTGTAGTACTTAAATCATGGAATGATTATTAAATACAAGATTGAAATTGTACTGTGGCCTACTGCTGGTCTAAGTTTTCTACATTATATATTCTAATAATAATAATTCTTTCCAGCTTGCTTACTTACTTGCTTACTTATTTAATACTTTACAGCTTCAAAAATTGGCATAGTTTAGATTAATTTTTATTTAATGAGTACAGAGATCAAAGACACAGAAAGTGCCACGTCTAGCTGAACTTTCTATCAAAGATATTCCATTTCACAAGCTGTTGTGATGTGTTTTCTGTTGATGACTTTTAAAGTCTTCTTTGTATTCTGGCACTTCTAGGTCTTCAAGCAAAATGTCATCTTGTTTGGTTTTTCTTCTTTTGTCAGTTTGCAAAAGTTTTTCTGGCATATAATTTTTCAAGTTAAAATATAGTTTGGAAATTCTCACTGTATAATATAGCAATTCCAGGGTTTAAAAGGTGTCTTATAGAACATTTGAAGATTTGCAGATGCTTTTGTTCAACTTGAGATAAGCTTGATTGTATTTTTTCAAATTGAGGACTATTTGACTTAAATGTGAGATGATCTTAGTGAAGATGTGTAATGTTCTGCTAATCCAGTCCAGCTGTTGTACACTTATCACCTTTCCCTTGAGCACCCAAGAGGCACAACTCTGGAAGACACTGATCTTGAGATCTGTCATTTCCTGGTTGTTAAGTCCCTACAGCACAGTTTGACATTGTTACTGTGTTACTGGACAGCTTGACTTAGTTTGTTATGGGACAGCTTGACTTGGTTTAAGCTCTTAGTTTGTTATGGGACAGCTTGACTTGGTTTAAGCGTAAAAGAGGTCTGGCTACATTGTTAAGCCTTTGTAGAGTACTTTTGTCAGCTGCTTCTTGAACTGTTTTATTCACCAACTTGAATACCCCTCACATTCTAACCTACCCTTCTAAAGCACCTGTGCTAATAGCACCAAACTGCTCAATGTATATTGACTCTAGTTGTCTCATTTCTGTCCAATTTCTTCCTAATGCTACAAATACAGAGCTGAGGTTACATCTATGTAACAGAGATCCTTGCTTGCATATTTATTTAAATATATGTCAACTTTATTAGTCTTTTATGTTACATTCTTGACCTACTTTCCAGCTGTTAGCTAAATTTAGCCTATTTTTTCTTCTCATCTATGAACATGTACCACAATTCTGACATATCCCATTATTTGAAGCCATGTAACTTTAAATGTCAAATTATATTTTCAGCCTTGAAACATATCTGTTCCAATTGATTGCCGACATTACCTGGTTTAGATGCTTTTTCTTTTTTCAAAAAAGCAATACAAAATTTTCACCTTAAGTATATTTTTTAAGCCATCAGCATTGACCATTGATTGAATTTTCTAACGAACCCTTTCCATTTCACACCCATTTTTGAATATTCAAATGTTCAGTGTTGTTTTTTTTAATATATTAAAAAGTTTTTTTTTTTTTTTTTAAATTTTTGTGTTAAATTTGTATGGCCTCTTATTTACCAAGAACAACTAGTAGGACAGTGTCTACAAATATTTTTAGGTGTTTCTTTTGTTTTACTTATTTTAACAATACTCAACTTGGGTTAAAAATTAAATGAGATGATCATTGTAAACATACTAGTTTTCCTTATGTTTTTATCTTTCTCAAATTAAATATTTGTACTTACAAAAAGCAATCCATTAATCTCATGTTATTAATTGGTGCAGAAAATTATTATCTAAAGTAGAAGAGTTGAGATGAATTAGCTACCATTACAAACCCACCTGTTGAAACAAGTGTTGTCCTTGATGGGCTAGTTCATGTGAAGTTTTTAAAAGAGCGCTAAAATATTTTTCCTATTTCAAACTCCTCACCACACCATTCAATAATTTGAAGTTTGCTTCTGTGGCTGTATTTGGTTGTTGTTGTTTTTTTTTGGCAGTTTGGTTTTTATTTTGTTTTATACTGGTTTGTATTCTTTAAACTTTTTGTTTTAAGAATTTCAAAACTTTTTTGTTTGTGTTTGGTCCTTTTCTAATTTGATTTTCCTGTTCAAATGGCCTTCTTGTTTGTAGTTCCTAGGTACAAATAATGTCACTAACTTTATTTTTAAAATAATTGTCCTATTATTTTTAGAAGTGTGTAGTTGACTAAAAAATTAATTTTATGATTTATAGTATTCAGGCATTTTTTTATTCACAAGCATTATCACATTTTGCTTCTAAACATTTTGTTTGCTTACTGCTTTTTACTATATTTTTTTTTGCTTTGGCATGATTTGTAACATTCTAATTGCTTACGCAAAATATACTTTGTAAAAATATGTACTATGCAATTATATAAATATTTAAACCAATAATCATACTGAATTGAGATATTTTAATGTATGACATTTTTGTAAATATTTCATTTGTAAAAATAAAACTATTTTATAACTTTTTTTTTAAAGGGAAGATTTAAAATATAATTTACAATAACTAAAAGGTGCACAGAAAGAAAAACAAAACAGCTATTTGGGATGTAGTATATTTCAAAAATGAAATAATTGTTTTTGCTCTGATGTTAATTTTGTTTCCCATTCACTTCATGCTTCCCCTGTTGTCATGCTTCAGCTGTCGTCACCCCATGGAATTGAAGCCAATTTTTTTTAAAAGTGTTTCATGTTGCACACCACCGACAGCTATTTGTTTTGCTGTCACCAGCTTGCCTTATTTTTAGAATTGTTTCCCATGCTTGATAAAACCCTTCAAGATGATAATTCTAAAACATTTGCCTATGATTTTATTTGGTTCTTTGTGAACTTTGGCCCAGACCTTAACCCTGAGCTGTTTTTCTACCCAAAACCCTGTCACAGCATGGTATACACAGCAATTTTAAAAATCTTTCTGAAGGATTCTATTTTTTTTTTTTTTTTGTTAGCTGAAAACTTGCATCATTACAGTTTCACTGCTAATATGCATTATTATACACCCCATGAAAAGCTAATAAAAGTACATAAAAACTGTTTTACTGGGTTAAAGAGTTAGAAAGGAGATGAACTAGTCCTTTTCAGCATTGTATGAGTCACCTCCATGCCGGTATACTTCAGGTTACTAATAGAAAGTATGAATAGAAATTTTTAGTCGAAATAAGAATTGCGCACCAAATGAACATAATCGTGTGAATTATTGAGAAAGAAATTTAGTACTTTACAACGCAAACACTGATTAACTTTTAAAATTTAATTTATCTTCTTAAGTACTAATTAAGTCACATTTTATGTCACATTGCATTGTCATTGAAAGTTTTAAACAAATCTCGGTCTGGTAGAAGTGTACTACTTCCTTTCCCCTAAAATCATGTAAAATTTGATGGAATCAAGAGAATACAGTCTTATACCTATGTATACAATCTGGTACACCTAACTGAAATGGTACTTACATTATCAGTATTGTTTAGAAACTGGACTACCAAACTTTGAGAGTAATTCATTATAAGATCTTATATTTACATATAAAATCTTGTCTACCTAACTGAAACAGTACTAAATTTATTGTGTTCCCATGGAAATAGAGCAAAGTACCACTTCCGGTTACCAAAAATAGTTAAAAAGTTGATAGATGCATTTGCATACAGTTTAATACTTACATTTGAAATTTTGACCACTTAAATTAAAAGGTTCTCAAGTCATAGGCTATTGAGAAACCGTAATAGGAGAGAGTACCACTTTCGGGTACCAGAAATCGCCAAAAAGTTAATAGAGAACTACAAATTGATTTAATACTTATATATGAAATCTCATCAACCTAACTGAAACTGTACTCAAGTTATCCTGTTTACATACATACACACTCACAGATGGACAGAATTGAAAAACAAAATTTTTCTGGCTCTGGAAGGTTATATAATGTAAACATTTGTCAAAATCTCAATTAAGATTATTTGCATGATTACAATGCATCCTTTATATTCCGCATATAATAGAGTAGGGAGATGTGAAATAGTTAGAATATCTCATCTTATTTACTTTCTCTATACGAGAGAGTAAAAAAATGACAAAATCAATTCTTAGAAATAAAATAAGTAAATTATAAGAATTCATGTGATAAAGTGTGCAAATGCACTAGAACTGATCTTAAAATGAGACAGTATTTTTTTAAATGTATAAACATCCAACATGTATCTATCATTATCTGGCATCAATAAAAAAAGCTAAATTTTTTGCTCTTTTTTGTTAAAATTTATTTAGGTACCTTAAATGTACTAAGAACAATCATTAATATTTTTAGAATCACATAAAGTTATTTGATCACCTGTGGGATAATGTTCTGGACAGGTGCGGTGCCATCTTAGCTCAATAACTTATAGTAGCAAACAAACAGATCACTTGTTTTCTTAAGGCTCTTTTTTCACTTGCTTCGTATGATGTTGTGTGTTTAAGGAGGAAATGCTTGCTATTGAACAGGCATGTTTACTTTCTGTGCATCTTTTGGTTTTTTTTATCATTACATTTTAAAGATTTTAGTTAATGTGAAATACCCAAACTAAACTTCACAGAATTTTTTTTTTAAAAATCAGACTAAGATAGGTAAACAAACTTTAGACACATTTTTTTAAAAAAGGTGATTTGGCTAGAAAGAAGAAATTGATGGTCAATGTTCTGTTTAGGCTTGTGCCCATCGTTACATCAAAGACAATGCAGCTCTTGGCTTTTGTCTTGTGATGGACAATGAATTACTAGAGCCAGCCAAGTACTCACCCTGTGACAAACTTCCTAAAACCCGGTACATGGCAGATTTTGGTTTGTGTCAGGCTGGTATGTCGGCACTAGCTGGACAGGTATGGTCTCATTTTGTTAGTTCATTAATGTGTGTTTTATTCCACGTGCGCCACATGCTTCTCTAGGTCTGCGCACATAGACACACGGTTGACAATGCTGCTCTGGGTATATGCTACACCTTTTTAAATTCCTTGGACTATGATACGCCTTACATGCCCTGTAAAAGGCTATCGCATACACTGTACATGCAAGATTTTGGTTTGTGTCAGGCGGGTATGTCGGCTGTAGCTGGACAGGTAATGTCTTGTTATACTTCATTTACTATTGTCTTATACATTATTTCATAAAGTGATATTTCATAGAATTTAAACTAAAAGTGGAATTTATAGCAGTAAACAGCAAAACTTTGTTTACTGTATTAATGGCAAATTAACTCTGATTTTAAGGATGATGCTTTTGTAATGGGTGCTCCGGGCTCAGTTTTCTGGCAAGGTAGTAATATTTCTTAGAGATGTACAAAACTAATTTTTTAAAACTACATTTTTATATCCCTTTATGCTTTTAAAACTTTCCAATGTTTAAATACTGTGCCAGCTTATTACATTACACTCATGTTTTACGATAGTAAAGGTTATTTAATGAAAAAAGTTTCAATAAACTTTGTGAGAATATTACTTTTTTTAAGATATCAAAAGAAAATAGAAAACAAACTTAAGTTTCATGATCTAAGAATGCAAATATTAATTTAAAAAATATTTTGAATAGGTGTTGTTTTTATGACAAATATTACTGACGAACTGGGCGTGTCAACAGCTGAAATCTTATCTCCTTACAATGATAAAAACCGATTGACCGGAAATGAACAGGCCTCTCCAACAGCCCCATACTCTTACAATGGTACATTTTTATAAATCTATAATCATTACAATAATTTAATGTTAAAGGCTATTTGTTAATTAATATTTTTAGCAAGTTGTTTGTTTTTTATTTTTAAATCTCTTTGTCAGATTTTTAAAAAAATGTTAAAAAAAACAAGAAGTATTGTGTTGGTATTTATTGCCAATAAACACTTTGACTTGAAAGAAATGTGAAACAAGTGTAGGATTACTTGACCACTGTATATTTCTTGTTCGCTTGTAGGCTATGCTGTAGCTGTGGGGAGGTTTGACAGCTCACGGGTGCTTTACTACGCATCTGGAGCCCCCAAGTCTCACAACAAGGGCGAGGTCATATTCTTTAAACAGTTGAAAACAGCGCTTTATTATGAACCCTCGCAAATTATCAGAGGGCCTATGGATTTCTCTGGCTTTGGTTCAAGTCTTCTTGCCATGGATCTCAACAAGGACGGGTTTGTCAAACATTTTCAATTTTTGGGGCATTTTGTAGGGATTTTATAATGTACGTTTGACTTTAGATTGATACAGTTTTGTGATGTATGTTTGAAGTTAGTGTGATACAGTTTAGTGATGTATGTTTGACTTCAGAGTGATACAGTTCTGTGATGTATGTTCGTCTTTAGAGTGATACAGTTTTCTAATGTATGTTTGACTTCAGAGGTTGTTGTACGTGCAGTGTCAGAATACTATGTAAACTATTTACATGTTCATAATGACCTGTAAACTAATTTTGTTGAGAGAACTATTTACATGCTCATAGCCTTCATTCATATTGTATTAAAATTTTGTACAGTTTGCTTCTTTTTTGTCGAGTTTTTGGCTATAAGGTGTGTCAAACATAAACTACATTCATAAGTTAATCATTTTATAGTATTTAATTAATGTACTTTAAAATATTCCTTTTTAGATTTGATGACTTGATCGTGGGAGCTCCATATTACTACAGGAGAGGTCATGGTGGTGCCTTCTATATATATTATGGTGGAGTAAAAATGGTATGTTTTTTAATGTATTCCAAGAGAAAGACAACTCAATTTAAAATTAAATTTAAATAAAATATTTTCAAATTTAAAAAAAAAATCATGAATCCACCACCATAAAGTAAAATTAACAGTTAACAGTTTGATTGATGACAGTCAAAAAAGTTTTAAAGCTTTTTTTTTTTTATCCAGATATCAAACAGCACTGTTGGTAAAGAAATCATCAGCCGCTCTATGGGAGACCAAGAATGTGAAAGACTGATGTGTGAGCATGCACAGTTTGGGATTAGCTTAAGTAAAATTGGAGATGTAAACAAGGACACATTTCAAGGTTTGTTGAAATTTTTCAATTCTTAAATCATGGATATATTTTAATTGATCACTTGTTAATCCTAAGGTTGCATTAACAATATTTTTTTATGATTTAAAAAAAAAGATCAATGAAAAAAAATTGAAATCATGGATATTTCCCTTAGTTAAACAAGTTTTTATTGTCTTTTTTTTTTCAATGTAGACTTTGCTGTTGGTGCCCCATATGAAGGGAAAGGTTGTGTTTACATATATTTTGGCTCTGATAAACCTATCGACAAGTATGTGCAGGTAAACAATTGTCATTTGGCCACATAATTCACTTGTGATAGTCAATTTTGACTAGAGGCTAATGGGTTAATAGTCTCTTTTATATTAAACATGTTTTATGGATTTGTTTAAACTGTAACACTAATAGTTACACTGTAGAAATGACCAGTCACCTAGCAAGGTGACATGGTTGGGTTAGGCCCCACTATGAATCTGATTTTTTAAAAATATGGTTGTCAGTTTGTCAAAAACTGAGTGCAGAAAGCAAATAGGCACATTTTAGTTCCTGACTGCTATTTTCTTCAAAACTCCTAACAATAAGCTCCCAACATATTATCACAGGAGCTTATTTTTAGAAGATAGTTTTAAAAAACACCCTATATTTATTTAAATTTTTGTATGTAGAATTACATAACATATTTTAATATCACTAACATAGCCTACTCTGCTCTTACTATCACTACTTAATATTGGGTTTTTAGATGTAGTAGCAACACACAGGAAATTATTTACTTTCAACAAGTTATGTACTATTTTTGACTGTACTAGTACTAGAACTTCATTAGAAAAGTCATGTATTATTTTTTGACTATGCTAGATTACTACTATACACAAACCATACAATTTTTTTATCAACTATACTAAAAAAAACTGCTTTTCTATTGACAGAGAATTGAAGCTTCCGATTTGCCCGTCCCTAACCTGATGTCCTTTGGCTACTCCCTGTCTGGTGGATTGGACCTGGACGACAACGGCTATCCTGACCTGCTTGTTGGGGCTTACGAATCCAGTGCTGTGGTACTCTTACGGTCTCGGCCCATCATAAAGCTCAACTCAACGCTTAAAGTAAACCCCATTGCAGTAAATCTTGAAGAGAAGGCCATCTGTACCAGTCCTCTAGTCAAACCAGCAAATGCACAGCGCCACTGTATTGAAATTGAATTGTGTTTGTCATTTTATTCTAAATCCGGATTAAGGTATTTAATTCAAGTTACAAAGAAAAAAAAAAATTTTTAATCTGTTGTTTTTTGTTTTTATTGTTATATTCATTTTTAAATATGTATTGTGTGGTCATCTAGTTGTTTGACTTAATCAGATAAAAATATACACCTTTTTTTAGTACAATGCCTACAGTGACGTACAACTTGGAGGCCGAACCACAGCGTAGAATTGCAAGAGTTGACATCCAGGATAAGGCAGAAAACAAAGCAGTTACCCTGAAAGCCAGTGGTCAACAATGTGTGAAAGAACTGGCTTTAGTGAAGGTAACAAATAAAATCTCAAGCTAATCACCACATTAAATTTCCAGTTTCAAAAAATGTTTAAACTTGCTTTCTAGAGTACATTAAAAGCATATATTTCTTAATGAAAATGAAGTATTTTCTTAATAAATTTTTATACTATTCACTGGGTTTTTTTTGTGTTAGTACTAATAAAAATAAAATCATTTTCATCTGTTTTGAAAATTTCATTTCATAAAGAATCTAAGATGCTTAAATATATTTTATTAAAAATCAAGTTTAGAAGAACAAAATCAAGAAATAATTAAATTTGTTATTTCTTGAACCAAAAGGCTCAGTTTGATGACAAGCTGAATCCCATGGAGTTTAGATTTACCTTTGGACTGAGCACAGACAACAGAACCAAACCTGTGTACCCAGACAGTGCTGTGGCAAACATTGACCAGTATCCAGTGCTAGAAATTGTTGGTAAAGGGACTACTGATGTAGTCAAGGTAAATAAAACAACATCCCTTGAGTTATTGCACCATGACATAACTGTAATAGTTGTCTGTTATTTAAAAAGGATAATATGAATATGTTAAAAATTAGAGGATAACTTAGAGTGGTTTAAGTCAAAGGCTTATTAATTCAAAAACTTGCAAAAGTTCTTTATATTCTTCTAAGCACTCCAACATTAAAATAGAAATTATCATAATACTCAAATAAGATATTTAGCATTTTAAATTTAAGTGAATGGCATTGTTAAAAGGGGTCAGATGTCACTTTGTATAATTCATATTTTAAATAATCAAATCTGTTTTTCATGTCCAGGTGGAGTTTGTCAAGGAATGTGGGGAGGACAATGAGTGTGATAGTAATTTGCAGTTTTCAGCAAGCTATAAGGGTCTTATGTGAGTGAATAAATATGCTCAGTTCTGTACACATACATCCACTGTTTTGGTATGCAAAATCCTCTGCTTAGGACTAAACACCCACTGTTTGGTACACAAACATGTAGCGCTCTGTACACACACACCCACTGTTTGATTCACACAACATCCAGCTTTTATTTGGTACACACAACATAAACTATTTCATACACACACATCCATTGTTTGATTCACACATTTCATACACAAACATCCATTGACTCACACAACATCCAGCTTTTATTTGTTACACACAACATAAACTATTTCATACACAAACATCCACTGTTTAGTACACACAACATCAATTGTTTGGTTCGCACAACATCCGCTATTTGGTACACAATCATACTGTTTGAACCTATAGAAATTGAACCGGCACTTCCTGAATACAATTTTCAATTCTTGTTCTTTCAGAAAAAAAGATGATGTTTATGAAATGGCAATTGGTGAAAACAATAATTTATTTGTGGAGATAGATGTACAGAATATTGGCGAGGCAGCTTACCTAACCAGAGTTTACCTGGAGAAACCAAAGACTGTCAGTTATTTTTCCACTGAGTCACTGGTATGTTTATAGCATTACATGTTGTTAATTTATGTTAGTGCAATAATATTTAGCAATATCAGTGTAGTTCACAATTTATTTTCACTGTTTTATATTGTACCACATTTGGTGATACCATTGTAGTTCACAATCTATTTTCACTGTTTTATATTGTACCACAACATTTGGCAATATCAGTGTACCTCACAAATTTATTTTCATTGTTTTAGTTTTATATTCTACCACAACATTTGGCATTATCAGTGTACCTCACAAATTTATTTTCATTGTTTTAGTTTTATATTGTACCACAACATTTGGCAATATCAGTGTAGTTCACAATTTATTTTCACTGTTTTGGTTTTATATTGTACCACAACATTTGGCAATATCAGTGTAGTTCACAATTTATTTTCACTGTTTTATACTGTACCACATTTGGCAATATCAGTGTAGTTCACAATTTATTTTCATTGTTTTTGTTTTATACTGTACCATATTTGGCAATATCAGTGTAGTTCACAATTTGTTTTCACTGTTTTGTTTTATACTGTACCATATTTGGCAATATCAGTGTACCTCACAAATTTATTTTCACTGTTTTCTTTCAGAGCTCAGTGACCTGTCAGAATGTCAAAGATGATGACACGCTGATAGTGTGTGATCAGATTGGCAATCCTTTCCGTCAAAACAGTCGGGTCTATTTTATTATAAAGCTGAGTGTCCCTTCAAACCTATCAGAAACAAATGATGTCTACAACATTACCACATGGGTCAACACGTAAGGAATATTTCTTTATATTTATTTTGTTCTATTTACTCACAAATGATGTCTAGAACATTACTGCATAGTTCTACATGTAGAGAATATTAATAATATTTATTTTGTTCTTTTTTGACTTATGACTGATGTCTACAGCACGTTTTTAGATTATTAAGGTATAGACAACTAACAAATGATGGCTGAAACTTCACCACATGGAATATTTCTTCATGTTGTTCTTGTTATCTTTAACTATAATAAAGCTCAATACTTCTTAAAATGTGGACTGGATGTATCAAATTTATTGTATAGCTAACCTATAGTAGCACATTCCCCAATCCATAACATTAGTACCAAAACAACGTAACGAGATATCATCAGAATAAACGGTATAAAATACATTACTGTGTTGTCTGTAAATTTTAAAACAAAACAAAATTCACTTTGACTTTATTTTTCAGTACAAGTACAGAATCAACCCCGTTAAATGACAGACATGTCTTGAAATTTAGAGTCATCAACAAAGCTGAAATTATTCTCCAGCCGTAAGTGAAAAGCTACTTAAATAAAGATATTCCATTGATTGTAATCTATGTTTTAGCCTCCCAGAAATATATTGATTTTTTGTCTATCTTATTATATTAATTCCTTTACTAAAATCAGATAGATGCCAAATGTTATTAAAATCATATAGATTTTTTACATTAAAACTGGTTGAATTTTAAATGCTGAACATATTTTGAAGCCTGTCACTTTCATTTTATCTGCCAGAAATGTCATTCCTGACAGTCCCATTCTGTGTAAAGGAGAACCAAGAAAATCAGTGGATTTCACTGATGAGAAAGACATTGGAGCATCAGTGAAGCATAATTTTGTTGTATGTAAAAACATCTATTAGATCCTAACAGAATCTCTTGTAGGTTTTCATGGCTGAATGATTACTTGAATACTTTACACCATATCTATGATATAAACCATTACATCTCATTTATACTTGCGACATGTATATTATACATGTCAAGGAAAAAAACTTTGTAATCAGAGAGTAGGCCCCCAACACATGTTCTGTTAAAATTAACTTATGCTGAATTTTTTTTTCTAGATGTATATAGTAAACTATACTTGTTGCAAGTGTAATTGCAGTATTAGAATGGCTAGTTGTATTATAAATCTGTAAGTGTGCTCAACAAGACTGTAACATGAACTTTGCCTGAGTTTGCACACGTTTATCTCCTCATTAATCTTTGTTTGCCCTGCAAACATGCCCTAATTAGGTCATTAAGCAAGAAGCTCTTGTCTTCACCTGTATGATGATGATATTAGGGTCCAGGAGTGGAGTGACCTAGGTCAGCAAATTCTGACATCAGCTGGCCTGATCTGGTGGTGTAGATAAAAACTAGATGAGGTTGTTGGGAAATTGAAAAGTTTGGTTGCTAGCTGAGTGGTCCTGTTGCACAAATGTAGTGTACTGGTATATAGTTTAAAAATGTAACAAATTGCCAGTACCGTTTTTTTTCCTTAAGGTAAAATTTCATAATTTTTCAATTATTCTTAGAAATTTTTAAGAATAACTATGATTAAACTAAATTTTTGTCTTGACAAAAATTTTTGTTCATAAAAAATCATAACCAGTTTATATTTTATGTAATCTTTAAAAAAAACAGGTACGAAATTTAGGTCCTGGTGTTGTACCCAACTCCTACATATCCATCAAATGGCCATATCAGTTAAAAGGAGCAGGAGACAATGAGGAGAAATATCTACTGTATCTCACCAGGATGCCTAAGGTAAACAATCATCATTGGTGGCAGATACTGTCATTTAAATGATGACTGGTGGGCCTACTGTCATTTAAATGATGACTGGTGGGCCTACTGTCATTTAAATGATGGCAGATACTGTCATTTAAACAATCAGGTACTGTCAATCAAAAGATAACAAGTATATGGGTCTGAACATTCATGAAGAAACAATTAATTTACTTGAGATTTAACTAATTTCCTAAGTATTTACTAGAGATTTAGCTAACCTCCTATAAATTGATTAGAGATTTAACTAATTTCCTATGAATTTATTAGAGATGTAACTAATAACCTATTTATTTAAATATACAGACTGTAGGACCAGTAAAGTGTATTTTTGAAGACATCCAGAAGTTCATTAACCCTAAAAACATTAAGGTAAGCTCATCAGTACTGAAACAGTTGTGTGTCACCCCTACAGAACTTAATATGTTCAGATACATTCTTTCATTACTTTTGTTATATTAAAACATGCTCATTTATATTTACAAAATAGTTCAGCACTATTCCTTCTTTTTGTTATTTTTCAACATTCAATTGAGATTTTAAAAATATAATATTCATCTCTTGTAGAAAAAAGTATTTTGCCAGTATGTGGATCTCTGGTTAATACTGATAACTTGCTAAAAAACTTTTTTTTCTTCTAAAATTCTCATTAGTTAATTGAAGAAGCTTCAGCAGAATCTGTTTTGAGCAATTATGTAGCAGACGTACCTCCTGAGTTTAAAGAATCCAGCAGAAAGAAGAGACAAGCAGACAGAGAACGTAGAGCCCCTGGTTCAGTTGTTGTCATGGTAATAACCTTGTTTCACTTTAGTCAGGGTGCTGATAGGTGCATGGATACATTTAATCATAAATTAATTGACTATATGCCATTTCTAATGCAACAATTTCCAGATAAATACATTTCCTATGACAACATGTTTATAGCATTTTAACTTTAATTACTTATTAAACTAGTCATAAAAATTAATTTAAAGACTACTATGTTCAACAAAGTAGGGAAATTAGATTAATTAGTAGTGAATCAGTCTTCTCAGATGACCACACAACATTTTTTTAAACTTTTTTAAGAGCTGTGAAAAAGAAGATATTGTTGACTGCTTTGAACTCAAGTGTGAAATTGGCAAACTGGACCCTAATCAGAATTATGCTCAGATCACATTTGAAGCCCGCTTATGGGAGAGCACACTATTATCTGTAAGTACTTTTAGATACAAAGATGACTTCTGTAAACATCCTTAAATGTATTAAAGTGACACAACGTATGTTTTTATTTTTTAATTTTTAGTTAAAACCCACTACTGTTGTTTTGTTTTTTTTAAATATTACAATTTTTTCCAGATATTTTTTCATACTTAAAATCATCCTTCTTTTAATTTTCGTACCAGAACTATCGCAAGACAGCAGATGTTCAAATTATTTCCTGGGCCAAGGTGGATGTACCTGAAAAAATAACTCAAGACACCAAAAATGATGTCAAAGGAGTATGTTAACTCAAGAAATAATAGTTGTCATCAATTCTCTCATTGTAAACTAAATTCTAAGCAATACCTTTACATCTATATGTTGTCTAAGCAGGTTTTGTTTAAAGTTTTACTTTTATACATTATTTAAAAACATTAATTCAAATAATTACCTAAAACAGCTAATCAAACAACCATGTTAATTAAAATATTGATATCCATTATCTCTTCACAAAACTTTTTTGTATTATGTATACATTGTTGTCATCTCTATAAATGATTGTCTTTGTTATACTTTATTGTCTTCTCTATACATTCTTGTGTCTTTTCAAAATATAGTTATGTCTTCTCCAAACACTATCCCCTTCTTTAAATATCACTGTCTTATTGTCTAGGGCATCACACGAGCTGTGCCAGACTTTAAAGAAACTGCAGGACAGACCGTTCAATGGTGGATTATTTTAGTAGCTGTTTTAGTGGGCCTTGTTGTACTACTTGTTGTAATTTTTGTTCTTTACAAGGTTAGTTTGTTTAAATGTATTCATTTATGATTTAACCATAAATATATTTTTATTAAAGTGTGAAAAGCATTCAATCAAAAGAACATAGATTTTTAAATTGTTAAATTAGGTCCATATTGTAGCTTTCTTATCATGAAGCTATTACAACACTTAGGCCTACATTATTTTATTTGCATCATTTAAATAGTACATTACAAAACACCACAATCAAAATTAAATTTAAATACTCGATTTACAGTTGCCAAACCATTGCCGAGAAGTATCTCATTACACTACACACTTCATTGTATTCTTCTGTCATTAGAATATCTAATCACAATTACCTTATTTAGTTCTGTAAGTTCTATAACATTTATGAGATATGTTTATGATATATGTTTCTTACTCTGTAGCTTGGTTTCTTCCGACGTAAACGCTTGGAGGACATGAAGACATACAAAGCAGAGAAAAAGCAACAAGCTATGCTAAGTGACCAGGATGAAGCATAGCTCTCACCCCCTCTAGGACTTAGTTAAAAAATAGTTTTTAAATTTTAAAAATTTTCAACTATTAGCTCAACAGTTTAGAAAACCTGTTTAACCAATACTATCTTCTACTGAAGGTACTAGAATTATTTTCAGATGGTCAGACATACGTCACCATTGAGGTAGTTTCTCAAATGCTTTTTAAATTGCATATCACAGTTAAATGATATTGCTGATCACCAAAGACATGTACCATTGTCCAATAGAATTGTTGGTGCTTTAAAGCCAAAACAATTTTTTTAAATAGATAATATCAATATTAAATTTTAATCTGTCATTTAAAAATGAGTGTAGATATTTTTATAATAGATAAAAATAATGAAATTACCATTTTACCATTTTTTTTATTTAGAGAAAAATGTTTTTTTTTTTACATTCCTTAATGTATACATTTATTATTGTTCCATCATTAAGGTTATGTCCCATGCTATACCGGGAGCTTAATAATTATGTTAATATTATATGCAAACACTAGTATAAGCAATTTAGCACAAATAGTATTATTTTAATCAAATGTGTATGTACATAATGATTTTAGCCATGACTTAGTTGTATAAAGGCTAAGAAAATAATACAACAAGCTTTGAATGCGGTAGCAGATGTGTTGATTAAAAGCTAATCTCTACTAAATTATTACATTTCAACTAGTACATTTTTATATCGGTTCCAAGCACTTGATATTCTTGACCAAATACTACCCAAAGTGGTTTAAAATTGTAACATTCCAATAACTAAAGAAACTGTACTGGATAGTTATTTATATCTGTATTTCATTAAGTATTGATGTAAACTTTTAAGGTCACATTAAGAAATATATTCTGCTAACCCTATTTATTCTGAGAACAAACATTTCTTTTAACATTACACACTTTTCTCTATAGTAGTTACAGCTGTTTACATTTTAAAAGAAATTCATTTAATACATGTACTTGGTGATCCATTTGTCATGTCACCCATTTATGCCTGATAGTTCTTAAGTGTTTATAGGTTTATTGAAAAAATATGTACATTTTACAATTTTTTTTTACAGTTTTTAATTCTTTACTAAAAATTCCTTGTATTTCTATTTAATGAGATTTTTTTTAATGTTCAGTCACAGAAAACACTATTTATACATCCCCGTTGAAATAATCCTTGTTAAAATATAGCTACAAAGAATGACCAATAATCTAATTATAAAGCGTTAGATGTATATATTTGCTGTGTATTATTTCACACAAGCATTCCTTTTATTTGTTACTGAAAAACTTGTTTTCATTATGCATGTATATCAAGTGTATTTACATAATCTACCTGTGTTTATGTCGCCTTGCTTTTATTTCTTCTATACTTCTACCTAGTGTTTATAAATTTATATATACATATATATAATATACAAGTGTAAAAACTTGTGTATAGTATGTTAAACTAAGCAAAAATCAAATGTGTAAAATTATTTAGATGTGTTGTTTGACTGTACAGTACCTATACATATTAAAGTGCAAATCTTTATAAAGGTGAAAAATTGGTGTTTACCTCCTGCCTCATTTACCAGGTGGAAAGCTTGCCTTAATCAAGTTACTGTTATTTATAAACTGTCTTTTATTATAAGTGTTAATTTGAAATTTTTGTGCCTGTTGCTAGGGTTTTTTTTAATATGCAAGTGAATTGCAATGTCTACTTGGATATATTTGGCTGTATTACAGCTAAATAGAAACTATTAATTCAAGTGATGCTGTTAATATTATTTTAAATGGCTACATTTAGAAAATAATTTAAGATTTTAAACAGCTAAATATTAAAAAGGCTATTTTTTAAATAAAGTTTGAAATGTAATATAAATAAAAATACAGGTCTATTGTATAAATTATGTGCCGGTTGATGTTTTTATTAGATTTCGTTTGATTTTCATGCTTTTCCCCCTCTGCAGTGGAAGCAGACTTGAGATTCTCTCTCCACAATGTACATAGCTTAAATTTGCTTTTTTGTGTCACTGTAATATTTATTGGTCTATGTTCTGTATATTTTGTCAGTAATTATTTTTACGTGATTTTAAGTTAGTGTATACAAAGAAATATTTATTTGCTTTTATAACACCATTTTAACGCTTTTTTGTGTGAAAGGTATTGATGCTTGGCATAATTTCTTCTACAATGTAAAAGTTGTGTTTTCATGTTTCCGTCCTTAGCTAGACATTTCCCTCAGGCTAATTAAATTTCTTTAGTTTACTGTAGCTTTCTCCTAGGTTACATTCCAGATTATAGATTCATTCATATTGTAAAGAACAGTTCCATCTTCTGTGTATATTTTTGATGGTTGTGATTTGAGATGTTATAAAATGTGTATGATGTATCATAATTGTCATGTGTGTACTGGATTGTTAACAGTTTTCATCCTTCCACTTTTTAATTTTAATATCTAATGCATTTTTCTCAAATTCCATATTATTTATATTAAGTCCTTGTATAATACCCTTTTTGCAAAAGTATGGGGGTTATTCACTGCAACACTTGTATAATTAGTAAACATTTATTTTTTCTAGATGTATTATTTTTAAGTAGGAGGTTAAAATCTTAATAAAAAACAGTTTTAAAAATCCCAATACAATTTTCAAGTATTTTAGTTTTTAAAGCAAAATAATAAATTAAAAGTGTTGTATTGTAACCCATTCAGAAGTAGGTGACACGAAAAATGTGCAATGCTTAATTGCTTTATAGTACATTTTATATAATTTTTCAAAGTTTCGCTTTAATGAAACATGCTATTTGATAAAGTGTTTGTCCAGCTAAATGTCTTCATGTGCAGGGTCAACCTAAAAATACCCTTGGTTTTTTAACTTTGCAGTATAATTATCAAACCTATGCTTTTAATTAGTGCAGTCTCCATTGCACATTTTTCAGAGAACCCAAAAATTGCATTTATTATCAGGTGCTGTAAAAGGGTTGTAATGTTTAATATCTTATGCTAAATAAATATTGGCTTGTCTATTTCTTGTGGCTTATTCATTTATTGATGATAACTATTTTAAAACAAACAACAAACACTAATGAAAGCATAAGAAATAACCAACCTTTAAAAGAACTATAAAATTTTCATTTTAATTCTTTAAAAATAAGCAACAATTGCAACATCAGCTTGAAGTTGCTTTACAAAAAAAATTAATCAGTTCAACAGTATTACTCTACACACTAATGTAGACTTTTTTTTTTGAAAACTAGAGAGGCTATTCACATAACTTATCTGTGGTTTACACAGACTATTGCTTCATAAAAAATACTGTAAATGCATTTGGAACAATGCTAATATAACTTAATCGTTTCTCATTGGAAAATCATTATTCCAACATTAGATAATTGTAAAAATAAAAACTTTTTTAAATAAAAACTTTTGAATAACAAACACACTTTCATACATGCCAAAGATTCCAAGTAAACAATAAAACTTTATAACATGATTAGTTATTAAAAATTCCTACTCTTTAAGTTGTCTAACATTTTTTTGGTCAGTCCAGGAACCAGTTCCACATGTTGATCAGCACACTGAATAACACACCTCTCTAAACTAGAACGTCCTTTTTCTACATCTTTATCGGAAGGCTTTGCTGGAAGCTCATCTCGCAATTTGTCCTGACAGCTCATTGCACAACGCTGAAGGCGATTCTGTGAGAGAAAAAATTAACATATGCTAATAATAAGTAGATTTTTTAAATTTAAGGTTAGCATCTCATTGCCAGCATGTGCATCCCAATTGTTTTGGTTAAATTATAGCAAATCACACCAGTAACAAGATATCAGAGGAAGAAAAAAAAAAACAAGCATTGTCACTTTGCAGTAGAGGAAATAAAAGAAAAATAAATATTTAAAATTAAATGATACTGACTTGAAAAAGCTCTATTTCATTCTGGAGATAAGCCTGAGCTTTAGTGACATCTCTTGAACAATCATCTATACAATTTTGTACATCCTCAAGGCTGGCTTTAGTATCTTGACAGCATTTAGCACTACACTTGTACATATCAACCTGCACATTGTAGAAAGAAAAAAAAAATTTAATGGTCCCTTTAAAGTGGAGTATCGAATTATTCAGATCTGAACAAATCAAGAACTAAAGGTTTTTACTAATCCATGTATAAACAGTCAAACTTTAATAAATGAATCAATATGAAATTCTTCAGTTATGATGATATTGAAAACAACATACAATGGCAGATAAAACTATAAATTCTCAAGTAAAAATTTAAGCAAAAGGCTTTTATTATAGGCCTAATAAATAACAAATTAAAACAAAAAAAATCTCAAGAAATGCACTAAAATGTTTATATAGGGGCCTATATAGTATATGCTGGCATGACTAAAAATAAAAGCCTGTGCACTCAATGATGAAAACGGAACACATCATGCCATAGATTGTAAACATATGAAATGGAATACACTTTCAATAAATAAGCGCTCAACTAAAGCTATGAAAATAACATAAAACCTTTCTACTTTTTAATTAACAGGTGGGAATGACCTTAACTTGGCGTAAATATTTAGGCCTGCCCTAAATTATAAAGTTAATGATATTCAAAGTCAATCTCGTGTGAGTGGAATAAAAATGTAATCATGTTTTTTAGGTCATGCTTAAACTGCATGCATAGTAGCTAATGATAACCCTTATGACATAATAACAGTCCCATTTTTGCTGCCTTCTGAGCTTCTCTTTATCACCTTGACATTTTGTGTCTCACGTTTAAGTAAAGTTCCCTTTCAAACCCGACGGTCTACGGGGCAAGTGAAGTAGAGTTCATTTGTTTCTGTGACCTCGGCATATGAAGGGATGGGATAGTGTGGTCAGCACTATGCCCAGCCGCCTTTACTTACCCTAACATCAGTTAGGTACCCATAACAGCTAGGTGGACTCAGGGACGGTCTATTGACTTGAACCGGATTCAAACTCAAGACTTACGGGTTAGCAGTTCAACTCTCTACCACTAGGCCACTCTGTCCTAGATTTACCCCCACCATATTTTTCAGAACTAATACTAAGTAAATCAAAATTTGGATCTGTTAACTAATACTATTATTAAATAATGCATCGCCTACTGAATCAAAATAGATCTAGCTATAAAATTTATTTGAAGCTGATAATGCACACAAAAAAAAAACCATTGTGATAGGCCTACAGTCTACAGCATAAAAAATGAAAGCCAAACATACATTACAACATGGAAACTATTGGAAACCCATAAAAATCAGATAAATATAGATACCCGTGTCTGATAATGGAACCTTCTTTAAAAAAAAGGGGTGTTGGGTTGTTAAGTATTGTAATCTCGACTAATTTTATGGTTAGGCGTATGGTAGGACCAGGTTTGGGGTTAGGGACAGGGTTAGCACTGACATTAGCCAGTCATGTGTGTATTTAGTTAACTACCAGTAACCTAACACCCCTTTTTTAAAGAAGATTCCAGCCGTATTATAAACATTCTCCCCAATCTTCTGTAGGCCTAACTAATAATCTAGATTATTCTAGATCAAATAATACACAAAAACACTAGAGAAAGCAATACACAGATCTAGATCTACTAGTCTAGATTTTTATTTAGATCTAGAGTAAAGTTCCGCGTGAGATCAAAACCTCGGTGGGATCACATTCCTGTTTATCGCTTCGTATAATATTTGTTTGGATGTTTTATACGAAACTACCAATATCTGCTGTAAACATGTCCATTTCTAAATATATCCAGGTCAAATTCTTTTGTTTCCCTCCTTCTGGAAGACTAGTTTTTAAATTTTCAAGTTTCGAGGTATGACGTCGTTGGCCATTCTAGTTCCCCCCTATGAAAAGCACTAGGTCCCGGATGAGATGAATAAAACCAACCAATCAAAGCTTTTATAACTAGGTTAACTATAAATAGCTTTTATTTATGTGTGGGACACTGAAAATACTGTATTTAAGGCTATTAAAACAATCTTGGAGGTGAAATGAGGGTGATCCCAGCTGGGGTAACGATTTTTGTGTTTTAACCTCGCTGGGTACACCTACGACTTGAGCTAGACTAGCCTAGATCTAGATGCTCTATATTTCAAGCTAAGCCTAGAATCTGTATACTTTCTATTTTTTTCTGTTGTTTTAAATTATTTCAATCATCTACCTCTTCTAAATCTAGTTTGTATCTCTCATCCAATCATATGTTAAGCAAATGTTAAGTTATGTCATGTTAGTGATTGTTACGTCCCTTTGTTATGATTGTTATAGTTGCGTCCCTTGAGTCATCACTGGGTCATCCGTAATGTGTAGTTAATAAATTTAATTAACATGTTTTTTATTTAGTTTTGCAATCTATTAATTAATTATACAATCAACAACACGTTTAAATGTGTAAAATGTTAATTCAATTGTTAAAATTGGATCAAAACGTAAAAAATACGCTAGTGATCCCAAGCAGGGACAGGTGATCTCAAGCAAAAAAAAAAGTGGGAAAAGTTGATCCCAAGCAGGTTCGTCACTAAAACATGAATATCTCAAATACTATGCGTATGAATACAAAATACTTCATGCATATTAAAGTAGAATGGCAGTGGAGTAATAATAGGTTGAATTATGGATTTTTTCAAATAAAATATTCTGTTATTTCAAATACACCATTAAGTTCCTTACCCCTTAAGAGAACATTTGACACCACATTTAAATATCTAGCTTATTCGGTTGACGAGAAAAAAGAGAATTTGAAAATTTAGCTAGAATGGAAAATGAATGACAAAACAAGAAACTTGCTCCTGGACCGGCATAACATGACGCCGTGAACTTGTGTGCACGAGCTTTTAATTCCCGCCATGGTAATTGCGTCAGATTAGGTCATTTACTCACCGGAAAATAACAAAAAGCAACTGGTTGATAATAAAACTTAGATCTAGTTATTTTATTATTTATTAAATTCTACTCTACATTTTATTCATACCATTTTAAGAAATAATGAACACCTACATAAATCAAACGACGGTAATAAATATTTTTATTTCAAATTCTAATTTTAAATAATAAATATGCATAAAATAATATGATAGTAATAGTTAAGATAGTTTATAAATGCAAATACATTTTACACTCAATCACATTATATTGAGTCAACAGTGTGGCAGCTGAGGTTCATACATGGTATTAGTGTCTTTTTTTTTTTACATTACATTTTTCTCATCTTGAAAACATGACGTATGTGATTTTTTTAAAAATAAAATCTCCAAACATCGTCACTCGCGTGATTGCTTGCTTATGTTTACTATCCTGTGGATGAAAAATCCCACCACGGTCGCGGGGTCACCGTGACTTCAGCAGGCCTACAGTACACGTCATAGAATGAACACACGTACACGAGATGGTCGGTGTCTTCACTTCTCTCTCTCCCCCCCCCCCCCTCTTCTTCAAGCAAATTAAAAAAGAGACCTACTTCCCTACTTCTGGTCATTTTTTTTAGTTCGGTCATTTTTTTTTTTAAGTTCGGATATCAGGCATGCTAGACAGCCAGCTGTATAAAAAAAATATTTTTTAAACTAGATCTACGTCTAGCTTAAAAAAATAAATAAATAAACGCTTAAAATGCCCGTAAACAGATTATTTAGCGCCAAAAAAAAGGCCGCTGAACGAGCATTTTTTACAATACGCAGCAATGAAAAAGGCTAACGGCCAATCAATTAAGTCTAAAAATCGCCCGTAATTAGGCCTAGCTCTGAAAAAGGCCACTGAACGAGCATCACTGATTATATAAACGAATAGGCCACGCGGCGTTGACGAGGTCAACCACCGGTCACGAATGCAGCAACGGTCGGCCCACAGTGAAGAAAAAATCAATATACTAATAAAATTACTAATACAATAATAATGTCTATAATTTTACTTTTTCCACACATGCTACAATTGATTTATAATTAAAATACTAGACTTAACAGTTCATTCCGTAAAAAAAACAAAAACTAGTTGTTTCAGTCTGGCAACTAGCGTAACAATGACGTCATGATACTTAAAATAGCGGATAGAAATGTCAGCGTGGGTACCTCATCCTCGAGGAAGATTTTAGAAAAAGTAATCAAAAATACTGTAAATATACATGATAAATATATCAATTATATATTAATGTACAGTTAGTCGAGCCGTTTTCCCCGTTAGTCGGTCGTTTTTGGCGGCGGTTCAGTTTTTACGGAGAGTGCTCTACTAGAAATCCTCTCATTATTTACAACCACGAATCTTGCGATTTTTTCTGGCATTCTAAGGCATATTATCCATTTTATTAGCAATTTGCATTAAAATAATGATGAGAATTTGCGATATAAACAGTTTTTTCATTTGTCGTGGATGGGACCCCTAAAATAAACGGAAAAACCGTCAGAAAACGATGCGTGACGTTTCAGGGTCAGAGGTCAATCCTGCCATCTAAGCAATGCGCCAGACTAGTAATAAAGTACTTTCGGTTTGTTTCTGTGTGAAACGGTTACAAAATAGCGCCCGATAAAAATCGGGAGTTTGGAATTTTTCGCTATGTGTGATCCCACGCGGAACTTTACTCTAGATCTAGATGTCTAAATTAGTAAATTTAGTGATGTAACCCCGTGCTTTCAAATGACATTGGGATTTGAAACGATTGGAAACGTAAGAAAATGTGAGGCAGTTAACATAAAACTAGCTAGATAACGACGAAATAATGGGAGTTTATTATTTTAGGATCTATTAAACTTATTTTCAAACAACCTGCATTTTTCTTAAACACTCCGTATCTAAGCTATTAACCATTTTGGAAATAGCTTCTTGAACTCGTGCCTGTGCTCCGTCCATTTTGTCAACAGTACAGCTACGTGGTGAATGAAAACTGCTGGAGACAGGGGCCTAGCCTGAAAAAAAATCCATTAAAAAATCTTTTAAGAAAACAGTGATTTATTGAAAACTTTATTCTAAATTTATTTTTTGTTAATGAATCATTTAAAATACTAGATTCTATGTGTTGCATAACCAAACTATGATCTATGTAAAATTACGTTTTTTATTTATTTTAAGAAGGGGTTTTCCGAAGGAAACGCTTTACTGACTTTACTGCTGTCTAGTAGGATACGATATTGTTTACAAAAGCAACCATTAAATTTTTTAAAGCTATACTATACTAACGCTATCTTATTTGGCAGATCTTCTAGATCTAATTAAAACCAACCATTGTGTTTGAAAAATATATAGATCTAGATTCTAGATCTATGTTTGATTGCAAATGGCTCATCTTTTTGTTGACGAGTCACTAGAAACAGTCGAAATAAAGTCATCTTGGAAGAAGGAAAGGTTAGTCACCAGTTGAGTTGGTGTTACTGTAACTGTTACCGAAGTGTTGCAGAAGTGTTACTGTAGGGTTAGAGTAGACTGAGTATTAGACTGTTGTTAGATTAGATAGATATTAAATAGGCCCTAATAGATACAGATTATTAATTTATTAGTAATATTATAGATTAATATCCTAGATAGATATTGATACATATAATAATATATAATCAATATAGATTATAGATAGAGATATTATTAATATTAGATATAGATTAATTATAGATAGATAGGCTACAGATATGTATTATTATGTATGGTAAAGCTTCATTTTAGCGTATTTTATTCTCCGTTGCTTATTTACCTCCAGTTGAGCGTATTTTATTATAATAACCGAAACACATAAATATATATTTGTATAGGGCCTAATATATAAATATATTTATACATCTTATGCTTATAGATCAGTTGCCTATGGCAGTAGTCAGACAAGAGATATACATACAGCTGATTCTGAAGTTCAGTCATATGAAGCAACAAGTCAGAAGGTTATTAATATTTATTACTCTTTATTTCAACTTAATGTTTTGTTTATAGCAAAATAAAAGTTGAACATGATCATAATAAATTGTTTTTTTTTTCTTTTATTCTCAGGTCCAGACTGACCTTAGCAGTGACTTTGGTTTTATGAACTTAGATGACTCTGAAAATAAAGCTCTTGCTGCCTTTTTACTTCATGTGGAACCACTAGTGGTAAAATGTCTCTCAAGAAACCTGAAAAGTAGAGCATTTGATGGTAATATTTTTTTTAAAATATCAAATAATTTGTGAGAACAGCCCATACGGATAACTAATTTGTGCTTGTGCTCACATTTGATTTTGACTGTACAAAGAATATACATTTTTAGCACTTGTGTTTCAGATCCTGTATTGTAAAGATCATTACACTTTTGCTTTATAATTTTTATTGTTTTAAGGATTATTAGTATGTTGTGTTGGTATAAGTAATCCAAATTTTGTTTTTATCATGTCTATTTCTTAGGTATAAGTGACCCAAATGACAAGGTATCTGAGGCTGTAACTTGTGTGCACACATTGAGTAAAACAGATTATAACAAGCAGGTAAAATTTATCATCCATCAATTTAAAGTATTTTAAAAATTAAAATTGTTTACATTTCTTTTCTGTTTTATTGGAGCATGGATACAAATGCTAATCATTTTGAAGAAATTTTAGCCAACGTAATAAAGCCTGGTTCATAGAAAAATTATAACAAGTTAATGATAAGTGAAAACAGATTTAAAATGACGTAGTTAAAGGATTTATATAGTACCTAATGTCCTATACTGTTTTAATACAAATTTAACCTTGTTAATCAGTAAACAAAAAGATTACTATAATAGTTTCAGGTGACAAGTCTTTCATGGAATTCTACCGGATCAACTCTTTCAGCAACATATCCTTTTGTACAAATTAAAAATGTGCTATGATTGATACACTGGAATGCAAATGAATTAGTTTTAAAATAAAATGGGCTTTTACTTTTCTTTAAAAGATCACAATCTAATAATATTCTGTGTTTATGATCATGAATTTTGATTATTTTCTTTTGCTTATTCATTCAAAGTGTAGCAGTTGTTAAATATATATATATTTCTTAACCTCTTAACTTATGGGAGATTTGATCATGAAGACTGGTGTACACACGCAGGTTCATTATGCACATGGAATTTAGACAGGCGCTCAATAAATGAAGAAAAGCCAGACTTAGTAATTGACTCACCTTGTTGTGTTATGTGTGCAGAATTTCACCCAGTCAACCCAGCTTGGATAGCAGGAGGAAACTTCAATGGTAAATTTTGTATTTGAATGTCACTTTTCTCCTAGAAAAATAAAACTGCTTGTATTTCTTTTAAAGTTAAAAAAAAAACACTTTCACATTCAACTGTATTTCCAGATGTTTAAATGTGTCTTTTTGTAGGCTATTTATAATAAAAGAATTATGTTTTTGATTGAACAGGGGAGATAATTTTGTGGGATTTGAGCCTAGAAGATGATCTAGTTTTAGCAACATCAGGCATAGGAGATGATGCACACAGGGAACCAGTGAATAAGATATACTGGGTCAAGGGTCAGTCATCAAAAAAGAAGGATTACAATGTAGGCATTAATGGTGAAATTTATATGTAATTATTCAAACCTAATTTCCCATTTTCTACTAGATGGTAATTTTGTAACAGCAGTTTCTTGAAAAAATTAAGAGATTGATTTTTTGTAAAATAAAAAGTTTAATGAAGAGTAAAAAAAAAGATTCATTTTTGAGTCTTTAACTATACTAAAAATAAGAAGTAATAAGTATTTCTACATATACTTGAATTTATATTTGAAGCTTAATCAGTTTAATAAATGAGGCTGTTTGTTATTTTTACAGATTGTAAGTGTCAGTGGCGATGGAAAGATTTTGATCTGGAAGGTTGATATGAAAAGAGGAAAACTAAAGCTCTATAAAGGGTTAGTAAGAATAAAGTGCAGATTTCAATGCAATTATATTAATTCTATGATGAAAATTAATCAATATTTTAACCATTAAAAAGTCTAATATACTAGAAATATTTATAAGAACTGCATTTTAAATAACCGCAGTTTAACTACTACGTTTCTGAATTCGTAGGCTTTTTGTTTTATATTTGAAGAGTTTTGATTTTGTTTACAAAATTTATTTCAATGTTTGTCTTAACATACAAACCAGATGTGAGCTTAAAATAATGGGGTTTTTTTAATTTCCTTTGTGTTAAAATATATAAAATATTTTTTGTAGCTTTGTCCTGATGTCACAAGACCTCCCGAGGGCAATGAAAGTGAAGGGAGTCAGGGGAGATAAAGAGATTGGTGTGACAAGTATTTCCTTCAGCCATGAAGACCCAGACTTATTTGTTTTAGGCTCAGAGAGTGGCTGTGTATTTAAATGCAACATGCATGCTAAGGGGAGGCCAGCAGGAAGTATGTAATTTTATTATAGCATAACATTAACAAATGTTTTTTTCTTTATTAAATTTAAATAGTTTTAGAATTTATTAACTAATTTTCTGCTCTATTATGCACATTGTTTATGTTGATTTGGTGTGCATTTAATATTTCTATTCGATTATATTGTACATTCATTAGGTGCACAATTCCCTTTTCTATTTAATCCTTTTCTATTTAAAAAATGTAAGTATTAAAAGACATTTCAACATCCAGATTGCATTGAAAGTGCCATCCCTCTTACTGTTATAAAAGAATACTAAAATATTTTTCAGGCCATGTTGTTTCTTCTGTACCACTTTGTTCTCCTGTGACCTTCTCCTACAGCCCCCATCATGGACCAGTTCATTCTGTTGATTGTTCAAAATTTCACCGCAACGCTTTCTTGAGCGCAGGCATGGATCAGAGTCTCCATTTATACAATTTATTACAGGTAATTTTGTTCGTATTTTGTGTTAACCATACTTACATTTTATCCATTTTGCACTACTTTTTTTTTAATACTAATATGCTACCTACAATAAATCTTGACCAAAATATGTGCATATTTTTTCATCTAGATTTATTTTGATTACTTAACTTAAACATGTTCTTTTTTTAGAATCAACCTATTTTGACAATAGAGCCAGGTGATGGTTATTTGTATTCAGCAAAGTGGTCACCAACACGTCCTGCAGTGCTAGCAGTCATTAGTGAGAGGGGGCACTTAATTCTCTATGATCTACTTCATGGCCAAATTGTACCAGCTTTTAAGCTACAGGCTAGTCCCAATATGGTACCTGTTTATAGTTTGCAGTTTAACTTACAACAGTAAGTTTTTTTTAAATATCTTTTTTTATTTAAGTTAACCTTTTACATCTTATTAGGATAGATAAATATTAATCCTTCAAAACTTAAAAGTAGTAAATTGGTATGCTCTTTAATCATTTTAGAAAATCATACTTAATACCGTATACACATATGCATGATGATCCTATCTACAATTATTGTGAAATTTGTACTTTCAGAAAGCAGATTCTTGCAACTGGTGATGGAGAGGGCTACATAAGGGTTTTCAGACTTGGTGAAACTTTAACATCTATGAGCAGCCGTGAAAATGAGGTTTTAGAGGAAATCATGAATACAAGTGCTGAGTAACTAAAAGGATGTTTTAACAAACAAATGATAATAGAAAGAAGTTTCAGGGGAAGTTATAGTATTTTTTAACCTATGGTGTAATTGTTTTTCAAAAAAATAATTTTTGTTAACTACAGTGTTTTAATTTTTAGTTGTTACTAGAATTTTAATTTGAAATAAAATCCGTCCAAGTTTAAGATTATTTTGAATACTATTGGGATAGTTTGATAATGTCTGTGAAAGAAAAATAATGTCTTTTTTTTTTTTAAATGAGTATGACTTATGTACATGTATAAACTTAATTTTTTTAGGCTCAGGACTTTTTGTAAGGCATGAAACTGCTGTTAAGATGAATATCAAATATTATGAAAATATATCAGTGAACACATTTTTCCCCAATAATATATGTGTTACAATATTTAGCAGTCTACAACACAAAAAATAAAGAACACAATAAACCATAATTTGCATATTCTTGTAAATTAATTTATTGTGTGAAATTGTTCTTTTTATAATAAATAATTAACATCACTAATGTACACAGAAATTTCTTGAAGAAAGAAAACATTTGATGATCTAGTCATAAATTAGCTGAACTTTAGCTTATTCATTTTATTTTCAAAAAAAAAATTTCATTGATTTTTTAAAACAACTGCAATGTGCACATAAATGATTAAAAACCTTTGCTGTAACATATTTTGTTAAAACAATAAAACTAAACTGAAACTCCTTTAATGAATACTGATATATTTGTGGGTTGTTTTTTCTTCTTACTAAATTATTTAAATACTGCTAAACAAAATAAAAACATAATAATGTACTTTTTGTTCAACTTTTATCCACTATTAATTGCTCAGAATGCATTTGAGTTTGAGGCATTTCATTTGTTTTAGAAATATGTTTTAATAGTTCCAATACAGTATCAAGTTTTTGATTTATCTCGCTCTTAGCTGTTTCAATTTGTAATGTTAGTTTCTCTGCTGTCTCTGCAAGTGTGTCTTGAAGCTCAGTTTTTGCCTGCTGTATTTTCTGATCAATTATCTCCAGCAATTCTTTATTGTCTTTATTGCAATCAGTATCTACAGCATCAACACTTAATGTTCTTGAAAGACTGCCATTGCCTGAGTCAGGGGAAAATGTTGAGCTGAAAATAATATACACATGTGTAACAATAGCTCGGGGTATAAACCGAAACTAGTATAGTAAAATAATGCACACAAGTGTAACAATATGATAACTTGACAAGTAAATTACAGGATGTGTCTATCTGGTTTATCTAGATAAACAAGATCAATGAACAAAAACTACTGCACATCAGTTAATGTTGCAATAATGTTGTTGAAGGGTGATAAAATGCTTTACATAATGTATCTTTAGAGTTCACCACCCATCAGATGCAAGACTAGCTTTAAAAAAAAAGCATCATGAATCTGAGCTTATAATTTAGTACATTTGTGTTAATGATAAGTATATAATTTTAAAAAACAATGGTTTGATGATGTAAGAAACAAGATCACCACTTTAAATTTTTCATGTCCTTTCAATATTAACATGGTGTTGCTCATATGGTTTAAGTTTAAATTGTATAAAAATACTACTAATTTGTGTTAAAAGCTGTTTTGTTTTCAATAGCATAAGGAAAGATTTAATTATGTTACTCCATAAAAATGTAATATCCCAATTACTTCCTGAATTTTTAGGTCTAAAGACATTTTTATATTATTATATCATAACATCTGTGATATTTTGTCCAATCACCATCAATTTATACAAGGTTTTGGATGAACTGAGGGACAAGGATCTTTTTATTTAAATAAATGCAAACTTAGATCTTAAGAAATAAAAGAATATAATAAAAAAAAAAGTAAAGTTTCCCTTTCAAACATGACCGTCTATGGGGCAAGTGAAGTAGAGTTCACTTGTTTCTGTGACCTCGGCATATGAAGAGATACTTTCCCTAACGTGAGTTAGGTACCCATCAGAGTTGGGTGGACTCAGGGACGGTCTACTGACTTGAACCCGGATTCAAACTCGAGACTTACGGGTTAGTAGTCCAGCTCTCTACTGCTAGACCACTCCGTCCCATAAAAGAATATAATCAAATGGCATTTTACTTCTAAGCCAAAGCTCAGAAATACATCGTAAAACTTTAATCCAAGGGACACAACTGTGTGATTTACAAACTATGAATGTATATACATTTTGAATGTTCCCAAATGTAATGCAGCATCAAATCTATTTAACTCAAAACTGTATAAAGTGAGTTTTAAAAAAACAATTGATGAATAACATGTTATTCTTTCAAACATGAATTTTAAATCTCTAATACAACAAAACTCACAACAACATACCCATTTATGTTTTCCTTCTTAGAAGATTCCCTCATTTGAGACACATTACCACATACTGCTTGTAACATGGAGTAAATGTTAGATTCTTCACCACGACTGCCAGAATCAAGTTGAGGTGATTTACCTAGCAGAGACCGCATTGCACTTTGCCCTAATACACTGTTCATGATGTCTGATATTACAGGTTTAGATGAAGTTGTAGCTGGATGATTTGAGGTGAGTAGACCTCCAAAACTCTTCACTTTATTCTAATTTGGGAACAAAAAATATTTTACTAGTAAATGGAATTGGAATTAAAAAAGACAATTGACAGTAATTCTATTTTGAGAACAAAATATGAAAATAGTTTTAAGTAGTAATTATTGAGAGTTAATTATTCCCCTTTTCCCACATGATGCAATTGTGTTGGCCTGTCAACAGATTAAAATAATAGATTTAGTCCCCTAACACTATTCTTAAGCTCATTTTATTTTCACATTTTCATTAGTTCTATAAAAAGTTTAAGTATGAAAGGAAAAAAAACTGTTGAGATTTGCTACTTCAACATTGAGAACATGAGTATTATGTTGTGCGATCATTTATTTTATCATGGTTATACCAAAGTTAAATAAAGAGCCAAGCATTTAAACATATGTGTTAAAAATAGATTTGATTATTATTAAACAACTTTCAAACAACAAAGATTGTCATTATCTAGGGAGAATCTCAATGGTTGACCACAAGCCCAAGTTACCAAGATGAAAAAGACAAATATTGCTAAATGACAAACTTGTTTTGAATTTAAAGGTAATTTTTTTAAAAGGTGTTTAACCTTTTAGAAATGTAAAAAAAAAATGTTAATACAAACAGCTGAAACCTAATACTGCGATACTCACTTGTTCAAATTGTTCCATAGTAGCCAAAAAACTCTTGGCTTTATCTGAAATAGTGTATCCCATTTTATCAACATCTTTCTTCAGTTTTGTCATATCGAATGCTCCATGACTTACATGTACATAATTTTCCACTTGTTTATCTAAGCAGATTATCAAGGACGTCACAGTAAAAAATGAAGAACCACCCAGAGAGAGAAACTAAAATGAAATGGGAGGAAAGGACAAATTTGTTTTATGTTTTATTATACTTAGTACAGTTATTAGACTAAAATATTTTAATAATTAAGTAAAATTATTAAGTGTTGACTTTTTTTGTTGTTGTTTTTTTGCATACAGTACAAAAAAATAATTAACATTAGAATTTAAGAATGTAAAAAAAATGTTATGTTGTTATGTTCTGTTAAGCATACAAATAATAAAATATTCATTGGTACAGGTAATATAACAGTTTACAGAATATTAAAAATCACTTTTATGAGATGCAAAAATGTATGATAAATTTTCTAGTCAATATAAGGTGCAAATAATTATATTATAAAAAACATAACTTTCTTTAAGTCAAGTTTAACTATAAATATATATTACTAAAATGACATACCTTCACTGTTAAGTTAGTATAACTTTCATCAAAGAGGCATTTGCACAAATAAAGTTTTTTATGTCCTTCTTCTTTGTCAATACAATTAAATAGCTGTTTACCCCTAATAGTTGTTAAATAACCATCCATATCATTTGAAACTTCTAGAGTTCTTGACTCACTTATTATACATATACCATTTATTCTTGTAGAGTCAGACTTTAAAGTTTGTACTGTTAGAATACAGTTGCTTGATTCAACCACTTCTTTGTTACACGAAAGTTGAATGCCATTCATAGTATCCACATATTTATTATAACTGAAAAGAAAGAAAAATTGTGTAAATAAGTTTTTGAAATTTTTTTAGCATAACACAACTTTGTAAATTACGCTAAAATAGTATATATGCCTTATATTAAATTTAATCATCTCTTTTTGTCTTCTTGTTTAGAATTTGATGAAAACAGAGAATATTAGCTAGTTTTATTTTAGCACTAGCGTGTCCGTCTGACGAAATCATTGATTTACCAATCCTATATTCTTAGACGTGTGACCTTTGAATGTAAACAATGCCTGCGCTTGGGTCATATTTATCGGGGCACGGGTTTACCTACACTACCGCATGAAAGCCTTAAGTGTACATTAATCACTCACCATAATAGTAAGGTAGAACACATCTCGGTGAATGCCCAGGTGTCAGGGACATAGAGGGGTGCTCTTGGGAGCCACCTGATTACACTACTGTAGGGACGCCGCATAAAACTTACGTAAGCACCATAGCACTCACAGGATAACCCGGGGGGCCAAATAGCACCCTGCCGGAGCGCTGGCAAACGCGCCTGTTTCAGTTTATTAAATGACTCTAACGCCGTATTTTATCCATAGTCTATTGCACTGTTCAAAACGAACATTGGCGCCATGGCACTCACGGGAAAGCCAAGGGTGCCAAACAGCACCCTACTGGGGCCGTCTGTGCGTAATTTAGAAAAAAAAGGTTTTTTTTTTGAGAAACCTTCCCTGGAGTATTCTTATCCCAAAATTTCATGGCGATTGGATGAACTGTGTCAAACTGCAATTGATTTTAATTTTTATATACCGTATAGTGTATATATAAGACTCTAATTGCGATAAACAGAGACACACATACATTGCTTTTTATAATATATATAGTATAGAAATGAATAGGCCTAGACTTTATGAATAGATCTATTTAATTTTTAGTTAAATTTCAAGCTCAAACCATAGCTTCTTAACATACAAGTAAAATAATACTAGATCTATTCTATACATACCCAAAACTTAGACTATATTTTTCCTCCAAATCGTTTACTGACTCTTCTATTTGTTGAACTTCAGTTGTAAACTTGTCTAGGTCTATGAAGCATGTTGTAATTGATTTTGATCGCTTGTCTAAATTCCATGAAAATAATAAATCTACTTCACAGTCATCACAATCGGCATTGGATGACGAATGCATGGTCATTACTGACATATTAGTTCATGAGATCTCCAGTGACCAGTCCTAGTCCAGCGGGTAAGTCCTGGTGGCTGGTAAACACTACAGTAAACTTGACTTGTTACACTACTAACTAGATCTAGTAGTTAGTAGTCTAACTACTTTGAACTTTGTTACTGTGTGTACTGTACGTTTTTAGTAGGCCCTCAACCTAAACAACAGAATACTCCTGAATGAATAGAATACATTATTACATTTCTTCACTTCATTTGAGAATCAGTTGATTTCAGTATTTATTAATAAATTAATATTAGCCTAATATAAATGGATTATTTGTATCGTGTAGACGGTCACTAGATCTAGATCTAGATCTATGACTATTTTTTTAGAACTTAGATCTAATAGTTTACTTAATAGTGAATAAAATAGGCCGACTGGATATCTAATGAGCTGCTACTGATACTGGCAGCGAAAACTTAGGCCTTGTTGATTTGTTTGGGCCTTACTATTTACCGCAAACAAATACAACAAAAAAAAATATAAAGAAAAAACATAAAATTGAACCGGTGCACCTCCAAAACGGCCCGGGACAAATAGGCCCCGTTAATATGACCCCGTCAAATCGACCCCTGACAAAACGACCCCGTCAAAATAGCCCCGTCAAAAGGGCCTCCCGTCAAATTGGCTCCCGTCATAATGACCCGCGACTAATAGGCTCCCGACAAATGGGCTCCCGATATTTAGGCTCCCGACAAATATACTCACGACATATTTGCTCCCGACAAATAAGCTCAGGACATATTGGCTCCCGACAAAGCAGCTTACGACATATTGGTTCCCGACATAAGGGCTCACCCGACAAAATGCCTCCCGGCATATTGGCTCCAGACAAATGAATCATATTACCACTATTGGCATAAAAGTAACCATTTTGTCATGCATCCACTACCACTATAACCGCTTTTAAATGGCTGCATGAAATTGTTTTTCATGAACAAACATCAATTCACAAACAAATCGAGCGCTTAACAGCTAAATTCCGCCAATTCTAAAGTTTTGTTAATGTTTAATTTACAACAGTGAAGATCTGTTGCTTAAAAACGAGCACAGAAATGTAAATGTATGATATAAATGATGTTTACAGGATAACGACATTTTTTTTTTATAACCTACAAGCATACTGCAGGTAGGGATGTACAGCGTGGACCCCTCTCCCCACACACTTGAGTTGGAACAGCCTATAACCGACTCATTTATGGAAGTCATAGATACTATCTTATAATAGATAAACTATTATAAAAATAAGGCTAGCCGAACGAGAGATGCATACGTTGTATTACTTAAGAGTGTTGGTTAAGCTAACTCTAAAGAATATTGATGAAGGTGTCATATTCAATTAGACCGTTTTGCCGGGAGACTCAGTCTCTACAGAAACCGTATTGTCAGTGGTCCTTTTGTTGGGGTCAAATTGACAAGAGCCTATTTGTCGTGAGCCAAAATGACGGGAGCCTATTTGTCGGGAGTCGTAATGACGGGGGTCGTTTTGTCGAAAAACTAAATTACGGGAGCCTATATGTCGTGAGCCTTATTGACTGGAGCCTTTTTGTCGGGAGCCTATATGACGGGAGCCTATTTGTCGGCAGCCCTTTTGACGGGGTCGATTTGACGGGGCTCTTATGTCGGGGCCGATTTGTCGGGATCGTATTGACGGGGCCGTTTTGTCATTAGCCGTTTTGACGCCGCACGTATATATATATATATATATATATATATATATATATATATATATATATATATATATATATATATATATATATACAGAGTTTGCCAAAATGTTCTTTAATAAAGTCATGGTAAAACGATGCACCCGGGGAAAAAAAATCCCACCCGGGGCCCCGCTGGAACTCGATCCGCACCTGTCCGCAGTAGTGAGTTAGATAACACCGAGGCCGACTGCTGAAATGTCTGGGGTGTCGATGGACACTCTCTGGAGCACCGGTTACCTTACAGCAGGGTGCCTGGTGATACCTCTGGTTCGATCATCGAATGTAGTAGATCATCGTGTCCCTAGAGTAGAGTGCTCATTGAAAAGAATAAAGGCACCATAACGCTAATATGAAAGCCCGGCGGGGCACGATATGACGCATCCGGGTCGATTTAGTCAACAATTATAGTAATGCGCCGAATCCATAGTATATGGTGCTCTTTGAAATGAACGTAGGTGTCATAGTGCTAAGGGGCGGAGCCCATCGAGTTGATCCTTAATGTAATGTGCTCTTTAAAACGGAATGTGCGAGCCCGGGCGCTATGGGTCACACAACCGCCGTGGCACCGGCGGATGCGCCTGGTGCAGTTTGACATGCAGTTGAATCGAGTAGCACACCTGATCCCGTATGCAGGACGCCCAAATCAGCGGATCGCAGGTGCAGGACGCCCAAAGCAGCGGATCGCAGGTGCATAGATATAGCCGCTGGGGAACTCTTGGTGCCCAACCGGCAACCGCACACTCCTGCAAGGGCGCCCGAATTTTTTCCCCAAAAATTTTCCCCATGAGTATTGTCAACAACTTCCCAAAGTTTTTAGGCGATCAGATGAATAAACTGTAAAACTGTGATAGGATTTCTAACTTTAAAAGAATTATAATGTTTAAGTCAGTTGAAAGATAGGCATGAAATATATTTGTTTCAAGGTTTTTAAAAAAATTAAATAACGTCAATGAAAATGTATGAGATCTAATCATCTATAGGACATTTTATTACAATATGTTGAAGAGGCGGGTGACATTTCTTCTTACAAACAAAACAAAACGCCGGCGAAGTGGGAACATTTTTTTTTTTGGGAAAACATTTTTTTGCACACGTTATAAGAAAAATGAAACGCTTGCACAGGTCTAACTTTATTTTAAAACTTAAATTTAATCAACTCACCCTATTTAAAAATTGTTCATAATAACAGTTTTATTCAATTTTTATTTTTATTGCTTCTGTATAGGCAAAGCATAAGCTTACCCTTCACACTTTCTATTGTTTTGAAAAACCCGATTTTTCATGTTCATGCTATTTTGTGCAAAACTTATAGTAGAATCTAATTTCTGTGTCCACGGTGACGGGGAGTATTGCTGAATTTTTTCAAACATATGAATACATTCTATTGATGTTGAAATAGTTCGCAACAGCCTTGTTATACGATATTCAGAGATTATTATAGTATATCAGATATACAAGATAAAACACTCTGTTTCAGTATGTGGTCGAGGATTCTAGAAAGTATTATGACAAAATATCAACCAAAAACAATGGCATATTATGCTGGTGTAAGTATTGAATATAGATCTATTCTAACACAATAGCCATAATCCATATAGGCTATGCTATTTGATACAATATTATAAATAGCGTGATATAGCGTCAACAATTTTAATCAATCCTGCGTATTTCGTTTTTAAAAAAAAATGATGAAAATCGAAACGAATGCATGAGACTATTTTGTTGTTGTTAAAATCTTCATTTGCACCCCCCCACTCCTCAAACTTTCGATTTGCACCCCCCCTCAAGATTTTCATTTGCACCCCCCCCCCCCCTCAAACTTTCAATTTGCACATTTGCACCCCCCTCGACCTTTCAATTTATTTTTCCAACCCATTTTGGCGCCCCCTAAGGTCGGCGCCCGGGGACGTAGGTCTACGAAAATGAATTAGAGAATCTAGATTTAGATCTAGATCTAAACGAGATCTAGAATAGATTAGCCTATCTAGATTCTTAGTCTTATCTAGATCTAGATTCTTGATCTAGATTCTAGATAAAAAGCGTTTCGTCTTTTGCATTATTTCCGGTAACTTAACATTGAGAATTCTCCAAAGGCAAAACACATTTTAAAAGTTAAACAACAGTCCTGCCCTATATCAATAGGCCATGATATTCAGCCATAGATCTAGGTCTACGTGTTTATAGTATTAAAATTACGCACAAAAAAGGAACAATAAAGACGTAGTTAATGCATAGTTTTCCTTTAATTAAGAATAATATGGCGGCTGCAGCTGCGACAAGGAAAATTATCGTGAGTACTACACAAATCAAATGGATGACAACAGAAACACTACACTAACCCACACCACTACAGAGTTGAGTAATAATTTTATGAGCAGTGTTTCTTCCATACTTTTTTCTACGGGGGTGGGGGGGGGGGGGGGCGGACACTGTTAAAAGTATCTATTGAAATATATTGTCTATATTATATACTATATAGTATATATTTTAACTAGGCTATATACTATAATAAAATATAAATTTCATTTGGGGGGGGGGGGGGGGACGACGACACTTGCAGCTAAAGAAGAAATTAGGTATTAGGATGGAGTTAGATAGAGCCAACCATTACCAATAATGGCACTATTACCAGGCAGCCATTGAGATTGAATCCTCAAGGAAAGCCAAAAGAGGGCGACATAAAAACACCTGGCAGCACATTTGATTCTCAGTTAGACTTCACCTGGTGGTCAGGTTGAGAAAATGACACAGGAGATGAAATCTTTGGAGATCTTTGTTTGGCGGCCCATATCCCAGCAGGGGTGATAGGCAGTGATAATGACTCATTAAATGAGGATTAAACATTAGTTAGATCTAGATCTAGGCTATTTTTTTCACTAGTGAGCAGTGGCAAAAAAAAAAAAGCATGGCACCATTAATGATTAATCACAATGACAAGTTAGTACAGTTGTAGATTTAGGCCTGATTCTAAATAATAGGCTATAGTACACACTATTCAAATTAAAACTGGTTAGGCCTGAACTGATAAAATAAAATTCAGAGGTAAAATGTGTGCTGGAGTAGTGTGTGTGCACATGGTAACATTTTGGGTTAGGGTTGTATTTACTTTTATTTATTAACTATTTTTTCTCTGGTTAGTTTTGATTGATAGAATATATTTATTGCATTTTCATTTAGATGTAGCCAGTAGCGTAGCGAGGTCGGGTGTCACCCCCCAGAGGCGTAGCGACCCTTCCCAGGGACAAACTTTCAATTTTCGATTTGCACTCCCCCTCTCAAAACTTTCAATTTGCACCTCTTAAAAGAATATTTAACACTCAAATTAATTCACTTAGTTAAGTGGAATTATCATTTTTCTGTTTATATTTTGCCTTGGTTTCACCCCCCTATCATCTCTCAGTATATATTTTGCTATTTTTTGCCTTGGTGTCACCCCCTAAATGGTGTCACCAGGTGCGGTCCGCACCCCCGCCCCTCCCTCACAACGCCCCTGGATGTAGCATGATTTAACATTGATTTATAATTTTATCCATCAACAGCAAGCAGTCAAGCCTCATGTTCCTTCAATCAAATTTCCACCCAGAGATACTGCCAAGAAATTTTCTGGAGACAAGGGATCAACAACGGCTAATATCACTCAAGGTGACCACAGACTTTAAGTTCTTGTTTACATACATTTTTAATTATTATCTATCATATAAGCTGGCAGTGTCATTTCGCACTTCCGTCATCAATATGGACACTGTTTTCGCTAACGGAGCTGGGAGAGTGCATTCAGGCATGGGAACACTGGGTGTCGTACGTCCGGGGAAACATTTGTTCTGCGGCAGTTCAGATTACGCCGTGGGTCTGGTGATAGGGAAGCTGGGTAGACGTCTGTGACCACATGGCCTCATTTTAAAAAAATCAATATTCACCCCAAAGTGCTACCACCCCCACGCTTAGTGTAGTGTGCTGAAGGAGTATCCGCCCCAATGTGAGGACCCCCACCCGCACGCAGAGGTAATATCCATATTCACACCATAGCAAGGCACGGGTAAAAGCTAGTTATTATATATACATGTAGAAGGCATTCATATGAAGTTGCAGTACACCTGTTCATTTTATACTTTGCTGGAAACCATAATACCTGTACCAAATTTACTTAGTTCTGCACATTAAATAAACAGTGGTAAAAAATGTTGATTTTTGTCCTTAACTTATTAGACCTGAATAATTTGCGATTATTTAAAATTTTGATTTAAAGGAAAATCTGAAAGCCTGGCTACACCTAAGGGACATAAATCACCTTCCTCTGGACAAAGCATAGAATCATTTCAACTTCCACTGAAATACCATCGGAAACCCTTGTCAAATGAAGAAATGGAAGCTATTGAGGTATTTTAATTTTTTGAATAAAGATGTTTTATAAAAATGCTTTGTATGGTTGATTGTTAAAGTATGCCTTGCTTAATTCTACACCAATTGCCATTTTTTTCTACATTTTTTTTTTCCAGAAAGGGGGCAGAGTATGATTAATCAAATACAGGAAGTATATGGATCTTAGTAACTAATTAGTGTGTGTGAATAAATGGTTTTTAGCCATGTGATGTATGGTTTAATAAAAAAAAACAGTGTACATATTTTGACAATTTATGATAAATTTGTTGAGGCTTGATTTAAAAATGAAGCCACCAATAAAAAATTGAGTGATTATTACTGCGATTGTTTTTCTTAATGACATATTTTATCTGTGCTGTTTAAAAGTATTATGTTGTGATATTAGGAATAAGACAGACTATTCATTTCATCAGTAAAATTTATACAAAAATATTAAAAATTTTAAAAGTAAAAGAAATAATTTGAGATATCAGCATTTTTTCTAATCAATTTCTGTTACTGTTATGGTTAATCTGTGGGGAATTTTTTTTATAGAAAGCAGAAAGTCAATAAAAAAAAATGATTGTCATGTTGCCCATCATTTTTGTGATGGGGCTCACTTATCAGTCTGAACCATAACATTAAAAATTGCAATAAAAATTTGACCATGAGAGATGTGAAATGAGGCATTTTATTTACATTAAATTTAAATGCAAATTATGACTTAAATCCAAAGTAATTTACAAACACAAGTTCAAACAATATTGCATGTACTTTTATAGAGAAGAATCTAGTACCATGCGGTTTAAAAATTGTTCTGCTTAAGAAAATTTTATACATTTATGTACAAGTAGAAAAGCAATTATTGTTTTTACGGTAATTAATACTTTTCAGGGGGAAAAAAAGTAATTTTTGGTCATATTTTGGTGAAAGCATAACACAACATACAACAAACCTTATTCATTAAAAATTACTTTATCTTAGTGTTAAATAATTGCACAAATATAGAAATATAACTGTCCCCCCCCCCCCCCCCCCCCAAAACTGTTAATATATCTATATATTTTATATCACTAACAGGTACAGACAACTGACAATATTTAATGAAAGACATAGTAAGGGGTTAAATATGGCAGTTGACACACAAAGATAAAAACAACCTTTTCACAACACATATTATTAATATCCCCTTAAAACAAGCTGTATCTGAAGTACAACAGCTTTTTCAACACTACAGATATCAAATTTTAAGGCAGTTTCATCAATATCAAACTCATCAGTGTTTCCGATTATCTCTACAACTTTATCAATAAGGTCTTGGTTAGACTCCGTCTGAGCTTTTTCTATTTTCTCATTTATTGATATGAGTTCTCCTATAGGTATGCCGTTGGGTGCTAGTATATCAAGACTCTGGTCATCTTTTTTACCCTCTGGTTTTTCATCTATGTCATGAGTTTCCATCTGCCCATTTTTTGGCTCATTCAGCTTTTCCTTGTACTTTTTATCCTCCTCTTTCTTGCCTGATCTGTGTTGTTTACTATGTTTATGATGTCTCTTATGACCATCTTCACGAACACTTTCTGGCTCACCTTTTTTACTCTTTTCATGGGCCACAACAGCAGCGACTGATTTTGAGGGTAATGGTTTACTATTGTCTGGAACAAGACTAGTCGACTTTGTTGATAAAGTTTTTAACATTTTCTGCTGAGATTTCAAAGTTGGGGTGTCTTCATCTGACTCACTGTCACTGTCTGTAAGACCAGAAACAATGTCCTTGGCTTTTTCCTCTTGGTCTTCAACCATTTCATCATCTGATTTGTCCATTTCATGAGATGAAGACAAACTGCTGATGCTAGAGCTACTCTTGGATACTTTCATTTTCTTTTGTTCTGGATGGGTAGCAGGCTCATGGCTTTCATCATCACTGGATCTGTTTTGAAGAGGAGACAACAGTAATTTTGGCTGAAAATCTGCAGTCATTGCTAGGCGCTCTGACTTAGTCATGCTATCAGATTTTGTTGGTTTTTCACTTCTAGATTTAGTCTGCTTAGATGAAGAATCTTTTTCAGAACTTTCTCTATTTTTAGACTCTGAAGATTGAGATTGTTTATGTTTGTCAGAGTGTTTGCTCTTTTCATGTTTGCTTTTGCTTGATGAGCTCTTTGATTCAGTATCTTTCTTGTCTTTGTGAGACTCTTTATCTCTACTTTCTTTAGAAGCACTACCTTTTTCTTTCTTTGACTCTGACTTGGGCTTGGGTGGCTTCTCTTCATTGCTGGCAACTGACAAGCTTCTTTTGAGTTTCTTATTCTCTGTGATATCAACTTGTGGAGATTCCTGATGTCTTTTTTGACTCTTTTTGTCAAGAACATTATTTTCTTTTGGCACCTTTGTTTTACTGCTCTCACCTGTCTTTTTAGGCTCTGAAGATGCTACATTAGAAATGTCTTTGTGCGAAGTGTGTTTCTGCTTATGAGATGAACTCCTCTCTTTTTCCTTGCCAGAAGAGCTATGTTTTTCTTTGTGTGAAGAGCTATCTCGGTCCCTTTCTTTGCTGTGAGAACTTTGTTCCTTATCTTTACCAGACATTTGGAGAAGATAATTTTTTTTATCACTTAGGGAAGAAGATGCAGAGCTCTTTGTAGAAGAATGTGAGCCTTCTCTATCTTTCCGAGATTCTGATGATTCTTTAGGTCTAGAGGAACTCAAATCTCTTTCTTTTTTAGAACCATCTTTCTCCTTATGAGATGATTTACCCCCCTCCTTGTCTTTACTTCTGTGTTTGTGAGGCTTTCGAACACTTTCTGAATCAGTACTAGGTTTTTCTTTAAGGGAAGAGCTGCTTCGATGCTTACTTTTATCCTTGTGTGAAGAGGTTGATAAAGGTGATTTGACAAAGTCATGACGTGACATACTTGAAGCAGAACTTTCTTTTTTATGTGATGGATCTTTCTCTTTTTTAGGAGGAGGAGGAGGTGGTGGATTGTAGTGATCTTCCTCCTCCTCATCATCATCAGGTGATAAAGAAGAGAGAGAGGAGAGTGAGTGGCTAGGTGATGCTGACTTGAGGAGACTAGATTTCTTTTTCTTTTTTTTCTCCTGAAAAAGAATAAGAAATAAGTTAAAATCCTAACATTATGAACAAATAAATGTACTCAAATTTATATATAAACATGTATAGTTACTATACTTGTTGCAAGATTTGAAGCAGTTAAATATTAAACAATAAGATTTAGGACATTTCATAGAGATATTAATATAAATTAGTAAATAGGAATATGTGGAATGCGTGTGTGAGCTGTTTTCGTTTCTTTTATCCTAATTTTTAAAACTTCCCAAAAAAATAAATAAATAAAACAACAGAAAAATCGACAAAACATTTAGGAGAAAATTAAATGAGTGGAGGAAAATTGCAGCTGAAATGGAAAAATCTGATTTCTGCAAAAAATTCGGAAAAGTCACACCTCTGATTATTTAGAAATAACCAGATAAAGATATCCATGGCAAATTTGGTTAGTGAAACTATGATATGATAATATTACATTTAAAAAAAAACATGATTGAAAAGGTTTTAGATATTTAAGCGTGACAACAAATTTGTTTACATCATAACATTTTTAAAAATATTCAAAATTAAGTGCAAACCTTGTCTTTAGGTGGCTTAATTGACCTTTTATGGTCAACTTTAACATATTGTGCCAATGGAACTGGTACACTGTAAGCTGCTGACTCTGAGCCTTGCTCTACCTGAAAATACAGAAACACATGACAAAGCAGCACTAAATGCACATACGACTTTAAACAATGGCAGAATCATATTTTAAAATCATCATTATTATCAAATATATATTGTTCAGATAAAAGTCTTAAATTTCTTTTACACTTACCCCGCCAGCTTTTAAGAGCTTAGCCTTAAATTCTGGTGTTGGATTTTGAAATTTTAGCTTCTCATAACGGACATTATTTATTGGTGGGCTGTCTTTTGCATTGAGAAATAAGTCATAAGAAAATACTATTTTTCTTGGGCTCTGCTTATTCTTGAAATGGATTTCTATGGGCAGTAAAAATCCAGCATAACCCGATTCAGTCACTTTAAATGGTGGCTCACATATTGCTGAAAAGAATAAAATTATTACAATCAATTCAATCATTTCTATGAATTACATTTTTTATTTAAAAAGAAAAACAACAAATTTTATATTAGAAAAGAGTACAACTAAGCAATAAAGATAATAAACCAATCAGCTGTTTCATGATACATTAAGGTGTAGATGTTTATGTAGGGACAAGATTAACAGTAGGGTAGATAAAGGAGGTTTGAGAACTGAATAATAATTACTGAAGACATGAGCAGTTCTATGTGTTAGTGATATTGTTTGCTGTGATAGACAATATTAATAAAATGACCCAGCTAGAATGAGTAGAATGATAAAGTGGACAAGTTTAAAGGGACAGTTGGTCGGTAGATGGAAATACAACAGGAAGCATTAGTTATAAGTGTTGATGATAGAGTAGAATGATAGAAGAATTAGTTTATGTTGCCTAATGCAAATAAATGTTATGTGTGGAACAATAATCTTCCTGCTCAGAAATAAGTTCAATATTATCCTCAAAGCTTGCATGAATATATATATTGACTAGAAATCTAGTTTCAGAAATTGTAATAGATCAACATCAAAATTTTTTTTATAGTGGTGATAAAGTATTAAAATTAAAGGAACTAGGCCCTACACATAACATTATATGCTTAAAATTGTAAAAATATCTTACTCCTCAAAGGAAGTTTAAATGTCTTATGAAGCCTGAAAACCACCCTTTCAACAAAAGCCTCAATTCTACTGCCTTCAAAGCCCCGTACAAATACAGTCCAGTCATGAGTAAATCCTTCTGGAGATGGTTCTTTCAAATAGTTGGCCTGATGTCCAAGTTCAATAGTTACTGTAACAACACAGTCACTGGTCTAAAACAAATTTAAAAAAAAACAGTATTAATTCAAAACAAAATAACAATGATTGTAAAAAACATCGTATGCGAATACTTTCTATTACGTATGCTTTCTCGTTCCTACCCTACGAATTTTATCGCGCTACTCCTCATAGCCCCGTGCTTAAAAACCCTTAAAATCGACATTTCTATTTATCCAAATGGTTGTAATTCATGTAATTTAGATGATTATTTATATCTGAAATTTAGTTTTCAATGCGCCAGCTTAGCATTTTGACAAATATTTGCTATTATCGTTGATCACTTTCGGTATTGGACAATATAAAACAGGAGCTAATTCATTTATTAGTATGTATAAAAGATGAAATACAACTAAAATATTCATATCGAATACATTTTATTCTTCGATTCTGATGGCAAGAATTAACATGTTAAAAAATGGCGAATTTCAACAAGTACGATGAAAAAGTCTGGATGTGGTCGTACCGAATCGAAACAGCAGAAGTCGAAATGCCTACTAATTACTGTAACTAGACTACATCTAGCTAGATCTACTAGCTTACTATAGATCTACTAATTTTACTAAAGTAACTAGAGTAAAGTTCCACGCGCGGTTAAAACACCGGTGCGGTCATCGCCTGTTTATCGCTTCGTACAATATTTGTTTTGATGTTTTATACGAAACTACCGATATCTGCTGTAAACCTGTCCATTTCTAAATATATCCAGGTCAAATTCTTTTGTTTTTCTCCTTCTGGAAGTCGAGTTTTTAAATTTTAAAGTTTTGAGGTATGACGTCGAAGGCGATTCTAGTTCCCCGTATGAAAAACACTAGGTCCCGGATGAGATGAATAAACCAACCAATCAAAGCTTTTTATAACTAGGTTAACTATAAATAGCTTCTACAATATGTGCGGGACACTGTACATACGATAGATTAGGCTAATAAAGCAACCTGATAGGTGAATAGGGGTGGCCGCAGCTTGGGTGTCGATTTGGGTGGTTTCACCGCGCTGCGTAACCAACGACTTGAGCTAGACTAGCCTAGTGCTAGATGCTCTAAATTTCAAGCTAAGCCTAGAATCTGTATAATTTCTATTTTTTTCTGCTGTTTTAAATTATTTCGATCATCTACTTCTTCTAAATCTAGTTTGTGTCTCTACATACAAGCATATCTAAGCAAATGTTACGTTATGTCTTGTCAGTGGTTGTTACGTCCCTTTGTTATGATTATTATAGTTGCGTCCCTTGAGTCATCACTGGGTCAACTTTTAATGTTGTTAATTAATTTAATTAACATGTTTTTAATTTGGTTTTGAAATCTATTAATTAATAATACAATCAACAACACGTTTAAAAGTGTAAAATATTTTTTTATTTATTAAACTAGGATTAAAACGTATAAAACACGATCGTTACGCAAGCCGGTTCAGATGGCCGCAGGGAAAAAAAAGAGGGGAAAAAAATATCGCAAGTAGCACGTCACTAAAACATGAATATCTCAAATTCAATGCGTAGGAATATAAAATGATTGATACATATTAAGAGTAGAAAGGCAGAGGAATAATATAGTATAGTACTTTGGGTTTGTTTCTGTGTTAAACGGTTACAAAATAGCGCCCGATGAAAGTCGATGAAAGTCGGGAGTTCGCTATGTGTGACCGCGCGTGGAACTTTACTCTAAAGACTAAAACTTGTCTTAGCCTTTTCGCTTTTTAGAATTTATTCAATATTGTCAGAAGAAAGTCAGAAACTTAGTCTACGAGCTAGATCTACACAAGTCACTAGTCTACCTCTTTTGGAGCCATTGAAATAAATCCACTTATAGATCTGGTGATCTAACCCTAGTTTATTCAGGATTCAGCACATTTTATTAGTTTTGATTATCATTATAAGACTAGATCGTAAGATCTAGACTGGATGCAGCTAGCTTATCGGATTAATTAATCTAGTTTACGCTAGACCAAGATCTACAATTTTTTGATGAGATTATAATAAACTTGCCAGATTAGTTTTAAAATTGTAGAGCAAATGATGTAAATCACAATTAATCATTGGTCAAAAATAAGTAATCTGTTAAATAAATACTCATAGCGCTAGTGTTATGTCAAGTTATTTTTTACCTAACATGTCTTCTTTTACTTTTAATAATTAAAATAGTCGCTCGCTATTATTTTAAATAATTAGATCTAGGCCTAAACTCATTAATAATGTGTTTGGCTTACATAAATGGCAAGCGCACCCGGAAGTATCACTACTATCAGTTTGGTTGAAGGGTTTCTTCAATGGAAAAGGCTAGCCAAATGACGACAGCTCAAAATTTACTTATCAAACTTCTGTATTAAAATCCAAATCCTTCTCAAACACATATTGAAATATAGCTTACCATAATAAGTAACATGTAGATCGCAATTAATTTTGGACTGGCCTAATATAGTATTAATGTAAACCTTCCAAAATAGGCATTTTGCTCATGGCCTACTTTAGCTTTAGGCGACATAAGTGACGGGGGGGGGGGGGGGGGGGGGGGAATGCTAAAAAAAGTGATGACTAGCGGCTGGGTGTGATTTGGCGCCCTGCGATATCCTGTGAGCACTATGGCGCCTTCGTTCGCTTTAAGCAGTACGATAGACTATGGATAAGATTGGGCGTTATAGTCGTTCACTAAGGGGGGTCATCCATAAATGACGTCAAGCGTTTTTGACGATTTTTACCTCCACCCTAACCTCCGTCACACGTCGTCACAAAAAGCCAGACCCCCCCCCCCCAAAACGACGTCACACCTCAGCCTACAACCCCCCTCAAAATTGCAGTTGAATTTTTTTTTAAACATCGATATCTTTTTCAAAATTTTGTCTGAACTCTTTCAAAATAGAGTATTTTAATCAATTCCTATTACAATTTATTAAAACTGTTCTCTAAAACGCAAAATAACGTCTAAAATTCATTTTCTAACATTGCTTTTTTATAATGCAAAAGTGTGACATCGCACCACCTGAACCCCATCTCCCCCTCATCACACACCGTCACAAAATTACGGACCCACCTCCAGAGGCGTAGCGAGGGGGGGGGGGGGTGCGGACCGCACCGGGTGACGCCATTTGGGGGGGGGGGGTGACACCAAGGCAAAAAATAGTAAAATATATAGAGAAAAACTTGAGGGGGGGGGGGTGCAAATGGAAAGTTCGAGGGGGTGCAAATCGAAAGTTTGAAAGTTTGTCACCGGGAAGAGTCGCTACGCCTTTGGGGGGGGGGGGGGTTGACACCATTACCTGACCTCGCTACGCCACTGCCCCCTCCCCCTACGAGTGTGACGTCATTTATGGACGACCCCTAAACTGAACCAGACGCCCCGGGCTATCCTCGGACTTTCGTCTAACCCCGGGGCAACGCGCGGGAACGGGCACGCTAGTTTTTAATACATGAATTACCTTCAGTGTTATTGAATTGTTTTATTTGTTTAAACGGCCAATGTGAAAAAAGGTCTTTGTGCCTACAATTGTAACCGTTTTTTGAATAAATTTGAATGAATAAATTTAAATTTGAATTTACCCCATTTTTAAAATTAGAATAGAGTTCTCTAGTATTTAAAGAGAGAAAAAAAAAACCGATTTGTTCTTCGTTTCGGTATTTAGATCTAGAGAATCTAGTAATTTTTGCCCATGGAACAACGACATCAACAAATCTATAGTCTTAATCTAGATCAATTAATATTTAAATTATCATCTTACTAAATTATCAAGCTTACTGAGAATGTCTTGGCTAGTAACAGCAGTGCAAAGGAACTATATACGAATTCTTTTTCCTATTACAGTTATCCTGCTGTTTATTTGTCTTTATCTTCTTTACACCACTGAACAGTTTCCAGGAGGTGCAGATCTTTGTGTTGTTGCCAAGGGTAAGGCCGGCTCGGCTATTAGATCTAGAATCTAACTACTTGGTTACTTAGCTAGCTACTCACTTTATGTCTTTAGCAATACTCACTAGAATCTAGATCTAGATCTAGATTTCTAGATCTAGAGTCTAAATGAAATTTTAGGAGGAATATTTAATATTTAGGCCTATAGATATTAGATAGGCTAATAAATATAAAATTGTATAGGCCTATAATTCGAGTCCACCCTATCTATGATCTTTTATCTTAACTAACTTTCTATCCCTGGCAGGTCGAGGGCTAGACGAGGCATTTCATGATTAATCATTGATTAATGATGATTTTGGTAATCTGTCATAACGTTTATGTAAAATCGTCAGAGGCAAGGTCATGTGAAAGAAAGTTGACTCTGTATGGCTTAAGTACTTAAAATCAGCAGAGGCTAGTAAGTAATGTGAAAAAAAGGTGACTCATTAGGCCTAAATGTTAGTAGCCTAATTATTTAACATTTTTAAGAGGATTTATGTTTTGAAAGTTACAAAAATGTTTCAAAGCATCACTCATGTAAATTTTTTTAAACACTTTATATTAAAACTTTTCAGTAATAAATAAAGACTAGATATAGATCTAGCGATGTTTCCATCAGATGCAACCAAGCTTATTTACTGACATTTACTTTAGCAGCCATCTTGTTTACATTTTTTTGGTAAAATTATAGTTAGAGATTCAGGGTAAACCACTCTAATTTACAGATGGCCGCTGTTTACATGACAAATCTCGCTCGCAAACACTGCTTTTTAAAGTTTATTTCTGGCCTAGATTGATATATTTAGCCATTGCTTTTGGTTTATTATTCAGTTATCTATTATATTTGACATAAATATATCACAGTATACTTGTATTAAAACCATAAAAATGAGGCAACTTTTTTCGCATTACTAGCCATGGCAGATTTTATGCAACTAAAACGATAGATTACCTGTGACTCATTAAATATTTGTAATCATTTCACATTTCTAGGAGGATTTGTGTTTTAAAACTTACAAAAAGGGTATCATGTACCTGTTTTAAACAATTTTATTTTAACTTTTCAGTATTAAATAAAGATTAGCGATGTTTTCATAAGATTCTACCAATCTCGTTTACTTTATCACTTAGCAGCCATCTTGTTTTTTTTTGTGTTAATTATAGCTAGAGATTCAGTGGAAACCACTCTAATTTACAGATGGCAGTTGTTATATACTATTATATAGCAAATCTTGCTCTCAGACACTGCAGTTTAAAGTTAATTTCTGGCCTATATTGATATATTTAGACATTGCTTTTGGTTTATTATTCAATTATCTATTATATTTGACACACATATATCACAATATACTTGTATTAAAGCCATATTAATGAGTCACCTTTCTTTCACATTACCAGCTGATTTTATGTGCCTCTTGCATATTTACAGCAAATTTTCAGCAGTCTTAGTGACTAGACAAGTCACAGTTTTTTTGGGAGCCTCGACATTTAATACCTATTTATTGGCCGATTTAATAAAGCCATTTCTATCAGGATCTAGAATTCTAGATCTATTTCAGTATTTGTCAGGATAATTATTGTTCTGTTGAAACCATTATTATGCACCAAGCTATTAAACTTCATGTTAACATTTTTGCAATAATCTAGATCTAGTAACTTTTCAAGCATATTGATTTTATTTTGGTTGTGTTGTTTTCATAATTATAAAATAAAATAAAAAAAGGGGGGGGGGGGAGGTTTTGTTCAGAAACTGACAGTACGAATTTGCATTTAAACATAATTTTGTGTTACTGAAGACTTTTTTTGTGAACTGAAATAAAATAAAGATCCCTCAATAAATACTGAGCTTACTACTTAGTCAATATTTTATAAATATATCACTGTTTAAAAAAGAATGAAATTTTGAGTTAAGTGTGCCGTGACACACTGACATCATTTTAGAGGTTTTTGACATTTTGTGACAATTTGGAGGAGGAGGTAAAAATTGATTTAAAAACGTGTCATGGATGACCCTTTTATAATTGGTATTTGTACATATTTATCCATAAATATACATAATGATGTATTAGTTATATTCTCATTTTTAGACAGGTTATCTGTTGATAAAGAAAATCATAAAAATGCCACAAAGCAGTGGTGGGAGTGGGCTTGTCTCTTAGAAATGTAAGTGTATACATGTTTTGTTATGTATCTCAATATATTACATTTAAAAAAAAACTTTATTGAATGGTATCTTATCAGTACATATGATGTTTGGGTACCAAAAATAATTTTGGTGTTCAAAGTACCTTCACATATCACGGGTGTTCTATTCCAGGCCCACCCGTGATAAGTGAATTTAGGAAGGACCATATACATTTTTTAGTGGTTATTCATCAACCAATGTTGTGTTGTATACAATCTTACATCACAAATAGCATCTCAAGCTGGTGTATGTACTACCATTTGTTTTTTGGTGCGTATTAATCCACCCAAGAAGTACTTTATTTACTATAAATAGTAATTTTTTATGATAGATAATATTCTTTTAATGTTAGAATTCATTTAAAAAAATATTTATATTGATTATGTTACTTTGTAGTAGCGATAAACAAACTGTAAAGTAGCGAGTGAATTTTGTATCTTGACACATTACTTACTTTGTACACTAGTTGAACACATTCATTTGACTATGCATCAATGTATAATCTTAATCTAACAGTATTTTTGTATTTAATTAATTTCAGAAGAAAATGAAAACTTTTTTTACATGTGATTTTTTAAAATTTATGTCTATTTTACTAATTTGAAAGAGAATTTGACAAGCAGCATGAGTACACCTGTCAAGATGAAAGGTTAATTGGAAATTATCATATTTGCTTTGATGAAGCCTACAAACCAACACCACCTTGTTTGGTATATTCTTTCGGGTAAGTTTCTCAAATTATTTTAGTTTCTTCAAATTTTTTTGTTATAAAGCATTAGATTGTTTAGAGTTCCTCTCTTGAAGTATCAATTTGATCTAGTTAAAAATAGTTTTAAAATACTATATAAAACTTAGTTAAGGGCATCCATTTGTAAAATTGTTACGATTGGCATTTGTAAAATTGTTACGATTGGCAGTTTTCACCCCTCCCCTGTCTGCATCACCTCTTAAGACTAATACTCCCTTCCCTGATTGGATTTTTTTATTTTAATGATTTTTGTTTCTGAATCAACTTAAACCTAATTCAAAATATTAAACATAAAGTTTATATGGAAAAGAAAGTTTATTTAAAATGTGTAGAAGATATAGTCATTTTAAAAATTTTATAAATAAAGTTACTTATGATGAGCTGGACTTTAAAAAAACACAAGCATTCATGTTTAAATTATGTCTTGTGTGTGAGATCAATAACCACTTTTGATCTCATTTTTTATTGCTAAAGTGTGTTGGCTTTTTCTTTTTTTTTTAAGAATTGATAATGATTTCCGTTTTGATGATAAAATGGCTGAGCTAGGCTGTGAAGTTTATTCATTTGATCCCAGGTATTTATTACTTTTCTACAAAGTATCTAATTATTTTTATGTAATGCAAAAATAATTTGAGTCCACAACCAAAAAACTTCAGACTGGCGCCTATATTCTCATTCCTATCAAAAGTGGCATCAATCACCTTGCATCAACATAAACATTATTTGGGGGGGGGGGGGGACTACAGACTCTCTATCCTTTGAAAACATTAGATTTATAACATACATACTGCATAGACTCACTCACTAACTACATCTTATTTCCTCTCACAATCAGATTTGTTCTTATATATATATATATATATATATGATCTGACATGCATTATACACATTATTTTAGTGTTCTTTTGAAATGAAAGTTTGCTATTTTCTTCAGCTTGCCTATCACCAGCATATTGAGAAAAGCTTTTGAATTTAGCTTTTATTTTCAGCATGAATGTAGAAGACCACAAGCGCTCAGAAAGAGTTCATTTTTTTAATATTGGTTTATCAACAAAAGATGATGATAACTTTGTGCCAAAAATGGATGGCTACACTATACATTCCACTAAACGTTGGAGAACACGTACTTTGACTTCCCTCAAAAAAATGTTGGGCCACGAGCATGTGAGTAGATCTGTTTCAAATACTTTACATCTTAAAGATTATTAAACTGCAATGTTAAAGCTATAGCTGATTGATACACACATACATATTTTAAAACTATCAATAACAAGTATTTAGTATTTTTAAAAAGAAAGTCTGCATTTTAAAACCGTTAACCACATTATATATTATGCTAAACAAATTTGTACACATTAATTAAAACATTTTAAAAAAAATTATTTTTCTTGTTTAGAGCATTAACTGAAAATGTTTGTGATGGTAGCCTTCAAGTTGCCCAATTGTTCAAACTTGTAGGATTGCTGTCTGTTTCAAATAAAATTAACTTTGGTGTTAAACAATCATAGAATAATAAAGTAAAGATTGTCAGTATTATTTATTTACACACATTTAAATAAAGAGTTACCCGTTTGAGATATTCAGCTTACATAAATGGTTAGATGAAAAAAATGTTTTATCCAATCTCTTTCCAAAAAAAAGTAAATTCCTTTTCCTTCTCTTGGGTCAGTTAAGTAGTGACTACTTGTGTGGCAAGGAAAATGCTATTTTTGATCTAGTAGTTTATGTAAGGGCATATAGAATAAAGTTGTTTCTTTGAAATTTGTTTATGAAAAGTTAAGTGGCCAACACTGTTTTTGCCCAACTCATGCTAGCCATCTGTCAGAGCTGGGTAGACTAGAATTTTACTATTACCTAAACTTGATTTTCACATTAACAGGAAACAAAACAGGTACTTTACAACTTGATCATGCCATTCATCAAGTGAACTTTTTTTTACAGAGAGCAATTGATATTCTAAAGATGGATGTGGAAACCTATGAATGGGTTATAATGCCAGAATTGTTAAAGAATGGATCCATGAAGTCTGTCAGGCAACTAACCTTAGAATGGCACATTTTTCCTAATGAACCAATGAGAACAGAATTTCACAACATGTATGGAACTTACTTAGATCTGAAAAAAGTAGGATTTAGACAATTTTATTTGAGCTATTGGGCCAGATATCATAATTTGCAGTACTTTAATTCACAAAATGATAATTCTTTAGTGAACGAACTTTTTAATGCTCAGGCATTCTATCAAAGTAAATAAAATTTTCCATTATACTTTGAAAAATTCCAGAATTAGTACAAAGTTTGTCAACTAAGTAGATTGTTTCTAAACTATGCTTTAATAACATAGTGAACTTTCAAGTACGAAGTATTGAGGTTAAAACAACTATATATATCTAAAAAAAGTAATTAAAAATTAAAAGTTGTATGTGTGTATCATGCTAAATTAAACTGGTTTTTTTTTTTGTGTGGAGAAAGGTCATGTTGATTGAACTTGTTAAGAACTAAATGTGTTCTTTATTCAACTTGCCAATGAAATAATTCTACTAGCACAGTAATACACTACATTAGTATAATTCATGAGAGTAGCTGCTATGTTAGACTTGAGTATTCAGATTTTCTGTTTTCTTTATTTTTTTACCTATGTCACTGGACTGTGAAATTGTTCAGTACATCATATAATTTTGATGAGCTATTATATATAATATTCTTTTTCTCAGTTTTATTTTATGTAAATAATGTGTGATATATTTATTTCACAAGGAAACATTTTTATGGGGTTGGTCACAACATGCAACACACATCATCACACATTTGTATGTAGCACACTTTTTAAAAATGACACACACTTTGGTCAACAATTGGAAGAGATTAAACATGGACTTGACTTAAAATGGTTACGGCTCTGAGGTTTTAAGTAACCAGACTTGATGGCCATGTTTACCAAAAATAAATAATTTTCTGATTTTTAAATTGTTTTTTTACTGGAAGTACCTTTTAAATTTTAAAATGCTATCATTCCTATTATGCAACTTAAATTAAAAGGCACAATAAGATGGGATTTTTGTGAGTGCATTTCTTGTGATATTATTTACACAAAATCAATCGGATTGATCTTGTTAACACAATTTTTATCGAGCAATATATTCAGTTTTATTGTATTAAATCCAATTTTGTAGAATCTCATGGTTTCAGAGTATTATTATTGTAAATCCGGTTCCCTAGAATCCTTAAGTACCAGCAGTTTGTAATGTAACTTAAAATCTCAACATTTTATCTTTTTACTATTTTTAATGTTTCATTGTTTGCAGTGTTGGTTATTTTATTTTAAATTGCACTGAACATTAATGTTCTGGTTCAGCTTTCTCTTTTTGTATAGGCACAATGAATCTTGAATTTATTCACTTAAATTAATGTTGTAACATTTCATGGGTTAAATAAAAATGTATGGATGGCCTATCATTGATTATTTGACAATGCCTTGTCCAATTTCTATGTCAAATGCATATTAGTAAAATAGTTAAATGATGTAAACAAAACTTAAAAATTTCTGTGCTTAAAAAACAACTTATATTGGAGCTGTTTTACATACTTTATTTGTGCTCCTACCTTTCTCACTAGAATGCAAATATTCCATTGTTAGAAATTCAGTATGGCAGCTTATTTTATTGTGTGTATTTATGGCTTCAGCTTTTTCAGAAGCTTGTATTTAACATGCTTTTTCCTCATCTGTGTGGTCATGGGGGGAAACTTGTGGTGAAATTTCACCCACTTTTTCACAGTAATTTGTTTTAAACTTGACATTCATATATCAGGTCAAGATCTAATGACAGTGCAATATGGCAGGAATTTTGACACAATTAAGTCTAGTTAGTTTTTAAGTTATCAATTAACAATTGCCAAATAGTTTTGGTAATAAATGTGTTAAAACTTCTATAACAAACTTTTATATGTGAATTAAAAAAAATGATTTTTCTGAAAATATAATAATGCATTACTATTTAATTAAAGTGTCAGCAGCTCATTAGAGGTTCGTACAAGTATTAAGTAGCTAACATATATTATTACCATCCATGTTTAGCAGTATATGAGTATTTATGAATTTATATACAAGGAGATATGCAGTATATATTTGGTTGTTTGTAGGCCTAGTTTATATTACATTTGCTTTTCATAACACAAGATAGGGACCCCAGTTTTTTTTTAAAGTAAATAGTGCTGCATTATTATAATTAAATTATATTTAGTGCACATAATAAAAGCTTATAAAATTTTTTTGTTTTTATCTTCTAGAATTCCTCTAGCTCTGCTATTTTTAAATTTGTGCTTGACTCAATAACTGTTTCACCTTTTGTTTTAAAAATGACATTTTTCCTAATAATCAAATTTTTTTTGCTTATTAACAAAATAATTTCAATGCACATTATTTCAAGTATAGGCATTTAAAACACATGCAGTATATTAATTTATTGTTTGTGATAATTGTTTTTCAAGACTGCTATCACCTATGTAATACATGTTAAAATTCTATATACATGTACAATGCAATAAATGTCAATGCTTGGCTTGTTGAACATTAAAAACAAATATATTCCTGTATAATCCTCATACATTTTTAAAACTTAATACTCCCCTTTATAATTATTTTTAGCTTACAGCTTGAAATACTCTGTGAAGATGGTTCATGTACTCTTCGTATGTCTGCTGTATTTTAAATGTGTTTTTAAAGATTTTTTTTATATTTGTTACAATGTTCACATTTTTCTTCTTAATAAAGTTTTTGAAAATAAGTTTTATGACTTCCTGTAATTTATAATTTGTTGACATTAAAATTGTGATTGTTTTGTTAACATCTTTTCCCATCAACTATAAGAGAAAAATTTGAGGGAGTAACTAACAGCACTTCACCAATTACTGGCATATGTCTTCAGAAATAAATGAACTTGACTTCAACTGGCTAATAATCGGCCCATAAAGGCACACAATATATTTTACATAAGATGTAGCTACTTAATTTAACCACAATACACTCCTGGTTTCTCAAACTTGGTATGGGCTGTGTTTATCTTTGGTGGACTGATTTACAAGATGCAATTGTATCAAGAGTTCAAATTTTCAACACATTTTGCAAGCAGTTAGTGCTCTTGTTTGGGGTAAGACCCAAACTAGGAGTAAACTTAATAAGTTTGTTGAATTTGTGGCCTTCCATCTGACCATTGATATTTGTGAATACTAGATTGTTCTGCTATAATAGAGGCAAAGTTTTAACATAAGAAGAACAAGGTAAGTTAACCTTCATTTTGAAATCCTTTAATGAGAGATTAGCCAACAGTAAATATACATTATCCATTATTAACAATAACTACTAAAAAAAAGTATCGATTAAATGATGTATTTACATATGCAATTTATAATTCACAACTTACAAGCACATACACACAAACTCAAAAGGGATAATGAACTGCTCTCTTTAAATTCACAAAGACGAACACACTTTATACAAACTGAATGCATTATGATTGCTAACAAATATTATTTCTTTTTTGCCCTCTTCAGTCTTTCCTGTTAAAAGAAATAAAAAATAAGTTATATTAAACATTTAAAAAAGCACACAATTAATAAAGTAAAAGTTTTCTTCTCCCATAGCAAAAGTAATTTTTTTCCCTCCTGATACCAAAGAAAAACAGTGGTATATTAAAGACCAATTTAGAAAACAACAGTGACACACCAGGCTGCTTCTACAGGCTATTGTTTTCTAAAGCTGTCCAATATGATATAATAGAACCAATATAAGATAATATAATAATAATTGTTTTCAATTAGTTAAGAACTTAAGCCTATGTCAAAATAGCTCTTTTGATAGGTACTAAGGGCTAAAAATGAATTTTACCATAGTCATTTTGAACCCAATTGCGATCCATATAGTAGTTTAAATTACTTAGGGCCTCTTTCTCTGTATATTCTGGAACCAATATTGGTACAAATGGATCCAGTGCATCAAAACCCTGCAAAGATAATTGAGTGCAAAAGTTAGCATTTAAGTTTTAAGACAAAAATCAGCATGCTGATTTGTTACTACATTTATTTATAAAACTTCATAAATCCAAAAATTTTAGCTAGAAAAATACTTAAATCTATAGCAGAAAGAGAATTTTCATTAGATTTTACAATATCTAACAACATGACCTAATAACTCTACAAAGCATTATTGCACTTAAAAGGTGAAAACAATATGAAACGGTTGGAGGCAGTCATAAAAAGAGATTGTGTTAGTGGTGCTGTAGACCGAACTTTTTGATGTCATTTGTGGCTGTCTTGCTATTGATGACTATACGAGGGTGAGGGTAATATTTGTCTAATCAAGGTGACATTACTTTTACTGAACCTTACACATTTCCATAACAAACCACATCTCCCCCTTTTCTCATGAGCCCTACACACCTGACCATGCTAGAACATTCTACATGAACTGTTATTTAAATTTCTAAAATATAAAACTTCATAACTGAATGACCCCTACTACATATTCCTTGTGTAAAATTTGTAATTTTTATGTTCAATTTTTTAAATAAAATAAATATAGTTGCAGTTTGATGAAGGGCACCAGAGGATGATAATCATTTCAGTAATAACATCACACTTTCTATTGGTTAATTTTGAAGTGATTCTAACTACATAAGGGAGAAAACAGATCCATAAGAGACAATAGCTGTAAATATTTGCAGCACATTCCAATTAATGATCTATTCAAAATTAAAAAAAAAATTATTATGTAAAGCAATTGACTATATTTTAAATTTTATTAACCTGATTTTGCTGCATAATTAATAAATTAATGTGTGAATAGAACAAAAGAGATGTACCTCCTGCTTCAACAAATAAAAGGGTGTATAGTTTTGTCTTTCATTTTCATTATTGGCAGTTTCATCCACTGTGCACACAGCAACTCCATGATTCTATATAAATGTGTTACAAACTTAATCAAGTTGATGTATTGTAAAAGTATTTTAAAAAAACAACAACTTAATTTGAGAAGACCAAATTGAAGCATACATTTTTTTAGAGCAATAGATATACAGCATAAGAAAAAAAACTTTATTTTTTTGAAAAAAAAAACAAAACAGCAACAAAACAGAACCAATGCGTAAGGGAAATAGTAAACAAACAAAATACATTTTTTTTCAGGTAGAGTTTATACAAATATTTGGAAACCGAATGATCCCAGAAAAGTCTTACTTACCCAAGTTGGACTGACCATTTTCTTGAAGTTATGTATAAGAGATATTTCACCTGGATGTAGCTGAAAGATATAAAATTTGTAATATTTTTGATTGATATTTTAAAATCCTGAATATATGTATAATATTCTAGAAGAGCTTTTCTTAAACCAACAAAAGAATTGCCTAATCTAATTACCTTCTTCTTTTCAGAGTTTTTTAAAGCATTTAAATGATTCCATTGAACATAGAATGCATTGACAGATGTGACAGCCACCAGAACTTTTAGTCTGCAAAACAATAGTTAAACACAATATTTTATGGAAAAAAAAAATCACACATTAAAATGCATACAAGTATCATTTAATATCTTTAAAAAATACAAGGATTAAATTTAGAATGTTGTCTCAAGCAGACATTTTTTTGACAAAATTAAAAAATAAAGAAAACACACAATAAATTTGATTTTATAATAGGTAATTGAGCAGACATTTCAATCTTTATGTCTCATTAAAAATAAATTAAAACCAACTGTTGAGTTTGTGCTTGTTTTCTCAGTTCTTTTAAAATTACTCCCACACAATCACAAGAAAACTTTAGACGAGATTGGCCCTGTTAAAGACAATGGTACTTTTTAGAATACACATTAAAAAATTATTTTGTACTGTTTTTATAGCACTCTGCATACATATAAACTCTGCATCAGACTCTAATAATAAAAAATTGTAACACAAAATTAATTCTTACAAAATCTATTAATTCTTCAAAAGATGTGCCGATTTCTGCTTTTTCTCTTTTTGTCCAAATATACTCTGAAGTTGTCTAAAATGAAAAAACACAAAAGCAGAATCTTTTTAATAAAAAAACTTTAGTGCTTTTATGTCATAAAATGCAATTATTTTAATTTAAATTCTTTTAAAAAATTACACAAAACTAAACTACTTTTAAATTCTGCAATCTTCCTTTGTTCTGATTCTTAAAGTGATTAAGCCACTGAGCTCCATCTGTAGGAAGATCAAATCGCCCTGGCTTGTAGATGGATTCAGACACTTCCTTGTACCAGCCACGAGCCCACTGACCAGCTAGAAAAAAATTTGCATGTGTAAACTGAACATAAGCTCTAGCAATAATAATTAAAACCCACTTTAATACAGACTTTTCTCTCAATAAAACTTTGTCAATTATGTTTTTTTTTCAATAAAAGAAAAGATCTCTAAAAGCCATTTATGGTGTTAAGAGAACTTTTTTTGTGGTTGACAAAATTATGTCTTCTGCAACAGAGGTTTTGTACTTTAAACAGGTGTATGATCAACACTGGAACATGAACAATCACTCACCCCATGGAACATTAACTATGATCCAATTGTCTCTGTGACAACACTGCATTGTATGGTGCAGCACACATGATTTACCAGCTCCTTTGCGTCCATCTTTAAAGTTGGTTAAGATAATTGAACATAGAGATTTATACTGTCAACCAATCCTCATACAACCTTTCTCTCTTTGAGGAAATATATCTATTAATAGCCTCAAGTTTAACACAATTAAAAAGCTGTCTTGAAGGAGTAGTTTTTTAGAAACTTCAAAAAAGTATTGATCATAAATGTAACAGTGTAAAGTTAAGAAATAAGAATGAAGTTCCAGTAAACCTACATTACAAAACAGATGTGTAAAGGATACAGAGTATAAATCTAGGAACTGGGTGATTTAAGTTGAAGTTCCTGATATATTCATTCAACTCAATAGATGGTTTTCTTACCATGAGACAAGATTCATTGAAAGTCTTCATCTTGAAAATAAAATAAATTGAATTTTTGTTCAAAATTCAGCTATTAATGCATCAACATTTAAGAGGCATGTATTTAATTTATTTTTAAAGCTTACCAGTCTCATATGCCATGGATGAATGGTATCTTTAAGCAGACCATCTACTTCATCTTTAGGGATTGTGTAAAATAGGCCTACATGATCAAGAGTATGTTGTCTCTGAGGAATAAAGTCATACAGTCAAATAGACAACAATATTAGCATTAGCATGTATTATGAGAAGTCAAACTTTTAATACAATTTACTGATATATTTGCTCTAGTTTTTAAACTATTGCAGTGCAGGGCAAAGAAGGGAGTCGGTAAACTGTAAATATTTAAAAAAATTAAGCCAGGCTATTTTAATCTGATGGATACCTACTGGATCGTTTTCAGAAGTTCTAAACACAGTCCTCACATTATCATTTGCTTGAGGAAGAGAACTAAAGCCTCTAGTAGCTCGAAGCAGTAAATCTAAAAACAAAAACATGTTTAAAAGTCTGATGGAAAAGATTACTAACAAATTTAGTAGCAAAATTTATTTCTATATTTTGTAGTGGTAACTATTTGGTTAGACCTGTAGGCCTATTTATTATTCTCTCATTTGTAAAGATTAAAATTAAGATTTAGAGAGTGTTACTACTTCAAGTGACAAATAAGGTTATTCCTGTTCTTCTGACAGACAACACAGGGGTATAGAATATAGGCCTATATACAATATTTTTTGCAGCCATGAAATGAGTTTCGGGCATGCTCAATTAAAACTAATTTTTAGTTAACTCAATGCAACAAGCCCGCCGGTTGGTTGAGGCGACGACGACACGACGACACACACGGACGTGACGTTCTGACCGGGATTCAAACGGACGACTCGAAATAGCATCCAAGTATTATATAGACCTGCTATAGTAGGCTATATTTTATAAATATAGCCTAATATATATCCTAAACAAAACAGCAGCCATCTGTAAATCTGTGTTTTCCCCTGAAATTCTAATATAATTTATTAATTTACCAAAATAATTAATCATTACACCGCGTTTACACTTACGACAATGTTACTAGACTTGACCTACTAAAGTGTATACTGAACACGTTACGAGTATATGGAACATCTTCTGAGTCGCAGGGCACAAAACCACGCCCCTTTTTGTGTTCTGGGTCAAGTTTTTGTCATCGCTCGCTGAGCGAAAACATTGGACATGTTCTGAATTTTCAGATGAGTGCGCATGCGTCAAAAGTAGTAAGCGCAGCATAGGTCTCAGCTGATTGCAAAATTAAATATAGTAGATTCTATAATGATTTTGAGTTTTTGAACACACGATTTCATAATTTATAATTTCTCTAGGCCCTGCTAAAATTTACATTTTTATCATTTCTTTTTATTTCTTTAATTAAATTCCAAACACTTTTTAATGAAATAATATCTAAGGCATTATAATTTTGCCTTAAAACCAGTTTAGATATTAGGCCTAATTACGAAAATATTAATTAATTAAAAAATATAATTGAACCAAATTTATCACCAATTTTTTCTTGACCGAATATTTTCAGTTTCCGTCTGACATGAATAAATCTTTATGCCCACCAGAATGTGGATCGTGGGATCACACATAATCAACTTACTATAAAAACAGGCAGATAAAAAAGTCATAGGCTAATTATTTAGGTTTAAAATGGGACATAATTAACATAAAGAAACAAATTGGGGTGGGGGGGGTGTCATAGGCCCTACTCTAAAAACTACATCTACTTTTATTCTGAATAATAGACTCAGTATAGTGATAACACGATCACATACGTTTAATGAACTTGACAGATGCAAGTTTTCGGAGAAATCGGACCTTTACTTTCAGCAAACAAATATTTAGCCCTGTTTATTGGAAGCTGTTTCTGAAGGATATAGACTAGCAATTAAAGAAGCTGGGGAAATGGCTACCATGGGGTTGGGGTGGGAAAGGGTGATTGTACTGCGGGATGGGAGGGAGGGGAAATAACAGGTGGGTATTATACACAGCATTATATTTATAAAAACTGTCTAGCTCCAGTAGCTGGCATAAAATTTATAAAATCTTGCATGTTCTCTAATTTTTAGATAATTCATTGTTGAATCGCAAGCACCGTGGCTACACCATTTTCCTTTAAAAAAAAACAACTGTGTGCCCACTATCTTTTTTTTAACTTTGATTTCTCTTTATTTAATTATCCGGGCCTATATAGCAGACGCTCCGGGTCAAAGGTCATGCTCGTTTTATAAAATGTTCTATAACAATGTTCTAGTGTGAACGCTAAAGTATACATGTTCTGTGAACAAATTGTTTCAAGACAAATTTTATTTTGGCGGGCTTTGTGTTCCAGAAATGTATAGTATACATTGTCGTAAAGTAAGTGTAAAAAACGCGGTATTAGGCAGGCCTAATCAAAAAGTCTGTTAAGTTATTAATATTAGTTTAACAAGCTTAGTTGCATTTGATGCAAACATCGCTAATCTTTCATTAGATATATTAAAATTAGTATAAGATTCTAAACTTAGCAGTTAGATCTAGAGATCTAGATCTAGATCTAGTCTATCTCGTAATTTTTTTTGTTTTTAGTCAAATTTGAAAATTTATGACTCTGACTCTCAGTCTCAGAAACTCTGGCTCGTCTACTCGCCGTGACACAAAGGCAGCCTATCTATAAACAATACATCTTTCAGAAGGTTTATTAAATATTTAAATTAGCTGTAGTTAAAGGTAGGGAAAATCCGCGTTTTCTTTTATTAATACACTAACCATTTAGAACAGTATGTGCCCTTGATCCTAAAATACCTCGGGTACACTTCATTAACAGGGAGGCTTCCATTTTGAATCAAGAAGGATAACTCCAACCAAAAACAAACCCTCGAAGGTCATGTCTATTTTAAATGTAACAGTGTGTTTTTTTTTAGGCAAATAAAATGATACATCGACGACGACGTCTGTGCGTCACATTTTATAAAATAAATAAACATAGGCCTAATATTTAAAGAAAATTGAATCAGACAACAGACATGTCGCTGGAGAAAGAAACATTAATTTTCATGAAAAACAGTACAATTATCAAAAAGTGGCATGTTTATATTACAATAATTATCATCGTCTTAGTCTTAGTAATTGATATTATGAATAGTTATAATAATTATGGACATCATGGTACATTAGCCGTATCATTTTTACATGGGATGTATGAATGTATGGAAAATTATAGATCTAGTATCTATTTTTCCAAAGCCTTTTCCTCGCAACTTTCGATATTCCTCACTTATTCAATTATTCTACATACATACACTTTTCCTTTTTAAAATTAGGCTATATATTATTTCTACGATAAAGAAACTATGGTAACATATTTCATTAATAAAAATAAAATGATATTTAAATGCTGCAGCCACAATCAATACAGCATATTATGTTAAGGCAGATAACAATGTCAGTTGCGCCAAAAGCAGCATGAAATGGGCTAAGTTAGCGGGAGTCTGGTTAAAGTAAAATAAAAAGCAAGGATTCCCATCATCATCATTACTGAGTACCCCTAATGGAACATAGGGACACAATCACACCTTTCCATTGTACTCTGTTTTGGGCGATCCCCCAAGTTGTATCCACGACGTTCTTGCAACTTCAGCTTCAATGACTACTGATCTTTTCCGAGAAGCAAAGATCTCTAGTTCACCACTACTGTGTGAAGCCAAACAAGCTAATCCAGCATAACCATCAATCAACATAAGCTCAGTTCTCGAATAGCTCATTGGTGTATATACATATATATATATATATATATATATATATATATATATATATATATATATATATATATATATATATATATAGATCCGCCTATAACGAATGTTGTGGTAAGTTTGTCGTTAGAATTTGAATAAATAAATGAAAAATGACAAATATAACAGACTATTAATGTTAAATACCAGGCCTGTTTTTTTTCTTCAAAAAGCACAGGCTTATAATGTATTTAACATGTCAATAATGCGCGTTTTTTGTGTCGATACAATAGTCGATTGATTATCCCCATTCAAAAATATTTGTTATTTTTTAAAAAATATATGGTTGTCTGATGAACACATCCCTATTGGCTTTCTCTATGTTGGACCTAGCTTAGACTGGGCCCTATTCAATTTTCAAAAACATGATACGGAGTTCTTAATGGATAATGAGATATCCGTTGCTAAAAATAGGTACAATATTCGAAGGGAAATGCAGTCCTGTTGGACTTAATTTAAAATTAAAACCAGAACAAAATTTTGGGAAAACTTCTATTGCTAATGTGTGTATAGAAACTTTACTGATTCGCAATATTTAGATCATCATTCATTTATTTACACTGTATAACTGCCAAAGACCGTTAACGTTTCATACATAGTTATGACTATCCTTTCGAGGGCGTAGTGACAAAAGCCGCAGACGCCATTTTGCAGCTATATGGCGTAGATTGTTGTGTCTGTACACAGTTGGCTCTGTTTACATTCGGATATTTTTAAAAACTCCCTTAACTTCATATAGATCTAAGGTAAAAATTTATGGTCACTTAAATTAAACGCATAAGTCATTGAAACAAATACTTGTGGATACAATATGTTAAATGAATACAATTTCCGGGTATGTTATAAAAAGTTTCACTTCTGTTACTCAACTCTCTGACTTGTTTTTTTTTCAAAAATTATCTTGGAAATTAATCACTGGTCATGAATCGGTTACCTGAGCCTAATTTTACGATTTATGTATTAGATCTATGCAGAATCTAACCTCCCTCCCTATTAATCAATGTTTTATAAATGCATAATTAATACTAATACTAGATACTAGATCTAGTAGATACCATCACAAACTTTGTGACAAAGTTAAATTTAAAATGCAGTCTAGAATTCATTCTCATTCTGATTCTAGACTAGAATCTAGTCTAGAATCTAGATCTAGTAAGTAATAAGTTAGTTCTAGATCCAGAGTCTAGAACAAGAGTCTAGACTCTAGAATCTAAATTATTTCTAATCTAGATCTAAATCTAAACTCTAATCACAAATCTCAGTAATCTAGATCTAGATTCTAGAAATCAAGATATATGATTACGAGGTTAAAATTAAATCCAGATTTTAGACTTCATAGATTGTAACTGTAGAGATCAATGTATAAGTTAAATTTGAAATTCAAAGTAACTACTCAGAAGAAATTTCTCCCCATAAGTCTGGCCGGCAAAAGGTGAAAAGAATGCAATGCTCTAAATAGATGGGCGATTAGTTCAAATTAAATACTATGAATAGCCCTGAGATGGGCTGGAATTATCCTTTGGGCTGGAATTATCCTTTTTTATAGATGTGCATGGGATCAATTTTCCTATTTAGCCTTATTCTTCTAACAAAACTATCTGTACTGCGTGTTCAAGCAGTTGCGCATTGAGCGGGTCATCAGAGGTTGGGAGTTTATAGTATTAAGTTATAGTGGATATCTAGTTAGGTCTACTCTATAAGTGAAGTATAAAACATTTCAAATTTTTTTTTAATAGCCAATTTAAATCGACTATTTAAGTAATAATCGATTTAATCTATGTCCCATAAAGACAACACAAAGAACATTTAGATGACAAGAAAAACCAGGTCCTTGTAGTGCTATGTATGCGCATGCACATCTTCTTCCTTCTAGAATCGGCCTTTAAAATTATAGCCAACTAATGTTCTCTAAAATAAAGCTGCTGGAATATGATCTGATTTTATTAAATTTCAGTTAGGTCAACGCTAAATCATAAATCAAATTTATGTTTTATGTGTATGTAGGCTTAAATAATAAAGTAAAATAAAACTCTTCGGTCTGTTGACTTAGCTGATATCCATGAAGTGATTTTTTTGAAAACAAATTACACAATGACTATGCCTTAATTCAGCTTAACAGTGAAGGTCAGCGTAGGCTAATGGACCTAAATATGTAGTTCTTATTAGCTAGTTAATAGTAGCAGATGTGACCCATAATTTTGAATACTCATAAATTAAATACTAGAGTAGATCTATTAATAATATTAATATATTTCATATGATAAATCAGTTTGCATATGTATTGTCTAACAAAGTTGTACTTCTTTTCTATTCTTTTTCAGGATGCTGTTAAAAATATAATGTTGTAATTCAGAAATCTGAAATGATTTAATGCTTACCATACATTTTTGGGTAAGACATGAATCAAGATGGTGGGACAGAGCAATCCTCAGATTATGAAACCAGTGATGCTGCTGCTAGTTCGCTCAATAATAGTCTTAGTGAAGAAGAGTTTTCCATTGAAAGTTCTAATATAGATAGTGGTGGATTAAAGTTAACAATTTCATTTAGAAAAAAAAGTAGTGAAGATGATACAGATTATTCAGCTGGAGCCAACTTGAACAGATCAAAACAACAAAGTGCTTCATTGGACCCAGAAGAAAACCATTTCAGTATGGAAAAGCAGGTATAATTATTAATGGTAATAAAAAAAACGAGCAAAAATTATATGTGAAAACTATTTTTAATGGAAATTTGTGTTTGTGTTCACTGAAATTATTTTCTGACCACTTTAATGTATTATTTTTACTTTTTTTTTTTTACTTTTACCAATTTTAGTGTGTGATTATTTTGCTGATACTTATTGTTAATGCAAATGCATATTAATTTGAGTTCTTAAGGAAAAAGAAAGGAAAATAAATTAAATAATTAAAAACTACTGAGAATTCCAAACATAACTTAACATTCTTGCAAAATAATAACCTTTTAAGTTTATAAGTGTTAAAATTAATTCATTTAAAAGAGAACTTGTTTAAGTCATTTTCGACACTGCTTCAGTATTAAAATTGTTTGTTTTTAAGTTAATTTAATCATGAATTTATTTTGGTAATTTTAAAAATTAATCTTGCTTCAATTAAAACAGCTGTGATAGGTTTTTCTGTCCAGTGTATAAGAATGATTTGTGTCTGAGAATGTTTGATTTTCAAAATAACACTGTAATATTACAATTTTGCTTTTTTTACTAGATGGTTACAGCTAAAAAAATATCCTATCTTATTTCAGGTCCGTGAGTTGGACTCAAATAATGCTTACATTCAAAAGAAACTAATAGAAAAAGACATTCCTAAGACATTGGTGTCTTTTAATGACCATACTTCAACTATAAAAAATGATTTTTCATATATACAAACATCTACTACAATACCAACAGCTACAAAATTGACACATCGACCTTCTGCCTCAAATGAGAGGCAAGATTCTGTTCTATTTATTAGCACATCAGATGAAAGTACTTCAGATGTTAAAGTCGGATTATCATCAGTTGATGTGTCTAAAACTTGTGAATCTCTAAAGTCATGTAAACATTTTAAACAAGATAGTGTGACTTGTAGCTCATCTTTACATGACGCTCATGACCCACTCTTGAGACTGGATACTTTGCCAAATGTATCTCCTGACAGTGGGATCATTTCCTTGGATGAATCTCCTTTTGGCAATGAGTCACCAAATTCAGTGGTCAGTGGAGAATTAAGTGCTGACCTGCAGCATTGTAATCAAGTTTCATCTGCTGTGTCTATACAGTGTGGTGTTAAGAGATCAGAACCCTCAACACCTTGTCAGGTGTATTCAGATGACCATCTCAAAACTAATGTTAATCTTGTAAACAGTCAAGATTGTAGAGAACATGCTGTTGAAATTTCAAACACTAACAGTTGTGAGGCTGTGGTTAATTCACCTTTGGAACAAAAGATGAATGCTTCATCCAAGCAGTGTACCAATAGTGATTCTATACAGGTTTTGAAATCTAACTTATCTGCTAGTACAAATGGAAATGGTGTTATTTTATCTTCCCCCCATAAAATTAGCCAAACTATGGGGCGCAAAAAAAGAGGGCGACCTCCAAAACAGAAAAAGACTCTGTTGTTGAAGCACAAAAAAAGCACAATTTACAGTGGTTTGTATGGTGATACCCCTGTACAAAATAATGTTGGTAATTCTTTAGATAAAGTAAAGACAAAAGATGGCAGCATAAGACACAATTCTGAACCAGGAGCCAAAGAAAAATGTGGGTTAGTTGTTGGAAGCAAAAGCAGCTCTGCAAGTTTAAAGAAGAAATTTGTTAACTGTGATATTCCTTGTGTAACAAAACGAAGTCCAGGAAGACCTAAAGGGTCTATATCTAAAAACAAAAATTCCTTGATTGTGTTTTGTCGGACTTTTAGAAATGTTTCACATGGGGCGAAGTCTGTTAAATCAAATGAACCTTCAAGTGGCATCGCTAGTGTTAGGTTACATTCAGCAAGTACTAGGCATAAAAGACCTAGAGGTAGACCTCGTAAAAATGATGAAGATTACCATAGTAAACCGATATTAAACAGTGATGCTGGTGATAATACAGATTTACATTTGTCTGTAAGTAAATCTAATTTAACTAACGTTAAGAAAAAGCATTTTCGGAAAAGAGTCTTTACACAAAGGAAAAGAAAACCACAAAGCATCAAATCCAATAACAATATAGCCAATCAAACCATGGAAAAAGCAATAAAAAACATTGACACCACCAATGATAGGGGTAAAAGTGTTTCTGTGTCTCACAAGCCAGTTAAATCATTTTCCAATTCATGTGCAGGGAAAAACAAAGCAGAGCTTGGAGCATCTAAATCAAAAGCGCTGGTTAGTCCTGAGCAACCAGAATTCCAGGACAATGATCTTCATGCACTTCTCAGAAGTGTTAAGTCATCTATCTTTAGCCAGTTCACTAATGAAGAACCAAATAATGATATTATTGAAAACATTTCTTTTGACAATCCTTTTAGAGTTCTTGAGCCGCCACCTTTTCCTAAAATGACCCAGGTTGAACCTCCAAAAATAGTTAAACCTAAAGCAAAGAAACCTAAGCTGCATGTGATGATGAGGAGAACCAAAAGAAAAAAGCGGAAAAAGATTACAGCACCTAAACCAGTCAAACCTGAGGCTCCACCCCCACCACCTGAAAAGTTAAATGTGTTTAGCACTGTGTCACCTCTAAAAAAAGTAGGGAAATTTACAGTTATTCCACAGAAAAAGCCAGGAACCTTTGGTTCACCAACTTCAGAAAAAAAACTTTCATTTTTTACATCTTGTGTTCAACCCTCAAAAATTTTAGCAACAAGTCGCTTGAATGTATTTCGCTCCGGAACTGGGGTTGAAGAAGCTCATCGATCTGGTACTCCAACAGATACTGATCAGCCTGATTTTTTTGACAGACGAAACAAAAAACGTCACCGTCTTCTGTATCGAAAGTCAAAGCACAAAAATATTATTGACCCAGTATTTGCAGCGAAGCTTGATATGCTTGTTTCTGGATTGAATGGTATGGCCATATCTGAAAATCCTGCTGATACTTACATTAGAGTTCGGCCTGGAGAAATGCCATTGCCATCCATTTTTAGAGTAATCAAAATAGATTTAAACAAAAAAGCAAAGGATAGAGTTCTTGCATCTGAAGCAATAAATTTAGACAGGTCTAAACCAAGAAAAGAGACACCATCTCCTTATGAAGCTACAGCTACTGCCTTTAAGCCAATTCCCAAAAGTGGTAGAAAAAAAAGCTCTACTGACATAATTGTGGAACAAAGGGATCACTCTTCTATAAGTGATTCAAGTGATCAGTGGCTTCCACCTAAAAAGCGTCATAGACTGGTTAACCTGGAAACATCACCATTTAATTCACCTACTAACTCACTTAATGACTTTGGATCAATACGTAAAGAATCTAAAGCTTTTAACCTTAAGAAAAAAGGAAGAAGACCAAGAAAGACTTCAGGCCAGGAAGAATACAAAAATGGTAAAGCATTTTTCTTTTTACAGTACATTAAATTATTTATCTGTTTCTTTACAGTAGAAAACTTCTTGTTTTTTAAATTAGAAAATAGTTTTTTTTTTCTAAAGGTTTTACCTTTTCTCACTCTTTTACAACAAAATAAATATTTGAGTAATTGTATATGGAATATTCTTTAACATTTGTTTTCACGGGTTTTTTATTTGTTAAGGTTGTAAGTTGGGGCTAAACAGTTACCCTTTTGAACCTATCTGGTCCATGAGGTCAGATAAAGTAGAGTTCACTTGTTTCTGTGACCCCTGCACATGAAGGGGTAGGGTTGTCAGCATTATACTCAGCCGCTGTTACTTTCCCTAACATTAGTCAGGTACTCATCTGAGCTGGGTGGACTCATGGATAACCTATGACTGTCTCAAACCTGGAATCTGAACTCGAGACTTTTGGATTAGAATTCGTACACTCTACACTTTAACCATTCCTTCCCATTCATGATGTGTGTGCTTTTATTTGACACAACGCTCAAACTTTTAATTTTTAAACCTGTTAATTTAATCCTAATGTAATATTTTAAGAATAAACTGTTTTTAGTTGTTGTAAATACTCTATTATTTTAATGGGTTAATAAAAAATAAACTATACAGTTACTTTAAAAATTTAGTTATGTTTTATCTTTAAAAAATTTCAGGTGAGAAAATGGCACAATGTCGATTGAATAAACAACTGGCATCATTAGAGCTGACAATTGACACAAGTAGCTACACAACAGGGGGCTCAAGTGTATGTGTCTCATCACTGTCACCCTGCCCCAGCAGGCTGTCTACACGCAGCTCGACTCTACCATCTCTGTCATCCCCCTCTCCTACAGGCTCTGTAGGATTTAGAAGCAGACATTATTCAAAAAGTAGCTACACTCTAGCCTGTCCTCTGCACTCACTCACATCCAGTGGAAGCGACAAATCAACCTGTGCTGAGTGTCAGCTGTTGGAGCAATCAGTGTCTCCTGTTGCTATGCGCACCTGTCGAACAACACTACGATCACTGTCGTCTCAAGCCATTGAGTCAAATTTTTCATGCGAGCGACCTGCCAACAGCTCGGAGTCTAGTCCAGTTTTAAAGGAAACATTACGCCATGATATGCCAGTCATTAGAAATGCTAGAAAACGACGGAAATCATCTAATCTATCAGCTGAGGACTCTGACTCATCACCGCCTCGACTAGAGAAAAATTCATCACTATCACCTTTATCCTATCGAGACAACAATTTCTTCTCGGAGCCTCCAGAAATAACAAACTCTCCTTTTAGAAACCATGGCTCACCAAGAAGACAGGCTTCAAATAGGCACACTGCTGTACAACTAAATGAAAACTCATGTGTTGTTCCCAAGAAAAAAATGGCTTCAGTGATGCCTACACAGAGAGTCTTGAGACACACATCTCCCAATAAAACACCCATGTATTCTACTGCAAAGAAAGTGTGCAATAAGCCAGCCCCAGCCCCCAGTAGCAGCTGGGGTGAGATTCCGACATCGGAGTATGAGCCTCTGCCATTGGAACATTGTACCAAGCGTAAACTTGTTGAGGAAATCAAATCTGTTCTTGCATGTGATAGGCAAGTCTAATCTTTCATTTCTTGCTATAATAAAATCAATATTTAAACTATCTTAGAAAATAATATACTCTTTGGCAGTATAAGTAAATTATTTTGTAATCATTTTAGTAATTACACTTATGAATACTACATTTGTAATTGTAACATTTATTTGTTTGTGACCAAGTTGTTAGGTATTAGATGCTTTATTGAATTAAACAGACTAATGCCTTTTCCCCCACAGTGATGAAGAGTCTTTGTGTAGTGATGATGATACAAATGATCCGTCCTTTAAAAACATTGCTGTATCTGGACAGTTGCCTCGTAAACGATATCAGAGAGTTGGATTGTTTTCTGATTTCTATAAAGATGACGAGTAAGCAATTTTCTTTTTATCATGTTAAATATTTAGATTCACAAACATGTTTTCAATATGTCAGTGAAAATGAAACATACATTCACTCACTGTCATACCCCATGCAAATTAAACTATTCACTTAACCTAATCACGCTCACTTTAATAACTTAAACAAATCTATTTTGAGGCAACAGGTTAATTTGTACAAATATGATGTAGTTTGGCTTTCCTGTTTTTAAGTTACACATTCATTACAACAGTTCTAGGATCTTTCAACACCATACATGTATGAACATTGTTAACTAACTGGGAAACCATAAACTTAAACTACAAACTCCAGCATTGAACAAGTATGCTATATGTAGTGAACTGGTTCCTCTTGATCTTATATTAATGCTGATTGCTAAAAAAAAATGACAGCAGGACAACACAATATTATATTATGTTTTTTTTCCCCTACTGGTACCACTGCTAGGGATAGGATCAGGGCTAGTTAGAACCTGGCTAGACAGGTTTAGGGCCAGCATTACCTGGGTAGCAATACTAGACACTAAATTGCCTGACATGTTCCCTGTCAATATTTTAACGAGAACCTGAATATCTGGCATGTGTTGTGTGTTGTGCTGTAGGTTCAGCTGCCTGAAAATACTGGACACATGTTGCTCACCTGTTAAATAATTCTAACACTACTTTTATCCCTCTGTGTGTTTAAAAAGAGAATTTAAAAGAAGAAATCTAAACTGTACAAACTATCTGTGGTATCTCTTTGTCAAATGGTATGGTTAACAGTTCTAGTATTGTCTTTCAACTCTTGCAATTATTGAAAAAAAGAATTTTAAAATTTATAAGAATTCTAAACTATGACAAACTATCTAAGGTATCTCTTTGTCAAATGGTAGGGTTGTTCCATTATAGCCATCCAAATTACTGCTGTGACTGTCTCTAAATAAATAATTTGTTGAATTGTTAATGCCCTCTCCCAGATTGCAAGTATAATTAATTTCTGTTGTGTTCAGTACTCTCGCACCAATACTTGCTCTTGGTGATTAAAATTCTCTCATCTAAAGTGACTCAAGCATAACTAACTTAAAAAGGAATACTACATTATCCTTCTAAATAAATGGATTTAAAATTTAGAAATTCAGTCCAGGGTGAATCTTTTGCAACTGTGTTGTAACCATAACCAGGTATTTGATTCTGGCCTTGGATATCTTACACACGCCATTAAAAGTCTGCTGTCTGTAGGAACAAATAGCAGCACCAGGTAAAGCTGTAGGGCGAAAAAAAAACCTGGCATATCAAGGTCTCTGGTTGATAGACTTTAACAAAGGAGCTTTAGCGTAGCGACAAGCATCTGCTCTTTCTTTTTAGGCCGCCGCCGTGTTTTATCCCCCCTCCCGCGCTATCGTGTTATATTGTTATAGGGAAATTATTGTCTGTTGATGGCAACTCCTCATAATTAAATACCGTGGCCGTTTTTTTTTTTTGGCTTTGCCATTTTTTTATTTACGGAAGTCAATAGAATAAAAATGTGTATGTGACAGTATTTAAAAAAAAATTGCATTTATTTGTTGAGGTTTTTTTTTTCTCACGCTTGCTGTCCTTTACTAGACGGAAGAAAGCTTTTTCCGCCTAGCGTGGCCTGGCATAGTTGAAACCATTTTATGAGCATGGTCGTTAAAAACTTTTCCTTGTCCCAGTTGTCACGTCACGTGACGCAGCTGCTAGGGTGTTTACACGAGTCCCGGATTGATCTCGCCCACGACATGTGGCGACGGCGTCCGGTCACCGCTCAGGCAGCGGGTCCAGGCCGCTCTACCTTTCACCGCCAGCCAGGTGTAAAAGCCCGACCGAGCTACTCCATCAGGCACTCGACGCGCTTTTCAAAGATCACATGTCGCCTGACAATCATGGGGGACACCCGGGCTTGCACTCAGCGATGGTTTATGGGGCAAATTTTCTCTTCAATGGAGACGCCATGTTTATAATTGACTGGCCTTAAGCGTCTACTTTAGTCAAATGCCAGCTTAAAAAGAAAAATCGTAAAGGGCAAAATACATACATTATTTGTAAATAGGAAAAACATTTTTTTTTTCTGTTAACCAACATAAACATCGTAATTTAAACTACTGTTGCAGATAATAATTCTGAATAAATTAGAATTTCAATTCCGACAGCTTTTAAATCAGTCCCATTTCCTGTTATTAAACGTGGAATGAAATGCAACATTACGTTTGCTTTAAAGAACACGTGTCAGTACTAATTCGTTGCCTATCGAGTGCATATACATTTCCAGTTGGCTGGACTAGATAGCACTTAATTGCGTGTAAACTGTTGCTCTTTTGTGTGTCAGAAGCTGTCGGGGAATTCTCATCCACACGAAAAGAAATCGTTAGCCTTAGGGGAGGACTGCTGCTAATTGACGTGAAAACGAATGTTGACTGCTTATGCACACACGGTGTGTACTGCAGGTTACAACATAGTGTCTCCATCTGTGCGCCGATTATTAACATGACTCGACGCTTTGAAGTCCGCTTTGAGCATCATTCAACAGTTAACCAGCAACTTGTACTGTTGTGTTACAGTTAGTGTAGTAATTATATTTACAAGGCAAATCTAATTATTATACACAACAAGAGCGCTATATCTAGTTCCCCGAATTGTCCCTGAAAAGACATTTTTCCCTAAGTATTGTAAGCCAAGAAATTTTGTTTGCGGGCCTCCTAGCATGAAAGACCCTTTTGTTCACTCTCTCAATTATGTCGCTTCAGCCCGATTCAGGTCTATTCAAGTGAACTATAAGAGGGCGGTTCGCGTATTACGCTAGCCTCGCCATTTCTCTATGGCTGGCGGGCTCCGAGATATGGCCTATTGTATATTTCACACAATACCAGGGGTGGGCTGGGAGCGCGAAACTTAATACACTGATCGATTTTTTAACACCCCCCCCCCCCGTTACACTTTTATATACATGTAACTGTCGATCGTCCTTAGGTTTGTCTGTCGAAACGTTTCAAGAGTGGTTCATTAACGTCATGTGTAATCAACCGGCCTACACTGTATTGTTACACTGTCATAAAGCTTCTCTTAACTAAACTAAAACTATGATGTGTAATAGATGAGTAAAAGGCCATGAGAACGTCGGCACACAATCCTAAACAGGATTGTTGTAGTTTGGTTGTTGTAGCTATCCTTCCTGTGTGGTCCAGACATCACATTTAGTGACACACACTTGTTGCTTGCCATCTGTCGCCCATAAGCCTAATACGTTGAATACAGATAAATCACTTACGAAAAAACACGTTGATACAATTTAAAGAAAATTCGTGTATAGTAAACAAGATTTCAAATGCTTTAAAAATAAATCATATGAAACCATCTCATCAGAGAACAAAGCTTAAATGAATGTAACAAAAAAAGTACTACCAGTACTACACAGTGTGTTTTGAACCATAATGTCCTGTTTTCTTGGTTACAAGACGCCAGGTGAGACGACAAAGTATTTTGGAACAGTCGACACTCGCCCCTCCCTGCAAGCCCCCTCCCTCCCCTTATTACACCTCTACCCATACCTGGTGGTCGTCATCCACCTGTCCGAAAACCACTGACGCAGAACGTGTGGCTGAACGTTGAATCCAACTAGTGTTAGACATAAAGCGTTTAGAACAAAGAACCACTGAGCTTATGCGTAAGTTCCGTAAAATGACTCAGTCTCTTTTAGAAATATACATACCGTCTAGAGAAGCAAAACTAGTATCTCCCAGGTAGATCTTGATAACTAAACTTATGCTTTCTATTCTATTGGAAAATAATACCCCCTACCCCCTAATCGATGCAGCTTGTGTTGTAACATTCATCAAACAACACTCTTCGAAACAAGGCTTTTTTTAGATGTTAAAAACTGGAAAAGTTGTCGATTTGAAAACAATTATCTTGAGGGTTAAGAACTACTTTCGATTTGCAATACGTGTTAGTGTTATAACTGAAACAAAATAAAAGAGATAATAGATCGCTCATAATAATAACCCCCGCTGAGAAGCTGCATCTTAACACGTTAGACATCATTGCTCGGTGCTCATAGTTTGTGTTGTTACGAAAATGGCTTTGTTATCACTCGCCCGAGGCTAAACGAATTAGACAATCGTTTTTACATATTTTATTCTTTGTGCGTGCATTGTCATGATGTATTTATCAATACCTCTGTAAAGTTCTAGTACATGGGTAAGTGGCTCCCATTAAACCTAATGTAAGGTCACTTGCTTGTAAGTGGTCGATCAACTCCGGCGATTACTTCACCCGGCATACTTGATATTTAATCCAGCTTTCTCAACACTACAAGCAGCCCAACGCCTGTCATCGTTCTGTCGTTTTAATTAGCAAATGTCACAATTTTTTATTGGTTTATGTACGGCATTTTTGTCTTAAGCCGAACGGTATGAATGTCAGGGTTTTGACGGATGAGCTGTCCAATATACGAAAGGTCTGAAAATGTATTGACAACAGTGGCTACAAGTCTCGTTTTCTTATTACGTTGACACTTATGTTTATTTCTCAGGTTAGAATCTCGATAATGCCGCACCTTTTGTATACCCCTCCCCAACAGCTCAATGACAACGAACCTAAACATTACCCCCCCCCCCCCCCTCACACACACACAGATCTCACACACACAGGACATGACATAACCTTCTTGGCAAAAGGGTTGTTGTTGTGTGTTGTGTGTGATAGGACCCCTTCCCCCCCACCCCTCAAGTATAACAATGATTGACATCTTAACTTCAGGTGTTTGCCTTGTCTGGCAGCTTAGCTAAATGAGTGTGCTCTATGTAATGTTACGCTTACGTGACCATAGACAACCAAAGGAAGCTGGTACGGCCAAAATAATAAAGATGTATAATAGAAACCCTAAGATTGTAACCAATGGCAAATCAGCATAACGTGAAAATCTACCTCGAATACAACGAAAGACAAAATGAGCTGTCTTTTTTTCCCCATTTATTTCTGTCTGTTGCGATGTAGGTCGTGACCTATAAAAATATAAACTCCCCTTTGTTGGCATTCGGTTAACTGTAAACAATGAGGGAAATAGGTTTTTAAACAACATAGCCACCCAATTAGATTGGAACTTGCTATTACAGTGCATGAAACCTGTACTAGTTATAGATTTTTTCATGAACGCTGTCTGCTGCGTATGAAATAACGTTTCTCTTTTGGAATAATATTTTCCCATTTACGAAAAGATTACGATTTTTTTTATACCTCCCCTACCTCCCTTGCAGGTGTTGGCAAATATGCGTGCTATAAATCCATAATTTGGTGTTGTGATTGCTCTCACTAGTAGGGGGTGTTTATTTTTAAAGGTGTTTAAACCCGACACTGTATAGAATAGCTGTGTAGTCAATATTTGTTTTCCCTTTAAAAATCCCATTCTTTCTACAGTTTCGAGGTCGAATATGAATCGATATAGAAAAAAAATGCATGAAATAATTGTTGAATTTCAAACAAATTGTGTCCCGTTTATCAGCAGCTAGACCGCGAACATTAGACGTATGAGTAACCGATCTCCTTGAAGAGAGCATTTAAGTATCGATCGCTAATCCCCGCCTTCACCGCCGTAACGCTACTCTTATTTGCTATTGTTCCCGCAGATTTAAAACAACTACCACGTGGATTGATTTTTTCCCTTTCTGGGTCATGAGTCATTTCCCGCGCGATCTGAGATTTCCACACCGCGTTGCTTGTTGGTAGACTACAGAAACAGATACACAGTCGTGTAGGTCATACACGCTCTCCCGGGAGTTATAAACACACTTAGATTCTAAACATGTTTATTGTTAAATAAAACACGGTGGATTTTCCTTAAATTATGCTTGTTTTCTTATTACTTTTTTCCCCTGCAAAAATTCCTGCTGATTCATTTCCCATCCTAGCAAATTAGAAATAAACCTGGCAAAGGTATAGTAAACATCGCACCTGAATGTTGCTCGCTCTAACGAAGTGGAGGTTAGAAGGGAATAGAAATGAAATCTCATCCTATTTACCTGTTAGATTATTCTAGTAAAAATATTTATATTCCAAATATTTTCTCATCATGTCTTTAAGCCAGCTTTCAAGTAATTACGTTTTGGTGTTAAAATTTAAGTAGAAACGTCGTGGCAGGTGCAGTAGAATTCACCTGTTTCTTAGGGGGAGGGGTTGGGATGGATATGATTAGGTGCAAATTCCTGGCACTTGGGATTATTTTTAATCCAAGGTTAGTTTTACATGCAGGCCCATCTGCAGACCCATTAAATTGTTATCTAAGTATATGAGGCACAACCCACTGGTTGGCTTCAGGGTTAAACTCACACTCAGTTCTCTGTCTGTTTCTGTCATATCATTTGTGTGGCCAGAGTTTATTTTTCCAGCTCATTCAGTCATCACTAAGGTGTGGAAAGACAGTGCCATACTTTAAAGAAAAAGCATTAATTAAGATATAATTGTAATAAATTAAAAACAATTACCCTTTCAAACCACAGGGCAGATGAAGTAGAGTTCATCTGTTTCTGTTTTCTCAGCATATGAAGGGATAAAGTGGTCAGTCCTATGCCCGGCCACCCTTTAATTTTTGACATAAATCAGGTAACCAATAGAACTGGGTGGGATCAGGGATGTCTTATACACTGGCCCAGCATCCAAACTCGAGACTTTGTGGTTAGCAGCCACTCGCTCTACTGTATAACCATACTGTCTCATATAAATAAAATATAAGCGTATGTGTTATAATGAATTCAATAAAAACAATATTCAATTAATGGTGTTTGACATGCAGTTAGTATTGCAATTATATTATTTGTATTTGGCTTATAAGGTAATTCCATTGCAAGGTATTGTAAAAGAATTAGAATGACAGTAGCTAATAAAGAAAATACCGCTAATAAGTTTGTTTGTTTCAGGCCCAGAAAGCGTTGTGAGAATATGGTAAAATGTCGTGACAAGCTTTTGTATGTGAAAGAAGAACATGAATTTGGCTTGATTCCTCAACCCCTACATATTGGACAGTACTATGTGAGACTCGTAAAGGACTTCCAGTTACCTTATGACATTTGGTGGCAGCATCTTCATAATCAGGTTTGTTTTATAAATATTTTAAACACTTTTTTCATTGAACTATAGTTTGAAGGGGATTGTTTTAATTTTTTTTATTAAACAAAAATTTAAGTTGTAGTTTAAAATTTACTTGTATTAATTTTTTACATAAATTAATAAATTGCAATTTTTTATCCTGCTTATTATTCATTTTGATAATTTGCTAATATATTGTAATTATTTTTCCAGCTACCAAAGAAACAAGAACCAAAAATTAAATTTAGAACCATCAGAACAAGTATGTATGCGTTATATTTCTGTTAACAAAATGGTGAATCTTTGTCAATTATATGATTCTGCTCATTCAATGGATGTGAAGTTATGTGGGTTAATGATTTGATTTGATTTTGCAGATGTTTATACAGATTGTAAAGTGAACAATCGCAAACTTGAAACACCGCTTTGTAATTGCACTGGCTCAGCTGTTGGGGGAAAAGGCTGTCAAGAAGATTGTTTAAACAGGTAATCAGCTACTTCTTATCTACTCTAAGCTTAACTTAACAGTTTGTAATGCGAATTATTATTTATTCTTGAAATGTCTTATTTCATTAATAATGGAGTAATCTTAAAACTTTCCATCAGCATAAAAAATAAATTTAATTTTAATTGCCTCAAGCTACTAAATTAGTTGAGAAAGTATATATATTCTAGTTTTCGTATGTATATTTTTCCAGATATTTAAGAAAATCTTTACTTGTATAAAAAAAGTTTAAAATCATACAAACCATAAGATAATATTTAAATTAATGCTAAAATTGATTCATTAAAAAAAGCCTCATTATTCTCACCATTAAATGACAAGCAGATATTGATTTTATTTTTGATTGTTTCAGAATGATCTATACTGAGTGCACCTCACTCTGTGCTTTAGGAGAAAACTGTGACAATCAGAAAATACAAAAACACGAGTGGGTGCCAGGTTTAGAAAAATTTTTGACCAAAGACAGAGGATTTGGTGTGAGAACAAGAACCTTTGTCAAAAGTGGTAAGTATAAAATTGTGTTATTTTTTGTGTGTATTTAACTTAACAGTTTTGCTTTATTAAGAACTAAAGATATGATTTTGAAAATATTTGTTTTAAAACACCATTTATGTCATGAGCTTAACAGTCAATGTGAGAATATTTAGTAATTTAAAGAACAGAAAGCTATGAGCTAATCAAGTAGGCAAATTATAGATATTTCTTTTTAGTCTACCCATAAGGCCACATTTACTGGCACTTCCTTTTGATTGGATACCCATCAGCGATGGACTCACTTGCAAGACAAAGTTGATGTACACTATCATAGAATCATTGTACAGCTGACAGGCTAAGAAACTTAAGGAAGTATTTAAGATAACTCAGAACATTTTTTGTCTTCCCCAGGCCAGTTTATACTGGAGTATCTTGGTGAAGTAGTAAGTGAGACTGAGTTTCGTCGTCGAATGATGGAGGAATATTCTGAAGAGTGCCATCATTATGCTTTACACCTAGACTCGGGAAGTGTCATTGACGGCTACAGGATGGGTAACATTGGTCGATACGTCAACCATTCATGCAAACCAAATTGTGAAATGCAGAAATGGTAACTTAATTTTTATTTTATAAATGTTCATTTCTGAATATATATTTTGATTTAATGAAATAAAAGAATTCCAATATGTCAGGAAAAGAAATGACTTTAATGTAAAAGTTCTCAGTTGAAATATCTTAGTCCAGTAGTTAGTTTAGTCATAGTAAAAAAAGTAAAAAGCCTCTAGTAGTGAGAAATAAACCTGTATTTTGTTTTTAATGTATGCCTGGACATACTAGGAAGTATAAACTTTGATATTTTGTAAAATATTGTCAAATGATTTCACACATCTCATTTTGAATTGCACGTAGAACAGATTTTCTAAGCTTAGGAAAATAACTATGCTGTTGCTGAAATTTTTCAGGAACGTGAATGGCTTGTACAGAATGGTGTTATTTGCACTTCGGGACATTGAGCCAGGAGAAGAATTAAGTTATGATTATAACTTTGATCCTTTCAATCAAGAAACTCAGGTAGGCTACGTTGGTATAGTTTTAAACAACAATTTTATCTTAAATTAAATAAAACTCAGACAAGCCAAACTCCTGCCATTATCAAATTTTCTGAGCTAAAATCTAAAAAAAAAAGAAATAGTTGTGTTCATTCTGCCACTTTGCATGCATCTCTGACGTTTGTCTAAATAAAAAGAAAATTACATTTTTATACACTAAAAAAATTGTGATATAAAAGTGTTTTTCCATAGTTATTCATTTCTGTTCCCTTGTTGACTTATTTCACATTGAAAATGTCAGATTGATCAGCCGCTGAGATATATAGGGAAACTAGATTTGTTTCACAAAGACAGTACTTTAGGAAGGGGTATACTGAAGAATTTTTATTTATAAAATGAGAAAGGAATAACAAAGCAAGAGTTCTTTGTAACATGTAATGGTAAATGACAGATGTTAAGGAAAGAAAAATAAATCATTTAATCATTAGTTGAACATAGAGCCTCTTAATAGTATAAATCTATTACATAGCAAGTCAAAAACAAGTCCTAGCAACAAGCTAAAGAATCCAATTTTTAAAAATTATGAAGTTGAACTTATTTACTTGTTAAAAAATTGTTCCAACATTAGAAGTTGTGTTTGTACCCTAAGTCTCTTTAAAATACTCTTATCAAAGCTTGTTTCTTGCTTTATACTACTATGTTCCATGTATACAATGTATATGTTTTTTTTTTCTTGTTTTATAAAATATAATATTTTTTGGCTTATGGTGTTTTGATGCCTATAATTCCTATTTATGTTCCTCAAAGGTATTGCTTTGTCTGAAAGCTTGAAGAAATGTTTATTAAATATTTAAAATTTTTATCAAATGCAGCAAGAATGTCGATGTGGTAGTGCAGATTGCCGAGGTGTGATAGGAGGAAAAACACAACGTAGCAATAGCAACGCTGCTAAACCTGAGAAGATGGATGATGGAAAAGATAAACGCAAGTCTAAATTGATGAACAAAAAATTAAAAGACAAGGTATGTTCTCTACCTTGATACTTTTATTTTTGTAATCAGATTGTTTTTATCATAATTTTTATCTAACAATTTTTTGTAATGCAGTCCTCAGAGAATGTTCAGGTTCAACCCTTGGCCAAACCAATGACTTTTAAAGAGAGATGTTACGCCAGGAAACACCGTACATTTTTAGTAAGAAATGTGGACAAAGTGCGCAACCAGCGCAATCCTGGTCAAGAATATGCAGGTCTAACTAAGGAAGAAATAAATGTTTTGGATTGTAACAAGCTAAATCCCATAAATTCTGGTGAGTTATGTGATCTGAATTTCTTGAGAATAAACATAATTTAAATTATTGCACTAGGTTAAAAAAGCTTGACATGTTATTTCAGTAGATAAATTGATACAGGAAATCCACATTTTTATTGAAAACTTAAATATAAAAACCTTTTTTGAATTTTCAGATGTTATGCTAACCCACTTGAATGAAAGATCAGTGAAAACAAGGTTGGTTTTCTTTAAATATAGACTTTTAAAAACCTTTTGATATTTTATTGAAAGGCTAAAATAATGAGCATTAACTTATTTTAAATTATCAAGTATAAAATCTCAATAGACAAATAAAAAACATTAACAATGAAACATTCAGTAAGTAAATAAGTAAAGTTAATGTTTTGGCCGGTGAAATAGAATTCTCCTGTTCCTGCAGCTTTAACATATAAAGTTTGTTAGCCTATATATAAATCCTATCATAAAATTCTTCATTTTCAGTTTAATAATCTGTTTGGTCTATATTTTGCCATGTGACTAGCTACTCTGAGAAAGAATACCTAATTTTTCTCACAATGTAACGACAATATTACTCTTCAATGTACATTACCCAAGTAACTTCATTTATAGGTTGGCAGCTTATGCAAAAGATAACCCAGAAATGGCCAGAAGGCATCAGCTTGCCCAGATATTTGATAAAATGCTCACAGAATTATTGTCATTAAAAGGTCAGTTTACATCAACAAATAGTAAGGAAGCTTTCGGAAAAGCATGTTACATGATTATTAAAACTCAAAAAAAAAAGAGAAATAATGAGTTTTATTCTTAACTAGAACAAAGTAAAAAAAATTGATTGTGTTGAAATAAGTATTGAAAATCTAGTCAGTTTTTTAAAATTTTGCTATGTTGTGACTTTTGTCCTTCACGAGCTACTGATTTAAAGCTGATACCATTTAATAACTTTCCTGTAGTAAAACATAGTTTAAAAATAGTTTCAATTAACATTATTTTGATAATTTTTCAGATGAAGATGGCAACAATATTGTATCCCCACTCATGTCTTTGCCATCACGTAAAAAACAACCTCAGTATTATCAGGTGGTGAGAGAACCAATCGACCTATCAATGATTAAACAAAGAGTTAAAACTGGCTACTATGATCATCTCAGCTCCTTCAATGCTGATATTATGCTGCTTTTCAGTAATGTTGAGGTTAGTCTGAAGATTCTTACATTTTTATATTACACAATAATATTATATATGCATTTTAACATTTCAAAATAAATTCCCCAAATATGCTAAGTTAATAAGGCTTTGTTGCCATCCTTAATTTTGTTGCCATTGTTGACAGCTGTATTGTGGACCCAAGTCTGACATGGGGCAGGTTATTCTAAAGTTGAGACGTGTACTAAACTGTGTGAAGACAGATGTAGCCAGTCAGATTGATGAGTTGTTGGGCTCCAAGACGACCAAAAACTACATGGATGCTGAGTTGGAAAAACAAGAACAGGTGTCATGTAAAGGTAATATTTTGAAATTTAGAAATGTTCTTAATTAGCATTTATATAGTGAAGTAAAACCAAAGGACCATTTCAACCCTAATAGTCTGTAGGGTAAAAGAAGAAAAAATTTTTGTACCCTGGAAAAATGAAGGAATTGTACATTAATACACTTTATCTGCAACTCATGTATTTCACCAACTTGAGTTGGGCTACCTACCCAGCAGAGCTTTATGGACTTGTCAAATTCTTATTGACTTAGGCCTTTGCATCAAACAAGAAACTTGATGCCCTATAACTCAATCATGTTGTCAGACCAACACAAAATCATATTCACATATGGTAGCTTTAAGATCCTCTATAACATTTGTAATTTTGTCCATAGGTTATGAGCTGCCTGAAGAGGATATTATACGATGTATCTGTGGGGTAACAAGGGATGAAGGACTAATGTTACAATGTGAAAAGTGCATGGTAAGCTATAGAGAATATAAAAGTTATATTCACAAAAATTGTTCAAATTAGATATCTGCTAAATTTAAACCAAGCATTTAAAAATTCTATGTATTCTGAACTTATAAACTTAATTTTTGTTGTTGTTGCAGAGATGGCAACATTGCGATTGTGTTAGAGCTAGTGGAAAAGAAGAGCATTACCTCTGTGATAGATGTGAACCAAGATATTATGACCCAGTGTGTATTATTATCATTATTAAAACATTTTACTAAATATATAACAGCAAATATTTTTAAAATGTGCATGTTAGTTTAAATATTTATTTGACATAAATAAAAATCAAATAATGAAGTTCTATTGGGGGGGGGGGGGGGACGTGGTCAGGTCAGTAAGTAAGTAAAGGGCGTATTTGCCCAACAGATTGTGCGGCCGATGTGGCCCAATAGCTGGGGACAGCAACCAATCTAGGGGAGAAAACTCCAAAATCAAACAACTGCTGCCTTTGTTTATTCTTGGACAAGTGCTATGGAAGCAAATCCAAAATGAAAAGCAGGCCGAAATTGTATATGGCGAAAAACATGATCCCGTTTAACATTACAATTAAGAACAAAGAAGAAAAGTGCTTTATAACTGTCATGTTTCTGTGTGTCCTGCAGGAGATCTTACTGATTCCTCCCCCACCTGATGCCATGCCAGACTGCACCCACTACATGACAGTAGTGAAAGATGATGTGCAGTATGCTGTGGGGGACTGTGTCTATGTCATGAGAGACTGTAAACGCACCTCAAGTGGAACTCCACTGCGCTCCTCCCATCGTCTCATGGCTTCAGTTAACCCAGACAAGTTGGATGTGTTTAGGCTGGAACAACTCTGGAAGGACCCTAAGTAAGGAGACATTCTTGCTTTCTCAAGTTAAATTAAAAAAAATCAAAACTTTAAAAAATAGAAATAGATCTATGTAGTTTAAAAAAAAATTAACAGAAAAATAACTTTTTGATTAATTTTATATTTAAACAGAGGTGAAAGATTTGCCAGTGGGACACCGTATCTTAGACCCCAAGAAACCTTCCACGAACCAACACGCAAGTTCTACCACAATGAAGTGAGTTTAAAATAAATTAGCTAATTTCCCATATAATCTTTGTGTCTTGTAACTTGAAGTATTTGAATAAGATTAGAAAACTGTATTGCTTCAATATTTATTCTTTGTGTCTTGTGTTTGAAATATATTTTATATGTCATTTGAATTTGTGTTAATACTTGCTCTAAAAACTTTCATAGCTGTTCCGCACGCCTAATTTTGAGATAATCCCAATGGAGTTAGTAATGGGTAAATGCATAGTTATGGATCCCAACACCTACTGCAAGGGGCGGCCCAAAGGATTTAAAGAACAAGATATCTATATATGTGAATACAGAGTTGATAAGACAGCCCATCTGTTTCACAAAATACAAAAAATTTGGTATGTACGCTTTTCAGAAGAAGAAAAAAAATGGAAACTTTTTATAAACTTACTTTTTAAGCTCAAAGCAAAAATAAAAAATAGCATTAAAAATCTAATATCTTTTTAATAATGAAAAGATTGGAAGAGTCCTCAAATTGTTTTTTCAGGTACCCAATCAATACTGGCAGATTTTGTTTTGACTGGTTTAACACAAAGTTAAATATTCGTAGGACATTTTTGGTAAGATTTTTAAAGCTGTGTTTTTAATTATTTTTATTGCTACGCTTGTTTCCCCTGCAGCAAGGCTCAGAAATATTTACCTACAAACGTGGGTGTAGTCAAATTGTAATGTGGAAAGAAGGCTTCTCTGTTGTGCATGACTTAAATAATCTTTAATTATCAACCATATGACTCAAGGGGGGGGGGGGGAGGCAGCTAAGCATTCAAGTAAATAATTATAAAGTTTACATTTATTTTTTCTGTGTGCAATGTTTTCATCAACATTTATTTCCTTACAATCTAATAAAGCCTCATGAGGTACCAGAAGAATACAAGCGCAAGGCTGAGAGAAATCTGGCAGCTACACCAACTCTCAAAATGGGGGTTAAACAAGAGGAGAAATACGACATCAAGAAGGTTTCTAAAAGTCATACAGTATCTCATGGAAAGGTGAAGATTGATGAAAGTATCAAAAATGATTTAAAGCTGAAAGCTCAAGTGAAAGTTAATGTTAAAAAAGGTGCTTTGCACAAAACAGATGTATTTCAGTCCAAAGAGGATCTAGCAGCTCTCCTCAAATTGAAAGAAGCCAAGGTAAGAATTTCTATTAGTTATGTATATCACATAAAAAAATTCTGGTAATATATTAACTGGATAAGGTTATAAAGTTTTACCTAGGGTAAAAAATGTGTATTAGATTGTAAGAAAATAAAGACAACATTAAATCTAGGCAGGATCTGTGACCACAGCCTACACTGGATCTGATTTGCCTTATAATTCAATGTGGAGAGAATCTTTTCCTCAGAATTATTTGTTATACCCATGACTGCAGTTTATACTGTTACTTGGGTAGATAGATTAAAAAGATAATCAAGGAGAAACTCTAAGCCTACATATTACGTTTTGTCTATTTTGTTTCAGAAGAAAGAAAAGAAAATGAGACTTGATAAAATTTTAACCAAGCTTTTGAATAATATACCTGGCAAACAGAAGGTAGACCTGACATATCTTTTGGAAGAGGGGAAAAGAGTGCGTAAGAAAGTGACCAAGTGAATGCACTATTTTTATTGTCTTTAATTAATATAATACACTTAAGCAATTAAAACCACAGCTGATCATATCTTCTATGTTTGGCTGATTAATTATTAAATTGTTGGTGTAATTACATAACCACAAGAGTAATTAATTAATTGTGGAAATATTTATTTATCATCATGATTTTTAAAGGTTATATTGTGTGGCATTTAAATATTTACAGTGGTCTCCAACGAGTATTTTGAATTGATTTTATATTCCTAGCGGCAAATTTATTTTGAAATTATTTACATTACCGTAATACAGATAATAATTTTACACTAGCATTTATTGAGTATTTCTCATATCTCCATTTTTAATGTATTTCTTGAATTGCAAAAGTATTACATTTATGCGAACCATTTTTAACAATGCTCTTAATTACAAATAAAACCCATTTAAAAATTAAAATCTTAGAATCTTTTACAAGTAGAACATAGTTTTAAAAAAAATTACATAGTTTTTTTGTTTAAATAATTATTTAGCAAAAGTTTTTTATTTTTTCCTGATTTACTGTTACTAGATCCACCCTCCCAAGCCATGCAGATCCATCCTCTCAATACATGTAGATCCCACTCAACAAAAGTAAAGTAAAACCAACTTAGTTGTAGGTAGATAATCTTTTAGCTGACTTTGTTGTTTGCTTGGTGTACCTCACCAAGTCCAATGTTGGAGACCACTAACAGATTCTATACTGAAAAAAAAACAATTGTACTAACACTAGGCAGCAGTTTACAATCTTTTCTAGATGCTAACTACAGTTTATTATTTTTATATTTGGTTGTAGACATTGCTTTGTTTCAATATCAAATGACTCAAATCAAATGTAGTATTTGGGCATTCTTACATTAACCCATTCAGGATCATGATTTATTAGATCATCATTACTAAGTGGAAAATTATTAATGTTGAAAAGTATTTCATTGTGAATGAATGAATATACTATTTACTTATGAATATACCATTTACTTAATATCAACTCAAATACATAACAACTGAACTGAATGGGTTTATGTATTTGAGCCATACATTACAAATCTCCAAACTGCTGTGCACCCATAAATTGTCAACGGTTCTTTCACAAAATTGTTTTTTCATTTTCTTTATTTGTCATCCATGTAAACTGAATGAGAATACTATTGCTAACACAAGATATATTCTTGTTCCTCTATTTGCTCTTTATCCTAGAACTATCTCCAGCACTACTTGAATATGTAATTATCTGTTGGATAGACACCATAAGATTTGGTCTGAATTTTTTTTTGATTTGTTATTGTAACCCAGGTGCTCAATAATTTTGTTTCTAAAAAAAAACTGTTCAAACAAGACTGCCTTGTGTTTGCTGCCATAACCTTCCCTCTCATTGTTACCTGACATAATGTGTGCTAAATTGTTGGACCTTAATAGCTAGGACCATCTTGTGTAGAAAACCTTATAGCTTCTTACCACCAGAGCATTGTGTAGATGTACAGTATTACACTATTGTTAAGTACATTCTCCTTGATTATGTTTATGTTTTTAAAATCACTTGTTTCATTGGCTTATTTTCTTTATATAAGCACAATCTCTTGATTTTGTTTTAGCTTGTTTTTGTTTATTCCTGTGATCACAAATAGCCTTAGATCTACAATAAGAAGGAAAAAAAACGGTTTTGAAAACTACAATGTGAACCAAAGTTTGTGTTATTATAAATTGTACAGTTTTTTAGTTGATCACGAGGGACAGGAAGTGACCCTACAAGCAGGTTGTCATATCTAGACTGTATTATTTCATATTGAGTGTATTCAAGCAATGTGCATCTAGACTAGCCAAAGATAGACATCAGCATGTACTCTTCTATAAATATTGTTGACATTGTAAATTTGTACAGTAGAATGACATGTTAATTTATAAACGACTCAAATGACAATCACAGATGTCCTCAGTTAAACAAGAACAAAGAAAAAATAAACAATGTCACCTCTTAAAAGTGAAAATCATTTTTTAAAATAAAATGAAAATTGTATATTGCTTAAGAATGCAATTTTTAATTTTAGTTAGTCCCAAAGCATTGTGTGATGTTTGATTCTTAAGAAGGTTGTAATAGTTTTTTGTGCTGAATAGCCATTTTAACTTATTGTATCTATTTATTGTTTTGATGGTTGTGACCTTTAAAAAAAAGCAAGTCATCTCTCCAGCATGCACTTTGATATTTATATTGCTATATTATGAACTACTGCATAATTTCTGCTAGCTTGGAATAAAATAACTAAAGAGGCGGAGATAGGATTCTATTGAATCATAGTACTATTTTTTATAGAGGTTTGCTATTTGGTTGCAAACATTTTTACAATTGTGCTACATCTCATACAGCTATATATAGTGCAGCATCACATACAGCTGTATATAGTGCTGCATCTTATACAGGTGTATATAGTGCAGCATATCATACAGCTGTATATAGTGCTGCATCTCATACAGCTGTATATAGTGCAGCATCACATACAGCTGTATATAGTGCAGCATCACATACAGCTGTATATAGTGCTGCATCACATACAGCTGTATATAGTGCTGCATCACATACAGCTGTATATAGTGCTGCATCACATACAGCTGTATATAGTGCTGCATCTCATACAGCTGTATATAGTGCTGCATCTCATACAGCTGTATATAGTGCAGCATCACATACAGCTGTATATAGTGCTGCATCACATACAGCTGTATATAGTGCTGCATCTCATACAACCGTATATAGTGCTGCATTGGAAATGTAATTTTAGGTTGAAAACATTTTTAAATATTTATTTATATAGATAGTTCTTTGCTTGTAAAAATATGTTTTTTCTTATACATATGTGTATATAATTATTGGTATGTGTTAATTTTAAATAGCAGTGAATTTTTAGCATTACCATTTTTGAAACAAAGTATTTAATAATAAAATATAATAATATAGCTTTGATTTATTCTGGGTTTTACATGTTATGAAAGAATACATTTTAATCTCATTTAAATTGCTATTTTACTTATCAAATATCCAGTGAAGATGGCTTTTTAAATTTTTATCATGTACAAGTTTCTTGTATATTTTTCATTTCATTACACTGTATGAAAATAATTTACCATCACTTGATATCGTCAGTGCTCCATATAATTTGAAAGCAACATTTGAAACTGTAAATGAAGGAAGAATCATAAAGGACATCCTTTACATTTGTAAGCTACTATAATCATATTTTGGGTAAACACTGTGTTTGTACATTATTGACTGTATCTTCCCTTTGTATTAAACTCCACTTTGAACTCTGTATTTCTTCCTTCAATCCTGTGACGTGAATGTTATACATTACTATGCAAGAATTCATTTTGATAATGAACAATTAATTTGTTGAACACCTTTTCTTCCTTTTCTTAATTGTAGATTTTTATACTTGATGGTGACCTACTGTGTAAGCTTTATATAGTGACTCTGTTACTAGTATACAATTTGATTTGTTTCACATAATGAATACTACATCATCATTTACCAGCTTCCTCAAACAAGCTTATGGTGACTTAATCTGTAAGCTTTATATAGTATAGTGACTCATTACCTACATGATTTATGCTTCTCATAACAAATGGCATGATCATTTGCCAACCACTTCAAACAACACATGTGTATATATATAGATGAAAACTTAATGGTTATCAATTTGATTGGTATATTATGTTCAAATTGTAATTATCTCTGGAGAGTGACTCCAGTGTGTGTCATAGATCAAAAGCATTATATGTTGAGTGGGCAGACCTGTGTTTATTGTAATGTTCCCATTGCCTGCCATTTGTTATCTCATGTAGACTTGAAATAGAAATGTCATTGTCACTACCAAGCTTGTCACAAGAACACACAGGGTTTCAACTCATTTTTGTTGATGTTCTTTCTTCAGTTTTTTAAAAATATTATTTTGCACATATTTCTACACATATTATCTATAGTAATGTGTTCATTTCTTATTTTTATTGTACATTTTTCGGTGCTTTTTTCTCTCTCCATGAAATCTTATTTAATCTTTTTTTCAAGCTAAATTAAACTTTCCATGATAAAGTTAAATTTTCCTCAAACTGAAAGAACAAAAAAATGAAAAAAAAAATTAACTGCAACATATATAATTGTACATTGTAAATTTCCCAAAGGCTGTTGTTCTATACTTGAGATAGGCTGCTAAAAGACATAATGTAGTGTTTCTGTTTTCTCCTTCCCAGTAGCATGCACCACTTTGCTCATGTTGATTCACCACCCATGACTGTCATACTAAATCATTTGTGATCATTTTCTTTTATTATGTACATGATACTCCGATATTTTTCCTCTCTCTCTCTCAATGTTCTCCTATTTTTGTATTTGAACATTGTCATGGTGCAGTGGAACATTGAATACAAGTATATCTAGCCACTCTTTTAGTATTGCTGTGTTTTTTTGGTTCAAGTCTTGTCTGTTGTTCTTGTTGAACAATTAAAGTATACCTAGACTGGTGAAACTGGTTCTTGAGAGTTTGTTACATTGATTTCTGTACATTTGTCATGTGTTCATTTGTAGCTAAATGGATATTTAGTTGTGGATATTTCAATTTATCATGTGTTTATTTAATTGTCATGTGCATATTTGTGACATGTGAATTTATTTGTTTATATTTCTCATGTGAATATTAAAGTGTATAATAGTGACATCCTAACTACAGGTAGATCCTGATGGTGACTAGAAACGTATGGTGACTACATGTAAAGCCTAGTGGTGACATCCTAACTACAGGTAGATCCTGATGGTGACTTTAGAAACTTATGGTGACTACAGGTAAAGCCTAGTGGTGACATCCTAACTACAGGTAGATCCTGATGGTGACTAGAAACTTATGGTGACTACAGGTAAAGCCTAGTGGTGACATCCTAACTACAGGTAGATCCTGATGGGGACTGTTGAAACTTGACTACAGGTAAAACCTAGTGGTGACATCCTAACTACAGGTAGATCCTGATGGTGACTAGAAACGTATGGTGACTACAGGTAAAGCCTAGTGGTGACATCCTAACTACAGGTAGATCCTGATGGGGACTGTTGAAACTTGACTACAGGTAAAACCTAGTGGTGACATCCTAACTACAGGTAGATCCTGATGGTGACTAGAAACGTATGGTGACTACAGGTAAAACCTAGTGGTGACATCCTAACTACAGGTAGATCCTGATGGTGACTAGAAACGTATGGTGACTACAGGTAAAACCTAGTGGTGACATCCTAACTACAGGTAGATCCTGATGGTGACTAGAAACGTATGGTGACTACAGGTAAAACCTAGTGGTGACATCCTAACTACAGGTAGATCCTGATTGTGACTGTAGAAACAGCTTTTGCTTTAAACACCCCTAAGTTTATGTAAAAAAAAAAAACATATCTCTTGCTTGAAATACTACTAGATCTACTCTCACAAGCTTTATGTGAAAACAGTAACAAATCTTGTTTTAAAATATCACTAAGTTTAAATGAAAACAAACACGACTAAATTTATTTGAAAACAAAAACTTCTTGTTTAAACAGTCTCAAGTGAAAACAGCTACACATTTCCTGTTTAAAACACGCTAGATAGTGTGTGAACACGGCTGTAACACACTACACGACACATATGTCGCAGCCACGGCACCGGACGCCGTCATGGTCAAAGTACGTTGGGGCAGTCTTCTCGCAGAACCCAACCCATGGACACGGCAGACGTGGGCAGGGGGTGGGCGTGGTTGCAACCTGAAACAAAACATACAGGTATTTTTTATCATAACCTCAAACAATCGTTGTTTTAAAAATAATTTGATGGGGAATTTCCCAACAGAAAACTACTGTTAAGATAGACAACTCTGCAAAATCTGATATTAATCGAGTTATCTACCTTTAGAAATACTCTTTCCTTGGTCAGATAGGCCTATACGTCACGTGAATTCCCATACCAATAGAATAAAAGCTACTATATGTTACTGTTTGAGTTCGTTTACCTATGACGTCACACATATTTCTTTTGTTAATTGACTTGCCGTTCGTAAAGAAAGCTTGAAGCAAAAGTTTAATACCCCCTCTCCCCTATTCTCTCTTACTTGAGAACCGTTGACTACCAAATGAAAACAACCTAAATTGTCAGATATGCTCTACTGTAAAAACAAAACATGAATTCCCAAGTCTTTCAGGAGAAGATTTGAGTTCTTCGACCCCAATAAAGCACTGTGGTGTAATAAAAATAAACATTTAAGACTATATATAGGTTGCGTCCCTTTACATATCCTTAGTACCTAAGGTCACGAATTTTTTTTAGGCATTGTTTCAGTGAAACTAAGTAAATCGACGTTGAAAAATTAGAATTTTTAAAAGTTTTTCTACTTACATTAACAACTTTTTTTTTCTATTTAATATATACTCTTCTCAATATATGCTCTTAACGTTTTAAATATGACAGTTCTATTTGAAAAAGTACATTTAGATTCAGCTGATAAGTTCGATAGAACATTTTACAATGACATAATACTGACATTCAATATTAGATTCAGAGTTATACTGTTCTATCTCTGATCTGTAATTTTTAGCCCATTGACTCCGTGACTCAGAAGTCACACTAAAAATTTTTTAATACATAGGATTGTATTGTGTAGATCAGGGGTCTCCAAACTTTTCAGTCCGAGGGCCGCATTAACTATCAATTTTCAGTTCGGGGGCCAGTTTCTTCCAGGCATGTCTTTGATTTTCTGGGCAAAGTTCCTCAGCCATTACCAACAAACGTTTTTTCCGTGGACAAAAAGATCTCCGCGGGCCGGATGAGAGGACCTCGCGGGCCGCATCCGGCCCGCGGGCCGTAGTTTGGAGACCCCTGGTGTAGATAGGTAAACTAACTCTGCATTTCTAACTCTTTCTTTTTGTGTGTGTAGTTTATCACTACCTTTTTAAACACCATAAATGTCTTATTATTTATGAAATGTTAGAAAATGTAATTAATATTCCTGTTATGGACTGACTTTAGCCCCCCCCCCCCACCCCCCAACCCAAAAAAAAAAAAAAGAAATGTTTGTGTTACTGTAGAGCGTGTAGGCCTATGTCCTAAAAGCGTGTGTCATAGTTCGCCTTATCTAAAACTTTATTCTCATACTAACATACATAGCAAGGCTAAACCTAAAAGAACAACATAAACATTATTTCTATTTTAAGTTTTAAACCGCCGACGTATAGATCCAATAATCATAGATTACAGTGGAAAGTTAAAAAGTACACAAAACTCAAAACAGTTTTTAAAAAATCTTTCAGATGACAGCTGATTATTGAATTGTACTTTTTAACTTCTCCAAGTTTTGCATAAAAATGTATTCAACGCACGCTGGCCCTGACATCAATTACAATGAAACATGGAGGGTTTAGAGTGCAATCCTTCTACTGTTTGAGACATCAAAGATTGGACATAAAGATTTTCTATTATGAACTTGTTTCTGTCATTAAACAGAGTTTTTGGATTAAAAATGTGTCCTTTTATAATTGTACAAATGGTAAACAAAAAATATATATATTAGTGCTATAAAGACGTTGAGAATATGAGAGTCGTTGAGAATATGGGAGAGAGAGAGAGAATGAAAAAAACGTTGAGAGAATGGGAGAGAAGTTCAAAATACAAGTTATAAGGGAGACTGAGTCAATGAGGGAGATAGCGAGAGTATGACATACGTTTAGATTGAGTGTATGAGTATGACATACATAGAGTAAAAATATCCTGAACAGAATCGTAGGCAGATGAAGGGGGGGGGGGGGTGGTAGAACCCCCCATAATCCCATACAATGACCCCTATCGATTTCAGTTAAAGCTACGAAGAACAGAATTCTGCCCGCGTATCTGAATGTGGGTATATCTATTGGATAAGTACCGTCACGTCTTGACTAGCTGTGTCCAGTATCGCCGCTCCCTGAACTGAAACGAGAAATGTAAACATTCAACAACACAGAGGGGTGGAAATAAAATGTCACCAGTAGCGTAGCGAGGGGGGGGGGGTGACATATGTCTCAGGGCGCCGACCTTAGGGGGCACCAAAATGAGTTGGAAAAATAAAATGAAAGGTTGAGGGGGGGGGGGGGGGTGCAAATCAAAATCTTGAAGGGGGGGGGGGGGTGCAAATCGAAAAGTTTGTCCCCGGGCGCCTGGAAGGGTCGCTACGCCTCTGGTTGTCACAAACCATCTCACCGTGGTCCTATCTGTACAACACATAGCTCGTCACGTGATCAAATCAGCAGACGTCGAGTGGTTTCTGTGGTGGTGATTGTGTTGAGGTGTTTCGTTTTATGGGTCTTTTGAAATGTTCTCGTATATTCCAACATTGATTTAAATGTACACGTCAAATTTGATTTAAAAAAAACAACATCTTATCTCTGAAAATTGAAGTAACTCATGTGCCAAAAGTTGCTGGCTTGTAGCGTTGAGCATGCGATAAAAAAAACGGGATGGAATCGGCATGGCAAAAAAATCATTTTTTTTTGTGCAAAATTTTATTTTAAAAAATAGGTAATTATTTTTTTAATAATATAAAATAGATTTAATATAAAATAATTTCAACTTATTCTAACAATAATTCAACTTTTTAAAATAAATTTTCTTATTTGCCAAAATTTAACTATTAGTATGGACTCTTTTAATTTAGCCTAAACGTCGTATTCACAATCAAGTTTCTCCGATGGTAATTTTTTAAACATGTACTGAGGTTTTAGCTGATAGTAGTGATAGCAACAGAGTATTTAGACATTCCGGTAACAAAGTGTATCTTCGACTTTGTTGTCCGAATATTTATAATTAATATTAAATAATGGAAGTATATATATCCTGCCGCCACCGTCTATATATGTTTAAAAAAATACTGTTTATCACAATTAATGTATCACATTTAAACTTCGCCACTGAGTTCAAATATGCGATCACAAGCAATACAACAATTCATCTGATAGCTGTATGTCAAGATCAGTGTTTCTTTCAGACATTTCACGGGGAAAGGGGTGGGGGGTGTACTTGAAACTTAGAGGGATGGGGCTCATTATAGTTACTGGGAGTGTGTGTGTCTGGAGGGGGGGAAACACTGGTTAAAGTGAATAATTTCTATATAAATTGTATTTTTTTTTCTAATTTGTACCCCCCCTCCCCCGAAAGGATGCCTGAAAGAAACCCTGTTCAAGACGGTGATGAAATACAAAATTATCGTGCGGAACTTACCCGACGCCAGGACAATGGCAACAAACACACAGAAGAGAATTTTCATTTTATGAGCTTGTTTGTGCCAGGCAGTAATTGTCCACAAACACAATCTGTTTTCACGCCGTGGTATAGAGTTACAATTTCTGCCCTGTTAACTTCTAATTTCTTATCGGAACTGTTTTGATTACGTTAGTTATAGCGCATGCGTGCACATTAAAACACATTAAAAGGAACTTTGGCATCCAATTTCTAGTCATTTAATCTGATTGTGCAAAAATCGAGTAGAACAAAAATTATCTTTATAACTTAACTGCTGCTGTGGCGAAGAACGGAGTTTACATTGTTTAAAAAATAAATACAAATGTACAGTTTTATTGTTATTAAGGTAGATAACTAAACATTTCTTGAGACGAATTGGTTTCAAAACAATATATATATATATATATATATATATATATATATATATATATATATATATATATATATATATATATATATATATATATATATATATATATATATATTGTAGTGAATTTGTTAGAAATCAGTCAATTGTGCTTAGTAGGGCAAGAAGAAAAATTCATATCTTAATAAATAGTTGTTATTATAGCATGAAAATTGGAAGAACTATTAGGCCAAGCTTGATCTTTAATTAGAATATCTTAGTGTTAGTTAGGAGCAAGCCGATATTATTGAAATCTACTTTAATTAGGTGTATTTGATTATAATTTTATAATAATTGCATGTTTGAAGTATTATTGTTTAAGTACAACTTATTGATGTTTATTGTAATTTGTATCATTGTAAAGGGAATTGTCTGTGGTTTCAGAGATAAGCTTATTAGAATTTTAGGAGATCGCGTTAAGTTTTTATATAGGGTTATTTGGGGTCGGTTAGCACAAAAGCGGGAGAAATTTTCACAGGTAAGCGTTAGAATTCGTGCCAAGAGCAAGGTGTCATCCGAGACGCTCGCGGGTGGGGTATATAAGCCGGTGCGTTAGCCTTAGAGGGGATGGAGAAACGACGGCCCTAGCCAGTAATTTATGCAGCACACGTATTGGCGCTATAGTCTTGTTAGATGCGCGCTACACAGACAATTCCCGCTCAAGAAAGATAGTCAAATAAAGATTTGCAGAAGACAGCTTATTCTTCATTCTTGATCGTCTGTGACTGTGACTGAGAGTGAGAAATAGAAGAGAAGAAGAACGTTACAATTGATAGAAGCAAGAATAGTACTGTAGAACAGCACACTTTGAGAGCAGTAAAAACGTTACATTTGGTGGCAGCGAAAGAAACGATCTTTAACACGCAACCAGAGAGACTGAAAGCAGGCCAGTAGTACAGAGGAGAAAAATGGCAGATATTGAACTACAGGCTCAAATAAGGAACCTGCAAGAAACGATTAAAGAACTCAGAATCGCTAGACAAGATGAGCGACCATTAAGTATGAACCAGGCGTTACCACAATACGACGGGTCAGCGCCATTCCAAGTGTTTTGGAACAAGTTTCAAGCGATATCTCGCATTAACAGCTGGAATGAAGATAGACAGCTACTGCATCTACCAGCTTGTTTGGAGGGGAGTGCGGCCAACTTTGCATTTCTTGAACTCACTCAAGTTGACCGAGCAACACTTGGAACGTTTGTCGCAGCACTGAGCGCTAGATTTGACACCAGGGTGGGCACCGCTACACATCTGACCCAGTTAGAAAACAGAAAGATGTCAGCAAGGGAGACAACCGCTGAATATACGTCCGATGTGAAACGACTGACGGCCATGGCTTTCCCGTCAGCTGACCAAGCAACTAAAGCAACAGTTGCACTGCGCTATTTTCTCAAGGGGCTACAAGATCCTCACCTCGCGGGTATCATTGCCGCCCAGCGCCCAGTTAGCACAGATGAGGCCAGAAACATTCTGGACGAATACCTCAGTGCTAGAGACAGCACAACAAAAACGAAAATGTGTTCGGTGCAGGAGCAGAGTCAGATAGATAGCCTACAGCAGGAGGTGAAAAGACTACAAGAGATGGTCAGAAGCAATCAACTTAGGCCCAGCGACTCGGGATGCTACACTTGTGGGGGCAGACATTTGGCTAGGAATTGCCCTAGAAGTCATCGGAATAAAGAGATTAACCAACGAAGGTCGAGTAATGGAAATACATACAGTTATCAAGCCCGGCCAACCCAATCTACAGCCAGAATAAATGAAATCCGACAGAATGATACAGATAACAATGATGAAAATCTTTTAGGCCTTAACTTTCTGAAAGTAAAAGCCGCGGCAAGCAACAAGCAAGTGGACGTGCCAACAGAGATTTCAATCCGTAGTGTTGCCCCTGGGTGTTCAGTAGTGGTGACTGTAACGGTAGCAAGACACAATATGATGTTTCTGGTAGACACGGGCGCTGCTGTCACTGTCATGTCCACAAGAGCCTTCAACAAGTTACCACAAGCCAGTAGAAACAAACTTAAACCCATGGACAAGAAGGTCACACTGCAATCTGCAGGGGGTGACAGAATAAACTGTCTAGGCACATGTACTGTAGATATAAGAGCTGGCAATGTTGTCACAAAGTGGACAGCCGTCATAGCTGACATTGAGGAAGATGGTTTCTTGGGGATGGACTTCCTAATGAAACATGAGTTTCAATTTTCGGCTAAAAAGGGCTTATACCTCAATGGTAGAAGAGTCCCAACACAGACCAGAGGCAGAGAAAAGATGTTCAAAGTACAAGAACATCGATGGCGGTCCAACTTGTACAACTTTAATGACGCAGTTCCAAGAAGCACACAAAATACGCATAGAGTGGCACCAGTTGTCGCAATATTGAAAGCTTCTATTACAGACCAGAAACATGATCGATTCTATCTGCGGAAGGGTCTACAGTTCTCCCAGCAGGAAATTCAGAAGGCTCAAAAGGATGATACTGTTTTGAAGAAGTGTATTTCCTGGGTGCAGAACGAACAGAGACCTGAACAGAGGGAGTTAACCGCAGAAGGCCGGGAACTCCGCTATTACTGGCTGAATTTTAACAGACTGACACTTGCAGATGGCATATTATGCTGGAAGTGGGTGACAAAAGAACGGAAGACAGAACTAAAGGTGATAGTGCCACATCTCCTAATGTCTAAGGTTCTAGACAAGTGTCACAATAACAAGGGCGCCAGACATGTTGACATTCAAAACACATTAGCCAAGGTACAAGAATATTATTTTTGGTTTAGAATGAAACATGAGGTCACCAGCTGGGTGAACTGTTGCGAGAGATGTCAAGTTAGGCAACAACCTGTCGAGAAGACAGGAGGCCTACACGAGAGGAACAAAAGATACTACGACCTCAACATTGTCTCCAATGACTACAATGTTGGAGAAGTAGTGTTGTGTCTGGAGGAGGCGAGGAAAGTAGGCGTGAGTAGGAAGCTTGCTCCCAGACACTGGAAAGGTCCATACGTCATTATAAGAAAACTAAGTGACCTTCTCTTTGAGATAGAGAACAAGGACAAAAAGACAAAAGTCGTGCACCACGACAAATTAAAGCCATTTCACCAACGGGAACCAACGAAATGGATCGTTGACTTACAACTCAAACTTCATCCCGATGGTGGTTCACCTCAACTGTCGGAATACTCAACAGACGATGAGACAGGCGACGAAGGTCAAGACACAGAGAGTCAGCTGTCGGAGAGAGGAAATGATCACGGGGCTGATGAAACAAGCCCAAAACTAACTGTTACTACACACAACGACGCAAGGGAAAATACAAGACCCCGACGAGAAATCAAACGACCTCGTCGACTGTTGGATTAACAAAAATAGAGCCTGTTAAATTGATAAGTATAGACTGTGTTCTGGATTATTTGGATACCGTGTGAATTCTTAAAATAGTGTTTTGGATTATTAGGATACCGTGTGAATTCTTAAAATAGTGTTCTAAATTACTTAAATATCGTGTGAATTCGTAAATAATGATCTGGATTATTAAGATACCTTGTGAATTTTTGAAAATCGGGTGTTTTCACTACATTCCTGGATGTGAATGTATTGCAACAAAATGTAAGTAGATACTTTGACTTTGTGCTAGGACCAATATAGAAGCTTTAGAACCATTACAATTATACTCATGGTTCGGTCTGTGAACATACCACAGGAACATTGAAATTATAAGATGTACTGATCTAACCAGAAGGAACGTAGACATTACAAATGCAAAACAAGACTGTATAATAACTTCATGATATTACAATGGAGCCAGTTTCTGATTGTTTTTTTGTTTAATTTGAACATTATGTGGCATTTTGATAATTATAATGGATGTTTATGATGTATCACATTATGAAGATGTGATTTAAGATGTTGAATATACAAAACCTTTAATAAATTAAATCAATTTTGAGGACAAAATTCTTAACTTTGGTAGGGTCAAATGTAGTGAATTTGTTAGAAATCAGTCAATTGTGCTTAGTAGGGCAAGAAGAAAAATTCATATCTTAATAAATAGTTGTTATTATAGCATGAAAATTGGAAGAACTATTAGGCCAAGCTTGATCTTTAATTAGAATATCTTAGTGTTAGTTAGGAGCAAGCCGATATTATTGAAATCTACTTTAATTAGGTGTATTTGATTATAATTTTATAATAATTGCATGTTTGAAGTATTATTGTTTAAGTACAACTTATTGATGTTTATTGTAATTTGTATCATTGTAAAGGGAATTGTCTGTGGTTTCAGAGATAAGCTTATTAGAATTTTAGGAGATCGCGTTAAGTTTTTATATAGGGTTATTTGGGGTCGGTTAGCACAAAAGCGGGAGAAATTTTCACAGGTAAGCGTTAGAATTCGTGCCAAGAGCAAGGTGTCATCCGAGACGCTCGCGGGTGGGGTATATAAGCCGGTGCGTTAGCCTTAGAGGGGATGGAGAAACGACGGCCCTAGCCAGTAATTTATGCAGCACACGTATTGGCGCTATAGTCTTGTTAGATGCGCGCTACACAGACAATTCCCGCTCAAGAAAGATAGTCAAATAAAGATTTGCAGAAGACAGCTTATTCTTCATTCTTGATCGTCTGTGACTGTGACTGAGAGTGAGAAATAGAAGAGAAGAAGAACGTTACAATTGATAGAAGCAAGAATAGTACTGTAGAACAGCACACTTTGAGAGCAGTAAAAACGTTACAATATATAT